GGTTCTTGAGATCCTCTTCCTCGTCTTCAGATGATGCAGCGGCGTCGTATGTGCCACCGAGGGCGTGCGAATGTTCGGTTTCCCTGTTGCGGGTGGAGGAGGTAGTCGAGATGAAAGAGGACATCATGTGCGAGGGTATATCGTCGTTTTCGCCTTCGGACGGAGGGCGGTTGCGCCACGTGTTGGTCGATGTCGCGGACATGGAGGGAGAGGGATGTGTATCGTCGACGATATGGCCTTGTACTAGTCGTCCGTGGATGACATTCCTCGCGCGCTGCAGACGTTAGCTGTGCTCAACAGAACCTTTCATACGAACATACCTCGTCAGTGTATTCCTCGGCGCCGCTCTCATCTGCACTTTGCTCCTCAGGTTCTTCCTTGTTTTTCTCAACATCAGTTCGAATCGGCTCTAGCGGTACTTCGGGCTCGACTATAGAACCTGCGCGCATACTCTTAGACAGCGGATGGCTTCCGGTTGGCTCTGACCATCCGTTGGCCCGCCTTTGGAGGGGATTTGACGGTACACGCTTCAGACTGGACTTGCCTGGTTCAGCCTTTGCGTCTCCCGTCATTTTGGAGATGGGCGTGATCTCAGCGTCGGCATCCAGCGCAGCCTCGACCAGGTCGTCGGGGGTCTCATATGAGCCATCCAGCCGGAGTTGCTCGAACATGGCACTCTCGTTCCAATGCACCGCCGTGCCTGCCCTCCGCCTGTCGGTTGTGACAATACCAAAGCTCAGCTTCAACGCGTCTGCCAGAGACGTGACGCGCTTGGTGCCACCAGGGTTCTTGCTAACAACGACGGCTTCCCTCCAATTCGGCACGTTGACGCGTATCCAGCGGGCGAGGAGGGGTTCGGCGACGAGGTTATCAACAGGGCACTTGAAGAAGCCCTGCATCTGGGAGGCGTGGAGATCGATGGTCATGACATGGTTCACACCAGCGATGTGAAGGAGGTTTGCGACCATGCGGGCGGTGATGGCCCCGCGGTGCTGCTTCTTCTTCGACTGGCGCGAATATGGGAAGTAGGGCATGACAGCTGGCGATGTCAGCAGCTGGCAGCGAGCCTTACAGAGGCCAAGTACCTGTAACCGACTTGGCTGAGCCACCTTTGCAGGCCGAGATCATAATCAGCAGCTCCATGATCGAGTCGTTGATTCTGACCCATTAGCCGTTGACGCATAACAAGGCTGGGCTACGCACTTCTCGCTTCCACTCTGGACGATGAAGACATCTTTGTTCCGAATCGACGTATCTGAAGACGCTTAGCACGTGAACGCGGCGAAAGTGCTAGCCAACATACGAATGGTGACGGAAGTCTCTCCGTTCTTGAACTTGCCCAGCGTCGCAGAGCCAGGCTTTGTGCCCAGCCTGTCGCAGATGCCGTCAACGAGCTTGGGGTGCGAAGACCCGCCAAAGACGAGTGCGCCTCTCATGGTGGGCGGGCCGAGGAGAGTGACGTTCTCGTAGTGGGCAAACTGAGGTGAGGGCTGGTGAGGACGCCGGTAACGGTCGTGCCTGTCAAAATTGTTCGACATGGCTAGCTAAGATATGCGCCCAGGAGGGGTTTAGCCCGGCCCCACTCTATTGACCCGATGCGGATACCCCAGCCAGCAGCGTGTGCCTGACTCGCGAACAACAACGCGCGGAGACGGCTGGATGACTTGTTAACAACCAAGGGAACTACGGGAGCGGGAGACCAGGCAGGAGCAACAAGATCGTTATCTGCCTTTATGCAGAGGTGTGCATCAACTAGTCGTCTTACAAGATGCTGCAGCACTGTCACGCGACCACATCACATTGCTTCCTGGCCAACGGTGCGCGCACGATGCACTTAGTCGCCTTCGTACACGCAATGCATTCGACTCCGCCTCTCAACATGTCATTGGGTTTTAGTATGTGGTGATGAGATCTAAGGTCGAGAATTGGGCCGCAGCATTCATATTGATTGTCTGCCTCTGACGTGGAGAGCTCTCAATCAAGGACAATGTTGTGTCACTGTAGTATGCGATTGGATAGGCTTGGCCGTTGTTAAGGTTCTGCGCAAGGAAACCGGGTCTCCAAAGCGTCATGGAAGATGTCGCAACCATCAGGCTTACCGCGCATGGTGATACGATTGTGTCTTCAATGGCGTAGTTGATCAAGCAAGTACAGAGTCGACCCTAACAAGACGACGTACTTTCAAGGGATATACTACGAGGTTCCCTCAGGCATCCACTCACCAGCTATATTTCCACATGGTTTGCAGTTGTGCAATCTAGACAGCCTCGCCCTTGAGCAAAACAGGTCGTACAAGCTCACCGCTTGCTTTGTGCTCCTGTGGCCCCGGTGCTGAACGTTGCTCAACCTGAACCAATCCCTACACCGGAACTCAACCATTCGCGACTCTCTTTGTTGTAGCGGTTATGGTTCCCTTTCCGGCTTCATACATACCTTCGAACCGGTTCAGAAGCGTCAGTGTAGCTATAGAGGCGCACGTTGGGCTTCGTTCTAATCACGCAAGCTGCAGACAACCATCGCCATTTGCAACGCTGATCCATAGTAGCCATAATCTTCGCGCTTGGCGTGTATATATGAATGCGGGAGACATAGATCATGGCGGCTCCTCCCGAAGCACATACATGGCTATTCGTGGAGGTCGATCCACTGGGGTCAGTTTGGCGGTAGTTCATGGAAGCCCTCAGGTAAATGATGGATACTGTGGGCGTTTGCGTCCTTCCCATTGTGCTATAGGGATAATACCGAACCTAAGCGGTGAGCTGGTGTCACCATGGCAGGTACGTACCATGAGTCTGTAATAGGGAAATTAGCCAACTGCGTGCGAATGTGGTAAAGGGAAGAGCGTGATGGTGCGCAACGAAGGAGAAACGGCGTCTCATCCGCCTGCATCGAGCGGGAACTTTTCTTGTCCCACCATGGCATACACCCAAAGAAGAACACCCACGCTTTATGTGGTGAGCAGCCAGATCATCGCAATTCCCTCTATTTTCTAGATCTTCAGGTAGTGTGACGAGTCGTAAGGCTGAAAAGAAACATCCCGATTGGCTGTCCAGCACACGGTATGCGGACACTAGCTTGCACGGTCCGCCTCCGAACGCCGGGTCTCAGGTATGGTGCAATGGCTGGCATGTCCCTCGATGTTGCTGTGCGTGGGACGCGTTTGCATTGACAGAAAACGGCGTACACAACAGCAATATAGAGCGGCTGCCCAACCAATAGAGGCTGCAGTCGGAGAGACGCATATCCAGGAGCCTGGTTCGAGGTCGTGATAAAGCTTAGGAGCGGGTGAGACGTTGTGCCCTCGTCTGACGCGTGCCCGAACCTGTTGGTACTCGAGCGTGGAAAGTGGTGTGATCACGTATCATCTCCAGATGTTGGTTGAATCGCCGATTCTGAATTCCCCAACGCAAGAGCATATCCTTCGGATCCTTGTCTGGATGAAGGGGCACCTGGGAGAAACATTGGCAAGCCAACAATGAGACCTCGGCGACCATATGGGTCTACACAAGAAGCTGCATGGTTGAGAAATTAGGTCGCGTTACAGGAGTGTCTGACTGCCATGATGCATGGTGTCAAGCCACAAACCTGAGGCCCGCTGCGAACGCGGCTTTTTGAGCAACTAGCGAAAGCCCCCGCAAGCGCTTGCCGTGGTAGAATTTGAGAGGTCGCGTGGGTGTGAGCCAAGCATGCTTGGCGTGTCTGCGGCGGGCGATGAAGCTAGCGAGAAGGGGAAGTCACCCCGTCTGGAATCCACGCGCATTCGTCCACACGCAGGACGCCACACGGGCGCCATGATCACAGGCGGACGTGATGGTTGTCGCGATCTTGCATTGTGGCACCGAGCGCCAGGTTCACTCCGATCCGGTGTAACCGATGGATCCAAGCGAGTGTAGAGCTCCCACCACCGCCTCCCAAACGTAGTTCCCGTCGCGATGTCCAGTCAGGTACCATCAAGGCTTGTGTGGTACACAGAGGAGGGTGTGATGCGCCGGGCCTAGCTCTGATCATCTGCCTGTGGCCGGGAAGGCCGCTGGATCGCCATGTCCCGACCTCGAAAATGCTTTTAGTGAGTGATGAGATCTGCCAGCAGTAAATCAGATCATGTCATGTCATCAAAGGGAAGACGATATTGTAGCTGATGTGAAAAAGAACAACAAGACCACGAACAGCGCGTTGCCATGGTGTAAGTCTTTACGTGGCAGCCCCCCTGACAGGTAGGATCGCAAACCAGGAAGCCATGACCGAGCTTCTCCTGACAGATGCATGCGATGCGTATATGAGGGCCTCCAATATGGAGGTCGGCCAGGGATGTCTCTGACAATTGCGACTGATTACTATGTTGCTGTTACTGCTACATGACTCTACTGCCCGATGCTCCAGGGATCAGATTACACGCTGGAATGGAACGTCATGACTGCTCGTCGCAGAAGCAAGCAGTGTCGATAGAGCTGATAGTGGATCTCCCGCAAGCCACCTGCATGGTGTGCTTGCTGCTTTGGCCCAAGTATGCCCTCGACATGGCATGCAGAATCTCGACATCGGAGCGGACCTATTTGGCGGCCATAGATGGATCTGCGCGCCACAAACAGGACACGCAATGTAAGGCTGCATGTAGCCGTGTGGACGAGCTGAACCTGGCTGGAGGTTTGCTTGACGCATCAAGCAGAGACAAGACCAAATGCACCGACCTGCATTGGATGCTGCGCATGTTCTGTGAAGGGAAAGGCCAGCGACAGTGCCGACGGCAGTTCTCGATGCAGAGAGTGGACGCACACTGGAGAAGAGATGGTCCAAGTTCGTGTATCGCAGTAGACACTAGGCGCTGGCCCAGGAAGACGTTGCAGTGGAGGGCTGTATGTCATGACGGCACGGTGAAAGAAAGAAGATAGGTGGAGCGGACGAGAAACGGGGTGGAGGCGTATGCAAGACGACGTTTTAAGCAGCTAGTGTCTAGGACGCTGAACAGCCCATGCGGCTCAAGATGGTGCCGGACGCATCGTTCATGATGTCGGGCAGGACAGCGCATGCGATTGGCTTGCGTCTATTCTCCGGAGTTCATGTCGAGCTGGCGAAAAACAAAAACTTCGTGACGAGGCCTGGCAGGTCGTTGGGGAAGGAGCAGCCTGAGCAAGTGCAGGCGCGAAGCTAAATTTGCCGACGCCATGCGCCCTAAGCTCCTTCCGCATTCCATTGCACAGAGAGGCGCCGGATTGGACGCCGAAGAGGGACCCTAGTTGGACCGCAGCCAGCATCTCTCGATGCAGCAGACTGCACAGGTGCCATGAGAGAATTGCGGCATGCAGGCACGGTTTGGTGTGACACATAGAATTCGGCAACGCTATCCTCGAAGCATCTCGGAACATTCACATCGCGCCCTTCCCTGCACCTGCACCAGGGGCTTCGCGACGTCAAGATGCTACCATGGCCGCGGCTGCGGAACGGCCAGCCCGCGTTTGACCAACCCCACCACGCCTGTCTCTTTGAGAGGGCTTCATATTGAAGGAGAGGGAGCAGATCCCTAGCCGGCCTGCCTGTGCCACCATCGAGTACATCTTTTGCTCTATCAGTGCAGCAGCCATCCGCTTTGGATATTCTCTGTCTAGGAGAGCAAAAGCTCTAGACGGCTACACGCTGCTGCGTGTTGCACACTACCGCGCCTGGTGGACATGCACTCAGCTCTTCCTGTAGCTAAAGTTTATTCTCCATTGGGCCCAGCATCTCAGTATAAGACGGACTACAGATCCGCGTCGTTAGCGTCCTCACAGTAGCAACAAGCAAACCCTGAAATCGTTCCTTCTCCAGTAAACAACCCTCACCCGACGTCGGTCTCATTCCAAGCCTTGCTTGCTTTTGCCAGCCACGAATCGACGTACCCTGAACACCCTCGCTTTCGAGTCCGATCCTACCTTAGCCTCAACCGGTATCCTGCCGCAAGCATACAGGTCAGTACTTCACCTCGGCCTCTATATCTAGCCTTCGTGCCCCAGTATCTTACACTATCAGGCAAACAGTCGTTCCCTTTAATCCCACGTTTTCCACCAATACTCTTTCACCACCATGGCCCGCCCCGCAAGCTGCTCACACAACTTCAAGTTGATCAAATCCGACACTACTCTCGTCGTCTGGAACTGTCAACTATGTCACACGGCTGGATTCAATTACATCTATGAGTGCGATCAATGCAAGCTCAAGACGTGTCGGCCTTGCGCAGCCAAAGCATAGGTAAGTCCAACATTCTCTTTGGTCAGGTTCTCCCTCCGCTAGGAACGACACCTTGGACTTACGGCACGTGCCAAGGTTTTGCGAAGGGTCATTCGTAAGATGCAACATGTATGTAGGTGCTGACTCGTTGACTGCAGATGGAATGCACAGATCGCCGACTACGATCCAAAGCACCCGAGATCCCGGTTCCCAGATGCACGCGAGCTGTCATTGGCGACTCACGACTCTCTCACATCATCACACACCACGCATCTCTGCTACGGTTTTCATCACCATTTTCCACGTCAGCCTTATTAACTCAGCATGGCGTTCAGGCATTTCTACTTTCCACGTTGCCGTCGTTGGCGGCTATGTCTCGAAACGGCAAGCTTCCTCGCAGGAATCGATTTTACGACTCGCTAGACAGAAGCAAAGGGGTACCCGCTTTGCAAGGGTTTCAGACTCGCCAGGGCCTGCACAGCAAGGCCGATGGCGATTGCCGTTGTGACCCGTCTGTCAAATCCTACGTTATCAGGCTTTCCTTAAGTATACCACGGCCGACATCTACACACGGCCTTTAATTTCTTTTGTCGCCTTAAAGTACAACGAATGGTGCAAACCAGCAAGCCATAATGTCTTCAATTCTTCACACACTATTCGGTATTATCGGGAGTCCAGGAATGTTATCTCGTCTCTCTCTCTCTCTCTCTCTTCTAGCTACATGTACATCTAGACGCCTGTGGGTGGGGTTGCTGTTTCACATACCCATGAGGCGACATGCCTTGGTGGCTTAGTAGACTACTTCATATCATAACCAGATCGAATACACCGGCCCGTCCATCTTCTGCAGTTTGCGGCAGGAGCTGCGGCAATCGTCGTGCTCTGCGATTGAAATTAGCTCATCGTATTAACGGCACCGCCGTAGGATTCCGCCTCGTCTCGGTGCCGCGCATCTCATCGGGTTTCCAAGGTTGGTATGCGCAGTACGATCTCTTGTTAGTAAGTGACATATGACTAGCATGCTGCTACCAAACATGACTTTTCAGACAGCTGAGAGCCAAGCGATGAGTTTGACGCTTAGCGCGATGTTGTCGCCAAACACACCTGGGTACCAACTCCTCTGTCTCTGAAGACCCCACTTCCCAATCGACTACGCAAGACATTTAGGCATGGACGTGCTGTCCAAGGGTCCAGCACAATTGTAGTTTCAGCGCGCATCTCAGAGCCCAAAAGCCGTAGTTTTCGCGAGCCGTCTTCTCGTCTCGCAGAAAAGTTTGACGACAAGGTGGTGGATACGATTGCCTCATTCGGGCCTGTCTGATGAGGAGCGACATGAATGCCGCCGACGAAAGACATATAGCCAACGCAGGTCCTCATCAGCTTGGAGCAGCGCACGTTGAGTAGGTGCCAGCACCGACAGGGGAGCCAACTTATCAGACCATAATTCAGCATCGCTTTTCGCAACATAGCAAGGTTCCTTAGGCGCACCGAGAGATCTCGGAAGACGACCCTACCAATCAATCGCATCACAGGCAGCGACCAGTCAGTCAGTCGATATACATCATGCGGGCGTCTGCCGAACGCATGCTGGGCGTATATGGCCACTAGATTAAGGGCATGCATGAGATCATAGAACGATGTCGGTGTTCTGCGACAGTGCCGAAAAGGGTTGGGGGACGCGAATTTCGCTCCTGCCTCCCCTTCTGCCCAGCTTGCCCCGCGCCTTCCAGCCACAGCGTCCCCGCCCATTTCGTGGCCTGCACTAAGACACAGTCTGCATACGAACTTTGACCAACAACTGGCCGCTTACTCTGCGTCGAGTCTCAGGCTTCACACCCCATGCATTCTCGGTCGCTGCTGTCACTGCCTGCGATGTTGCCTTGCGCAGAGAGCGACAGCCTTGATGTGCGTGCAGCAGCTGCACAATCGCAATGAGATGACAAGCTTTCAATCGCCCGACGCATCGGCATGCGCCAGAGATACTATTGGAGCCAGATGGACGTTTTTTTCAGCCGCAGGCAGCCGTAAGCAGCCAATACTGCAGATCTGACGATATGGCCCCCAAAACGACAAGACACATTATAGTCGAGGTGCCAGTGTAGACGGACCTCCAACACACATACACCTCCCCCCTTCTCCCTATCTGTGCTCGCATTCGCCTTTGAAAAGGTCTCCGCTATTGTCCCTTGATCAAACAGTTATAATTGCTTTTGAGCAAAACAGTTCAGCCACAGCGTTACAGATGCCCGGGCCCCGCAGAGCAAAAGCAACCATGACCTCTGAGAGAAGCGAGGATACACAAACCGGCGCACCTCAGGAGGTCATCAACGAATTTTGGAATAATCTCATTACGAAGCGGCCCGCGAAGGTGACCAAGATCTTTCCACCGAGTTTGTACGCGCATCTACTGCCTACGCAGCGTAAAGAGGGGACAGTTACAGGAAAGAATGCAGCCGAATCCTACGAAGCGGCCGCTGCGCAATGTCGCGCTCGCGTTCAACGCGTCGTCAAAGAATGCCATCGCACAAACGAGAAGTTCACCGATGCAGACTTTGACATTGAAGATTTGTCGGATGAAAACTGCTTACATGGCCTCATGAGCTGGTTCAAAGAGGAGCCAGCCAAATCGTCGAATCCACAAGTTAGCCCTATGCGGCTGGGCAACGCTCTCTCCACGCTGATCCAAAGTGGGGTAGTCATGTCTGATGGCGCGGTCTTCGATTTCACAGCGACAGCCAAGCTTCTGACCAACAGGCCAAACAGCAGTAAGACTGGTCCCAATTCTGTGCATCGTGTCGATTGGATCTTCGAAAAGCCACGGTTCGAACTCGATGGCTTCTCCAGCTCCGACCTCAGACAAGGCTCGAATGGCGATTGCTGGTTCATTGCTGCTGTGGCCACCATCTGCAGCAACCCCGTTCTAATGAACAAAATCTGTGTTGCTAGAGACGAGGAGTGTGGTGTCTATGGCTTTGTCTTCTACAGAGACGGCGAGTGGATCTGGACAGTCATTGACGACAACCTCTACCTTGAATACAGCGATTTTGACACCGCTTTTGGGGACCAGTATGACCCAGCGAATGCCAAGGAGATGAAATATAAGAAGAACAATCAGACGGGGTCCGAAGCGCTGTATTTCGCATCTTGTGTTGATGAGAATGAAACGTGGCTACCACTGTTGGAGAAGGCATACGCCAAAGGTATGCGCGAGTGCTGCTAACTGCGGTCGTTTGAAGCATGTTTGGGACGTGCTAACGAGCTCGCAGTGCACGGAGACTACGACGCCATTGCCGGTGGTTGCAGCGGCGAAGCAGTGGAAGACCTGACAGGAGGCGTCACAACGAAGATCCTTACTGATCGCGTGCTGAGTAAGAAACGATTGTGGGAAGAATTACTTCAAGCCGGGAAGGAATTCCTCTTCTCAGCTTCCTCACCAGGCATGGATGGAGATGACTCGGACGCTCGCAGGGGGCTTGCTTTGAGCCACGCTTATTCGATCTTGAAGGCTGTTGACGCTGAGGGTGAGGACGGTACGAAATACCAATTGGTTCTGATTCGTAACCCCTGGGGTAAACGAGTTCATGCTGGCATGGGTGAGTGGACAGGTCCCTGGTCCGACGGGTCTCGGGAATGGACGACGTATTGGATGGACAAGTTGGGCCATAAGTTTGGAGACGACGGCTTGTTCTGGATGTCTTACGAAGATTTGCTCAAAAGATTCGATCTTCTTGACCGCACGCGGCTCTTCAATGAGGATTGGACCGTGGTGCAGCGCTGGACGAGCGTACCGGTGGCTTGGGTCACCGGATACGTGAACACGAAGTTTTCGGTTGAGATTAAGAAATCTGGGCCGACCGTCTTCGTGTTGTGTCAGGTGAGTCGTGAAGCATCAATTATAATGAGATTTACTGACACTTCATAGCTGGATGAGCGCTACTTCAAGGGTCTGGAAGGCAAATACGACTTCGACTTGCACTTCATATTGAAAGAGCAGGGTTCTGTAGCAGGCGACTACATCATACGCGCTCGAGGTGCATGGTTCGGCAACCGCAGTATCTCTGCCGAGGCTGACCTTGAAGCCGGAGTATACGAAGTCTTGCCTAAGATTGAGGCTTCAAGAAACAAAGAGGCTCCAGACGTCCCGGAAGTTGTCACCAGGTTGGCAGAACGCAATCCGCAAAAGCTTAGGCAAATTGGTCTCAATTACGATATCGCAAATGCCAAGGGCATCTTCGAGCTATCCGAAGAACAGCAGAAGAAGAAGGAACAGAGAAAGAAAGAGGCGATGGAGAAGAAGATGAAGGATGAGGAGGCGAAAGAGAAAGAGAAGGCTGAATTCGAAGCGTGGAGAAAGGAAAAGGCAGAATTTGAAACGTGGAAGAAGGAAAAGCAAGCTGAGTACGAGGCTTGGAAGAAAGAGAAGAACGAGCACGAGACGGAAGAAGACGCTGAAGAGGCGGACAAGTCCGAGGAAGTACCAAAAGACAATGACACGCTCCCGGAGCAACGAAGCGCGGCGGATGCGCCTGATGATGCTGACCACGACACCGAGCAACCCACCTCACCCAATGCAAAGGACACGCCAAACGCCCCAGCCAACCTTACGATCCAGCTGAAAGACTCCCCAAACAAGACAGAACCCGCTACAGAACCCACACACGAACCACACAACCCAAGCAACAACAGTGGCGGAGATCACACACCCACCTCCGAGATCTTTCCCAATTCACCTTACAACAGTCCATCACCCCAGCCCCGCAGCCCCTACCAACCGTTCCCACCCCCACCACGCTACCACTCCCAGCCACCACCAGAATTCCGCAGATATCCCCACCCCCGTGGAAACCATGTTTACAGTGGGGCTCCTCCCCCACGAGACGTTCCTCAAACGCAAGAGCCTAAGCCGTGGAATGCCGTCTGTGTGTTGGGTCTGAGAGTGTATAGTCAGGATCCTGAAGTGAGCATTAAGTTGGTGAAGCCGAAGGATGATGAGGAATGTGCGATTTTGGATGTCGATGGGGAGACGGCGGCGGGGGCGACGATGTGATTGTGCAGCGGCCGAGGGGTGTGTATGTATGTGCATCAATTAACAATGCTGTTATTCATATCTTCATTGCTATTGATATGCAGCTCGCAGGTCCATCATGCTATGTATTGCCCACACCAAACCGTCTCCTCATCGTCGACTGGCATCCTACTCAGCCAACTTAGCACCGTTCAACATAACCGCAGCCCGAATAGTCGCTCCATTTCCAACATCAAAGCTGTCATGCACAGTCATACCCTCCGCGCCCATGACATCCTGGAAGCCCACCTGCGCACTTCCAAACTCAACGTCCTTATTCAGCAACGCAATCTTGAAAGCACCAGGGTTCGCAAGCATGGCCGCAGTAAGTGGAATGCGGAACGCCTGGTCGAACGAAGGGTTGAAGATATCAGTGCCGGGAGTGTACGTCTTGACTGCGGTCTGGAAGGTCTTGTCGCCCCAGGTAACCTTGACGCTGGGGTTGAGCTCATCGCGGTTGCCCTGGAGGCCACCGGCACTGGCAATGAGGACCGTGGCTAAACCGCAGACTTGGCCTTCGGCTTGGCCTTGAGCGTTGGCCGAAGAAAGGACTTGTGCGTCGTTGACGAAGTTGAAGAATTTGGCGTGGATCAAAAGACGCGCTTGAGTAGCATCGCCCTTGTGTGAGAGCTCCAGATCTTGCGAACCGCCCTTGAGGAGAATCTCCTTGACGCTGGTTGATCCAATACCGATGTCGTCATCACCTGCCAAGTCATCATCCTGGATGTCTACGGTGATGTCCTGCTCGAAGTCTGACACCAAGAAGTCGTGGGTCTCGTTCCACTCTGGCTCGTGGTTGTTATCCACGACGCTCGTCTTCCACTCTTCTTCCGCGCCTACTTTAACCTTGACATAGCAATCGGGTACATCCTCGAGCTTGACCTTGGATAGAAGCTTCCTCATGGTACTCTTCTTCTCGCCCTTCTTGGGAGCACTAATCCCAGTTGCGCGAGCGACTGTGATACGGATGATACCCTGGTGAGGCTGGTGGCACTTGAAGTAATCAACGTCGTTCATCATCTTGACGAGGAAGCGGTTGGGGAGTACGGCCATGCCATCGATGATGCCGAGGATGGTCTTGCGGACGGTGCTGTCAATAACAGAAAAGTCGGCAATGTTTGCGGCGTCGGTGAAGTCGAGCTTGAGGCTTGGTGTGTTGAGGAAGGCGACTTGTGCTGCACCGATCTAGAGCTTGCTTTAGTAGAGTACTCGAAACTCTGCGTCGTGTTGTGAGGGCTTACCAGTGGGATGATGTTTACTAGAGGGCACAGCAGTACGCTGATTCGGCCCTTCATATGGACCTTCTCAACACCCTGCATATCATGTTAGCTTAGCCGAACAACTTCTTCCACTGTATTCAAAACGTACCACTTTAGGCACCATGCTACCATCAAGCTCAAAGTCACATACACCCTCCCAATTCATGTCCATATCGAGCTTGATGCCGTCATTCTTGGTCTTGTGGACATCGACGTTAGAGAAGCCGATGGGGATGTGACCAAAGTCAATCTTAACAAACTTCAGGTTTTTTAGAGGGCCAGGTAGTGTCGAGGCGAGAATAGGTTCGACTGTGTCTTTGATGATGTTGGAGCCTGCGACGCAGATGTTTGGCCAGAGGTTCTTGACGATATCGTTGAGAAAACCTGGTACATGCGGGTTAGCATGTTTTGTGCCCAAAGTCGGTGTCAATGAATGAGCGTGCGTCCATCGCGGCATTGATCATTCATCACATCGACATTCGGCTGACGAAGGCTTGGGATGAGGATTTACCAGCTGGTTCAGCGCCACCAGAGGCTGTCAACGCTTCCACAAGAGATGCGGGCGCCTGGTTAGCCATGATGTGTAGTAAGTCTGTCTGTACTTGTATTGGTTTGCTAGTTGTCGAGCTCGTAGGTTCAGTAGCTCACAGTGGGCAGTACGCGTTCAAGGGTTAGGGGGTTCGTAAAGTAGAGAGTTTGGTTGAAGGACTGTTAACCAGTTTTGAAGCTTGTCAATTGGAACGCTACACCACGTGTCGTTCCTGTTTGTTGTTACCTGATCTTGGAAGCTCCAGGTTGACGTCACTTCTCAGACACGCTATGCGGCAAGTGCAAAGGTTGAACCCCGCAGTGGCAGTGAAAGCCACACGTCGAAGCCACAGACACGTGTCACGCTTCGCGCTCGCGCACCAGCCACTGTCAACTTCATGCGTACCTTAGGTCAGCAATTGCCGTTACTTGACTCTGTGAATACGTCTAACCATTTCCGGTGCTTTGATTGTTTGCATCTCAAATGCATGTGTAGGGTTGGTCGCCTGTTCCAATACGCCACGACTACGCCACACCTTGCTTTTCACTCCCCATGCACGTTCCCCCAGCTGTCACATCGCAATCGGCGATCATCGCATCAAGTACCTAGTCCCGCATAACATCGATGGCGCTGTCGCTAATCGACCAGAAGCAACCGTGAACCCCTGTGAATATCTCATATCGGTTACACCGAGCCGTCTTCTGGTGGCTGGCCATGTGTGAACGACGTGCATGAGTAGCGATTTGCTTTTACGGGCCGCTGTCAGATGGCAAGGGTCCAGGGTCTTGGATTTGATGGAACGGTCCTATATCACGACAACGCCTGATATACCGGGTGGCTTGAGCTATATCTGGAGGTGTCCAGGGGGTTGCTGTAGCCGAACTTTCTCAAATCTCGTTACGATTGCTGAGTATCTGTTGCGTATATCCATGTCTGAAGGCTTATGCCTGAAACCGCATTTGGATCTTCTACCGAGCTCGATACGCAAAGATGAGAGATAAGCGAAGGAAGACGGGGAAACGGTTCTTGGGCCGAGGACTTTGTACGATCGATCTCTTGCATGCAAGGAAGTGAGCGGCGCAAGAGATTTCGACAATGTATCATATTGTGGGATTCATGCGGAGTAGTTGAGATAGCAATCTTTTGGTCTTGCACGACGCTCTCGCTACGCCGCAATCTGACAAGACGCCTAAGTCTTGTTCTTTTACGACGGCGGCAGCGGGTTGCCATTTGGCGTCAGCCCATCACACGCACTCTCTAATTCACTTGCCGCGATGCTTTGCGTAACCTCTCCATCATACCCAAGCAATACCCCCTCGCCACTGGACTTGTAGGCTTCCCATCCCAGTTTGGGTAGGCCGTTGACTGGATCCTCCGCGAAAGCAAGGTAGTAGTCTTGCGATTGCTCGCTTACCTCTCTTTCGAAATCTGTACCGTTGCCTCTTGCAATACCGTAAGTACCGAAGTACAGCGGAAGATCAGACGAGTGGAATGCACCCTGCCAGAATCGAGGTGCGATGTTGCTGAAGTTTCCGGCGTACAGATAGCGGAAGGTAGTTGTGTTGGCTGCCATGCGGTCGTAGGTCGTCTTCACAACCGGGCAGAGGAATGATGAAGCAGTTGCAGCGTCGGCTTCAGCCTGATCAGGCCCGTACGTCGCATTGTATGCGGGGAAGGCGCTACCCTCATTATTCGTTGTGCCAATGATCGCCGGTTTGAGTGTGAAGTTTCCGGCAAGAGCGCGCTCCGTGTAATTTGAGAAGACCGTGACATTGTCGACTACTGGGACGAATCTTACACCTGGTGATGTACCATTGTCAGAATATTCCTTCAAGAAGCTCTCAATGTCACTAGATTCGATCTTGCGTAGGCAGTCGATTTCGGCATCGGCATCGGTCTCGTTACATCCGAAGTGTTGAGCGACGAACGTGAAGTTCGTTTGCTGCGTGTCGGCACTCTCGATCGACAGGAAAGATGAGCCAGAGTTCATGATCAAGCCCGAGACGATAGGATCCTCTGGATAAGCGAAGTTGTAGTAATCGACAGAGATGGCGCCTGCAGACTGGCCCCAGAGCGTGATACGGTCTGGATCGCCACCGAAGTTGGCTATGTTGTCGCGGCTGCGAGATGAGTAAGTTTTGATCTGTACTGAGTCTATGTATGCACACTTACATCCACTCTAGCGCGAGACGCTGATCTAGGAAGGCCAAATTCTGTTCGCCATCGGCAAGGGCTTTGGCATTGGGAAAGCCAAAGATGTTCAAACGGTAGCTATAGTGTTGGTAAGACATGTGTTGCGTCATACTAAATGAGCCAGACTTACTTGATCCCGACGACGATGTGCTTTCCTGTTCGTTCCACCCATCTGGCTGGAACCTGGTAGGGCACCGTGGGTCCACCCGTCACGAAACCTCCGCCATGAATCCAGACGAGGACCGGTAAGGGCTCAGACTCATCTTTGCCGGTCTCACAGGTGGATAAAGGAGCCCAGATGTTGAGATTTAGACATTCTTCTGACTGGTAGTCCCGCGGCGAGATGATGAACTCCGGCGCGTCCGTCAGCCAAACATTAGGTGCATCGCCCTCGAACTGGGGACAAGCAGGACCTAGATTGGTCGCTTTGAGCGTTTCGTTTGCTTTGCACTTTGGAGCCGGCGGCAGCCAGCGTCGGGCTCCCACAGGTTGTTCCGCAAAGGGTATACCCAGGTACTGTGCTACGTTTGGCGTGATGTCATCTGTAAAGCCTTCAACCGGTCCAGAAGATGTGTCGACGTGCAGAGAGTTGACGGCAGTCACTAGTTGAAGCTGACTGAGTCCGAGGAGAAGTGCTGCAGCGAGCGCCATGATGGATGAACGAGAGGACTGTGGAGGTGGGGATTGCAGTTACCCCATCGTGGTTATTTGTACCTTTTTCCACTACCCCAGATTATCATGGATCAACGTCGTCACTAGTCATGTCATAGCTGCATGCACCCCATCGGGGTCTTCGACCGACGGAATTGCGAGCAGGTTTTTCACTAGACTCTTGGATGCTGACATCGCTGTTGTAGTGCCATGAAAACTGTAAAGTAGGAGAGGCATAGATGTAGAGAGACATTCGCGCTCAGCAGGAATGTATCGGAACGCTCATGCATGGCGCAATGATTGAGAATCCTTCGTTATGAGGGTTCGGCAGGTACAAACTCGGCCGACAATGATCCGGGGCAGGCGCCGTCCCCACACTTTCCCCACCTTGTACATCGGTATCGTCACCGAACCGGCAACACTGTTAAGTGCAGCATCTTTCAGCAACAATGGAAGACATGACTCCAAGTTTTACCCCAAACCTTACTCCAAATCCTTCACCGTCGTTCAAAAGCCAAGATGAAGGTCTTGATCACAGGAGCCGGTGGTTTCGTCGGCCAAATTCTCGCAAAGAAACTCATCGAAACGAGCACCGCAGATGCACTCATTTTAGCCGATGTCAACCCGCCTCCTAATCCAACATCGTCGCAAAACGTACAGTGCACCTCGGCAGATCTCACATCGCTTTCCGCATGCGAAGACCTCATCGCCCAATCACCGGATGCCGTGTATATCCTACATGGCATCATGTCGAGTGGTAGCGAAGCAAACCTCGAGCTTGGTCTAAAAGTCAACTTTGAATCTGTACGCCAGCTACTAGACACCATCCGGATCAAGCGACCAGGAATCAAAGTAGTTTTTACGTCTTCCTGCGCAGTATTTGGCCGGAAAGCAGCGGAGAATGTAGCGACAGAGACGGATATTGTACCTATGCCAGAATCAAGCTACGGCACCCAGAAACTCATGATTGAGTTCCTTCTCAACGACTATTCGCGACGCGGGCTTATTGACGGACGAGTCGTGCGCCTGCCAACTGTCTTTGTAAGAGCAGGCGCACCAACTGCTGCGGCTTCGTCCTTCGTCTCCGGCATTGTACGCGAGCCAATCCATGGGAAGGAGTCAGAATTACCAGTCGACCCGAGCATTGGCATATGGCTTACTTCACCGCGCGCGCTGGCGACAAACCTCGTGCACGCCATTAAAGTCCCGGCGGAAAAGTTTGGGCACTTCCGCCAAGTGCTTTTACCCGGTTACACAGCTACGAGCGGAGAGATCTTGGACGCCTTGGAAAAGATCGCTGGAAAGGAGACGAGAGCTTTGGTGAAAGAGAGGAGAGATGAGACTACGCAGAGGATCGTGTTGAGCTGGCCGGCGAAGTACGATACTGCGAGAGCGAGAGAGCTAGGGTTTAGTGAAGACGTGGGGCTTGAACAGACCATTCGCGACTTCATTGACGGCGAAAAGCAAGAAGCATGAAACATACATATTTCTCAACACTTTTGCGTCAGCAAGGGACAACACACAATTGAAAGTACCGCAAGGAGGTCAGAGGTCGTAACATTGTATTCATTTCGTTATGGTTATGCTCATATCCGGATGTCTTTAGACATGACATCTTACTAACTATATACATTATTCCTATTCATCTGATCTAACCATAAACGGGCGACTTGGTGTAGCCAGGGAACTGCTTGAGCAGATTCTCGTCAAGAGTCGCAAGCTGAGGGCAGCCCAAAGCTCCGACAACGCTTCCAATAGCGCTGGTAAGGGCATTAAGCGGTCCGAGGAGGATGTCCGGCTTGGCTTGCGCCGATGCCTGGTAGACGAAGCAGCCGAGGTTGTTGCCCTCAAGCAGAGATGCGCCGTTGAAGACACCGCCAGTCAAGTCCGCAACATCAACACCGACGAAAGAGTTGGGAGTACCAGTGTTTCTGAAAAGGTGTTAGCATGTGTTCTAAGCAAGAGCAGGAGGAAGATGGACGTACCCGCCAATGTCAAGGAACTTGGGGTGGAGAAGAGCAGCATTGACAGCATCCGCAAGGAAGTAAGTGGTCTCGTAAGGGTACTCAAGAGCACGACGGTACCAGTTCTCCGGGATGCGCTCTCCGCCTTGGACCGCCTTGAAGTTACCACTGTTTCCCTCGATACCGAACCATGACTTAATGACATCGTATGGGAGGATACCGGTGGGGTCCTGAGCAGTGTGGTTGGCCATGAAGCGGAAGATGAAGGTGTACGCAGCAGGTTGCACCAACACACCGGAGAATGGTCCGTTGAAGAAGTAGGGGTTAGTCTGCTTCTGCACATCGAATCGATGGCTTCTGAAGTCTGTTAGACTGTCCAGGGTGACGACACCACCGGGTGAGTAGTCGATCAACTCTTGGAACTGGCTGGCGACAGTCTTGTAGTTGTTCCCGGCCTGGTAAAGGTCGGGCCTTGTTGGCGAAGCATCGGCCTCGTACTTGTTGTGGGAACCGCTCAACCCATTACCTAGGGTACCTGTCACACCTGCTTGAGCGATGGATGGCGTGCCACCCATAGACCAGCTAAGAAGGTCACCGTCGAGGGCGCCTCCAAGAACTGAGAGAAAGGTCGACAGGACGGGGCCCATGCCAACCACCTTTTGTGTGGCTTCGATGTATTGTGTCACAGTGGCATATCCATTGTGGGGCAGGTAGTTCTTTGACGTGTTAGTATCGTCAACTGAGCAGGACACAGTGAGGGACTTACGTGGTTGGCGAATGCGTTAAGACCAGGGCAAGGTCCTCGGAGGTCATCCGGTCCTGGAGCAACGTACTCGTGGCCGCTGCCCTTGGTGATGTTGATGTACTGGGCCTTCGCGTTGAAGATAGGCACTGGCTCAAAGATTGCTGTCGCAGCATCTGCACCAGCTTGACGACCTTGCAGCTTCACCAGCCTCGCGGCCTCCTCGGCGCGCTTCAGGAGCTCGGGATCATGACCAGCAGCGTCCAAGATGGCAGTTGGCCAGGCGCTGGCAAGGGGCGCCGCGGCGATCAAAGCTAATTGGAAAGAAGAGAAGTGCATGTTTGTGATTGATGAGAAGACTTGATGCTAGCAATGAAGTGTAGACCAGATGGGTCGGGCATGCTATATACCAATCTGCAGGTACGTACACAACATCGCCATCACGTTTGCTGTCACCCCATAGTCTGCATGACGCGCATCGGCGACGTGAGCAATGGCCGCGGTTGACCTGGTCGTTGAACAAAGACCCCGCTGTCGATCTCTTGGTCGATAGTACACAACGGGCGTCGGCCATCTCCAGAGACACTTTGGGCTGTGCGGGATCATGTGGAGATGACAACCACTCGTCTGTGATTCGTGAACTGCTCTCGATCGGGACCTTAGGCGCCAGACTATTACCTATGGATCCGGGGTAGTGCCCGAGGAAGAAAGGTCAGATGGGGTGAAAGTGGGATTGTGGCCAATATCAAGCAACCGCCACCCGCGCCGAACAGGAGGCACCTGCGAGATTTAGGATACTAGCTATCCTCAAGAGTCTAAGACCTGGCTGAAGTCGGTATGCACGATGCGGTAGTTGGCGGCACTTACCAGGGGTACCCTCCGGAAGTTAGCGTGCCCGAACCAACAGGATCAAAGCCCCCACCCAATTATGGGGAACGGTCAGCTTCCCGTATACCAAAGCATCGTGAGATCTGCAAAACGCTACTTCCGATGCAACTTAGACACCCCTGAAGGAAATTTGTCAAAAGACGGGCAGTAAAATGTTTGGAAAGTTGCCTCGGTCAAAACGCCTTTGTCCAATGACGGCGAAGTTGATGGTAAACTCTCTGCTGTCCTAGGCTGCCAAGATCATACGTCACGAACGCACTTCATCGATCTTGCAGCGTGCCAACTGTATACTAGTTTTCTTGGGTTGCGGATGGCGGCGCTGCTGCGGAGGCATGTGGCTGTGAAGTTCAACACTTCGCGCAAAACCGAGGAGATGCCCAGGTGTGAAGGGACGCGATGTTACCGGCTGAGATCGGCATGGAGTCCTTCATCCGTTGCCCCCATCTCCGCTACCAAAATATGTTTGCGCCGGGCAATTTCCCCATACTTTACTTTTTCGTTCTCAGGATCTAAACACTAGTACCTGTCGTTCACCCTGGCGCTACATACCTAGGTAGGTCTTTCGCATTGGCTAGGTCTACTGCAGCCGATATTTTCCGTCAGGGGTGTCATCACGCCAACATCGCCGGTACTCGTGGGTTGCCTGGGACGCACTATGGAAGCAAAAGGTAGTAGTTGTCTCACCGTAGCGTGCGCTTTCATCGAGCGCAAGTGCACGGCCAATCACATCCTCAAGCTCAGTTCCTCACAACCGACGATAAGAATAGAGCACCATGCTACCGGTAAAGACCAATGTTGAGCAGGTTCAAGGTACCAGAGTATCCACTTGAACACCTGCGAAGTTGTGTCTAGGCCTTTCACGATGAATGTAGGATCTACGATTGGGTTTGGCGGAAGCGTCAAAGCTGTCCTGGCAACAGTGCGACATTTCACGATCTCAGGGACTTTTCATTGATGCAAAGTCGTTTCCTCACCACACATAATATGGCACTCTCCGTACCCAATACGTTTGACGACAATCAGTTTTGCATATGCGGCACTCTCCGGTGATGTCAACCATTCAAGAGTAAAGTTCACACAGGGGAGCAAAGACGGACACGCATTGTTCGCACACCGGATATTCTATCTGGAAATGAGATGTTGATGCTAATTCAGTCTACAGAAAGCTATTTGCTTACATGTATGCAGCTTGAGACAATTACCGAGGCCGTTACTGAACTCATCAACGTGATTGACCAATTCTACTGCACCGCTGATAAGGCTCTTACTAACCACATGTTCCAAACTGCGGCTGACAACCCCACGACAGTCTGCAGTAGTCATTTTCGTCATTGCCACACCACCCATAGCTTGAACAGCATCTCCCGAAAGTACTACCCGTACAAGTCTGACCATTCCCATCCGCTCCACACCGTCCGCTAGTACTGACATTCGTCGGAACAGGTGCCGCAGAAGAGGCCGAGCTAGGCGTTGGTGTTGATGTTGGTGTGGAAGTAGGAGTCGGCGTGGGCGATGGTCTAGTTGACGAGCTGCTGGGGACAGGGGCCGACGCAGAGGAAGAAGAGCCTGGCGGTGGTGCCACGCCGCCGCAAGTTCCAAAGCCAAGACGACATCCAGTGCCGCAGAAGTCTACGGAGTTACCGCAATAGTAGTACTCCGAGCAGCAGCTTCCGAAGGCGGAGCCGGCACATGTTGTCGCGTTTCCGCATTGCCCATTCGTCGATGGGATGAGCGTGCCAGAGGGCAGTGGTGGGAGAGCGGAGGAGCTTGATGGAACAGGGTCTGAGCTTGTAGGTGGCAGAGGTGTGGGTGTGGGTGTGGGTGTGGGTGTAGGCGTGGGTGTAGTGGTAGGCTCTGGTGCTGCGTCACCGCATCTTCCGAAGTCAGGCTGACATCCAACAATGACGCCGCAGTGCTAAAGGAACTTCCGTTAGTGTGCGTGGAATCGAGACGTTGTGGTCACGCATACCTCGAACTCAGTTCCACAGTAGCCATAACTTGAACAGCATTGGTTACCACCACATCTCTGGTTGCTGAAATCAGCTCCACAACGTCCCGCCGCTTGTCGAGGGAACAAGTAGTGGAGCGAGCGAGAGTAGAGGTTTGGCGTTGTAGTGTTGCGTTCCTTGAGATGTTGCGCAATGGTGTCTTGGATGCTTTCTGATACGGTGAGAGGTCCTTGTGGATGCACAACGAGTGAGGTTTTGAGTGATGGCCCAACTAGGGCTAAAACTCCTGAGAAGCTCAAGGCCCCTGCCAGGTTGATAAATGTCCAACGCATGGCAAGCTGTCTGAAAAGGATGTTGAGGTACCAGGTAAACCAGACATTTCCAGTGAGCAAACCCAGGTATTAATCACACTCACACATCGCCTCACGGAAGCTAGGGACAGTCAGCCAGACGATAATGAATGGCTCACCTGCTCAATATAGCAGATGGGTTTACTGAATACTTGGCCGCGTGCATGTGAGGCTTCTTCGAGTCTGAGAATGTGCAATAGACCAATGGAAACACAGTGCCAAACCCGTCCTGTAAATTGAAACTGTAAGCTTTGATGGTCGTACAAGCGTTTACGGGATTCCACATTATTGCTAATATGGAGGCCAAACGCTGGGTATCTTTGTGGGGCCTCCTGGTGTTGCGCATGTATGGAAGCCATGTGAAAAGACTCTTCCAAGTAGGTTGAGAAGCTATAGGAGCCATTGCGATCAAAGAGCGCATGCGAACTGCTCTATAGGTGTCACAGCTTCAATCACAAATCTCGCTGTCGCTTTCTGGGTCCGGTAAATGACACTCGCAGCCAGAGAAAAATATGGTGGATGGTTCGTGAGACCAACCGAGTGGTGAAGTGGGGCCTTTCGAAGCACTTCTCGGCACCTGCCCACGTGTATCCCGTAGATTTGAAAGCTCTCGCGTGTCGACAGAGGCTAAATGCGAGATGCCGACGATACCGAAACACGACATGGTATTGCCGGAACGTCATATTTGAAGGTTTCCTGACATCTGAAGAGTCAGTTCGATGCAAGGTACCATCCATGATGGGCTGCGTACCGGGTAAGTTGGCCTGTTCCGCAAGTATGTATTAGCCGCTGTCATCCGCGTCGCGCGAGGCTGTCCGCTGACCAGCTTTAATGAGACGCAATGCATCGGGCATCCATAGCGCACGTACGGCACAAAGAAAGCATCGTTCGATCTCAGTCGTGAATTTGATGGGTGGTATGAGGACGAATGAGGGCTGCAAAGCGAGGAATCGCAACGCGACCATGACGCGTTGGCCTGCAAGGGAGGAAGCAGCCACCCAGTCACCCGAGGATCCACCATCCGAGTCGCAACATCACTCAACTATAACGAAGAAGGGAATGTGCACCTTTGACTCAGACTGAGGCGTGGTCTTGAATTGGGCTGGTCATCGAAATTGTACCTAGGTACTTTGGTATGCAGACATGAGCTTGGGTCGGTTCGTAAACATGTTGGGTATTCAAATACAGTTAACAATGACTACATCACGCTCTCAGTCCCTCCATAAGAGCCCCTTCCTCCCTCTTCCCCACAGCCTGAAAGACAGCACCATCGCCACCAATATCTAATCCCTTCTCCGCTCTCTCATACGCCTCATCACTTCTATCCAACAAAATCTCCAGCTCCTCCTTTCCCAACACCTTGCCACTCTCCGTACCCTCAACGTCAAACTTCTCTCCGTCGCTTCTTCTAAGGAGCTTCTGTAATTCCTCAACCTCTTGCTCCTTCTCGTTACCTCGTGTGCCGCCCCGGTCATTCCGCACACCACCCTTCCTAATGACAAGCTTTTCGAGCCGACGCTTCGCTTCTGCAGATTCCAGGAGTTTCTGCTCGACGGTGTTGCGCGTCGCGAAGCGGTAGACGATGACGTTGCGGGTTTGACCGATGCGATGCGCGCGGTCCATGGCTTGGAGATCTTGCTGAGGGTTCCAGTCGCTGTCGAAGAGAATGACTGTATCCGCTGCTGCGAGGTTGATGCCTTGGCCACCAGCGCGGGTGGATAGAATGAAGATGTCCGCAGCCTCCTTTGTAGAAGATGGCTTATTGAAGGCTAAGATTTGGTCTTGACGGTCTGTTTGTGCGACGGATCCATCGATGCGGGCATAGTTCCAGGAGCGCAGATCGAGGTAATGGCCTAGAAGATCCAGGGTAGTGGTAAATTGTGAAAAGATCAGGACCTTGTGGCCGCGACGTATCAGCTCGGGGAGAAGTGCATCGAGGAGAAGCATCTTGCCAGAGGTTGACACGATTGTCTCATCGGGCTCTGTCTCTGATGCGAATGTTTCGGCCCCGTCGGTATCTGCTCGTATAAAAGGGTTGAAGAAGTTGTATGGTGAGTTGCAGCACAGTCGGAGCTGCATGATAGGATTACCGAGCTTCTTCTGCATGAGCTGACGTTTTGCGATTTCGAAAGTCGCAGCTCGCGTTCTCTCATCTTCAGCATCAGAGCTCAGCTCTTCTTCCTCTGACTCGGATTCTGCCTTATCCAGTCCATCAAAATACTCATCATCACTCACTTCTTCGTAGTTCTTCTTTGGTCGGCCTCGGCTCCTTGTTGAGGCAACAGATGCCGGCGTACCTGCACGAGACGTCTTCGCACTCTTGATTGGTGTGTCTCTGCTACTCAAAGCCTTACGCTTAAGACCTCCGTTGTTGCTGCGAATGCTCAATGGCGTTCCTGCTCGACTACTGAGGCCGATGCTCAACCGTTCAACAGCTTTCTCCTCGAGATAGGATCGACTGGTGCCGTCGAGAATCGCCTGGTACAGCTCGCGCTGCATAGAAGTCAACGGAGCGTACAACACGTACTCGCGCTTCTTGGGCATCAAGCTCTCAACGTCCGTCTTGACTCGTCGCAGCAAGAATGGCTTCAAGACAGCATGTAGTGACTTCACCAGATACTGCTGTCGCTCTTCCGATAGTAACTGCTCGAAGCTGGACTTGTCTTTCAGCCCAGAGAAGTCGAACCAGCTCTCAAACGTAGATAACTTGTCGAATACTGTCGGCAGTAGGAAATGTAGCAGCGACCACAGCTCCACAAGATTGTTCTGCAATGGCGTACCAGTGATGAGGAGACGATTTGCGGATTGGAACTGTTGCAATTCGCGAATCAGCCGGCAGTCAAGGTTCTTGATGCGATGTCCTTCGTCGATGATGATGAACTGCCAGCCAAAACTTGTGAGGTACTTGCGATCGTTCATGCAGATCTCGTAGCTGGTGACCATGATAGGGAAGTCGGCAGTACCAGGGTTTCGTAACCTAGTTTTGCGCAGTCTTTCGCGCTCCTTCTTATCGCCATGGTATAGCATGACCGGCATGCTAGGTGTCCATTTCTCAAACTCTGCGACCCAGTTGCTTGTGGTGCTGAGCGGCGCGGCAATCAGGAAAGGCCCGTAGGACTTGTTCTCCCATAGATGAGCGAGCATGGCTATCGTCTGGATGGTTTTGCCGAGGCCCATCTCGTCTGCCAGAATGCCATTGATGCCGTTGTTGTAGAGCGAAACCATCCACTCAAGGCCCTCGAGTTGGTATGATCTCATGGTACCTCCAGTGACTAGCTTTGGCTGCCGTGCAGATTTGAGGTCTGTCATACCAATATCACTCGTCTTCACGTTGTCTTTGTCATCCTCTGCTGCTTCTTTCAAGGCCTCTCCTACGTCCTGATTGCCCGCCTTCTTTTGTAAATCTTCCTTGCTGAAGTAGCTCGATATGTCCGACGTTTGCTTCTTGGGTCTATCACGGCCCTTGGTGTCTGCCTTCTTTGGTCTGCCCGCACGTTTCTTTGGCGTTGCATCCTCTTCTTCCTGCTTCGCCGTTGTCGCGCCGTTGGCCGTAGTTCCGCGTGTAGCTCGTCGCTGTGATGCTGCCGCGGTTGTGTCGGCGATCTTTTCGCGCTTCGAAGTCTGTCCGTTCGTCTTCTCGTCTTGCTCGTGCTCCTGTTCTTCTTGCTGCTGCATCTGCGCAAGCATAACCGATGCATACAGCTGCCATACGTTAGCAATCGTTCAAAGCAATACAGCACACTGTCTCAGCGACAGAACTGACCTTGCTCTTGTTCATCAAGAACTCCAATTGCTGGAACTTCTTGTCGAGTACCTCCCTGCCGCTCTTGATGTCTTCTTGCCTCTCCTTCTCTAGTTGTGCTTCGCGTTTCGCGTCATCTTTTTCGCGTTGCGTCCTCATGCGCTTCTCCTCCTGCTGCATCGACTGCGGTACACTCTCTGCATCCATGTCGGCTTGTGGTGGCGATGAAGCGGGCGTAGAGTGCGATCCAGACATTGCGCTCGTTACAGGGGAAACGGTCATATCGCGTACGATGAGAAGAATCGCTCAAGAGCAGGATCAATGCGAATGATAGTATTGTTTCTAGCGCCAGGGGTATGTGAAAATGACCGCATGCAGTGGGACGCGGTCGCGATGAAGGGGACGCGCTAAGTGGAAAATCGATGACGATGTTTTCGACGCGCGATCACGCCCGAACTTTAATTACTTTTGTCAACCCGTCCCGCGACGCGACTGCAGGCCAGCCAACGCGACATTAGAGCTTTAAGCGATAGAATACTGCGTCCTCTGGGTTCTCATAATAGCTGTCAATCTCCTCAAAACCATATCCCTCATACAGCTTTCGCGCAGTCTTCATGCTGCGAAGTGTATCGAGCAGCATCTCTTCATAGCCCAGCTTTTTTGCATGCGAGAGAGCAACTTCCATCAATGGTTTGCTGAGACGCATCCCCCGCGTTTCAGGCGCGAGAAACAAGCGCTTGAGCTCGCATGTCTTGGTGGGTGCTGACGTTGAGTGCGCTAGTAAAGTTGCAGACTCAGCTGTGGTGGGCGTCGCGAAGAAAGGTCGGATGGCTATGCATCCTATGGCTTGCTCGTTCTCTTTTGTGGTGCTGAAGCCGGCCTTGCTTTCGTGACTTCCTCCGTCTCCTGCCGAGGAGACCAGCAACCAAACAGCGCCTCCTTTTGAGGCTGCATATTTGCCAGGTAGTTCCGCCAATTCGTGGTCGAAATTTTGAAAGTCGAGGCTGATGGGCAGTGACTGTGCGTACGCCCTAAACAGCTGCCCCACCACCTGCTTGTCGGCGGGGAACTCGGCGTCGCGGATTTGTATGTTTGGAAGCTCAGGCATGTCGAATCTTCGAGATGCTCAGTGCTGTGATGTGTAGTCTGTTATTCGCAATGGAAATGAAGACGAAGGATGTAATGGATGAACCAATATTAATCCAGCGCGGCTGCACCTCATGAGCTTACCTGCCTACGAGATGTATTTCTTGAAGGGCGCAGTTCTAGCCTTACTAGCCTAAGCGTGTTCTCCACTCTCTGAGTGGGACTCATGTTCTCGTGGTTTCGCTAATAGCGGAGTATCATGAGCGCCCTTTCGCCCGTCCTCGCCAACGCTGCAGCTCTTCCGGTTTTTTTTTGCAATCTCTTTATATTGTATTTAATTTCTCAAGTCGTCATCAAATCACGTGTTACGGTCTTATGGGTAATTCATCACCTCACCGTTCAGCATCAACACCAGCTAACAAACACCAGTCTAGTGGTATGATTCTCGCTTAGGGAGCCCCTTCTGGAGCAAAACCCAAGCACAGCTTGCGAGAGGCCCCGCGTTCGAGTCGCGGTAAGACCCATCACTTCTTTTTTTTGCGTTCCGTAGAGACCCAGTCTTGAATGATTTCTTTTTGCATGCACAGCATGTAGAGAATATAACCCTTCTTACAGCGCACCATAGGCGTAAGCCTTATCCTACCTTAGACTAGATTAACTGTTACAACGTTTTCTTCTACCAATAACTTTGAGGACCGCTGCTTTGGGTTTTACTAGCAAACTATATCTTGGGACCTGCGTAGCTGAGCACTTCGCGAACTCTCTGACAAGACACTCTTCTTCCTTATACGTCTTCCAGGCAACCGGCACTATTCGCAAGTCCGTGGTGCAGTGCTTCGTGAGTTTGTATATCTAAGAAAGTGCCTTCTATCTGCAGCTTGCGATATCCCCGCTATACCTGAGTACCCCTCACACAATGACCATTCGCCTAGCAACACCCGCCGATGAGCCCGCCATGGCATCTCTTCTGGCCAAAGCATTCTTCGGTGAATCGCTCTTCGGCCAGACTCTGCATCCTTACCGTGATCAGTACCCAGACGACGTCAAGATATTCTGGTCCGAGTACCTACGGGAGCACTGGAAGACACCCAACGCGAGACTTTTAGCTGCAACGACGACGGTAGATGGGGAAGAAAAGATTGCTGGTGCAGCTATCTGGAAAAGAGATGGTGATGACGAGGGGAAGCGTAGGGTGGAGAGCGAATGGGTTGATGTCGGCAAGTATCTCCAACTCCTGAATCAACTGGTATACTAACACCGGTACAGGACCGGATGCTTTCCAGCCTCTGCCTCCAACAACAAATCGCGCTCTCGATCCTACCAAGCGCAATATCTTGGAAGAAACTTTCCCTTACTTCAAGCATCACTGGAACGGCGACCGCAGAAACAACTGGTATCTCGATATCTTGGGTGTTCACCCAGACTATGCTGGCAAGTCGCTCGGGCGAGAACTAGTTAAATGGGGGCTTGACCGCGCAAAAGAAGAAGACGTCCATGCGAGCGTTGCGGCTAGCAAGGGGAACGAGCGATTCTATCAACGATGTGGATATCAGGAGATCGTAGGAAACTGTACGGAAGGAGAGGGCAACCCGCTCAAGAATGCCGGAGTTGAAGGTGGAGATATTCTTTTCATGTTCCCTAAACAGAAGCAGGAATCTGCTGCCTCGTAAGGGCGAATCTGCCCAAGCATCAATCGACACTCGTATCTCGCACAACCTGTTCCGGCGCGTCTATGTCAAGATGGTAGCCGATGCGTCACGACGCGTCGCGGTGCTACCAAGCCGATTCTCGGTCCGACAGATTCCTACATTACTCGCTAGCGAGTCTACCAGCTTTTTCAACCAATCACCAGGCGAGCAAGTAGAGCCGAGTAATCTCCCGGTGCTTTTGCGGGGGAGCTTTTGCGCGCTTTCTTACCATCGTCGTCATTGTGCGGGTAATCGGAGGACGGAGGAAGGCTGAAGCTGACTGTAGAAATAGAAATGGCATCGCAGGTTGGCATCGTGCGGAAGAACCTCTGTCATCTCTCGACTTCCTACAATTATGAGGCGCTCATCTCCTGTCTTGGTGTCTCTTGCAGCACTAACTACAAGCCATATCATTCCTCGTCAAGAATCTATTGATTACAATGCTGCTCCACCGAATCTCTCCACTCTAGCTAATGCGTCGCTGTTCGACACATGGCGGCCGAAAGCACACGTTCTCCCGGCGTTTGGACAGATTGGAGATCCGTGTATGCACTACACGGATCCTGAGACCGGCCTCTTCCACGTGGGATACCTACATCTAGGCGCATCAGGCGCGACTACAGACGACTTGGTTACATACAATGACCTGAACCCCAACTCCGAGCCTTTCATCCGCGCTGGCGGCATCAACGATCCCGTTGCTGTTTTTGACGGCAGCGTGATTGAAAGAGGAGTCAATGGCACACCGACTTTGCTGTACACCAGCGTCAGCTTCCTGCCAATCCAATGGACGATCCGGTATACCAAAGGAAGCGAGACACAATCACTCGCCTTTGCTACGGACGGTGGCCGCAACTTCACAAAAGCAGAGTTCGGCCCTGTCATCCCTGACGCGCCATTTGCTGTCAACGTCACCGGCTTCCGCGATCCCTTCGTGTTCCAGAACTCGCAGGTCGATGGTTTGTTGGGCAAGCGGGATGGAACGTGGTATACGGTCATCTCGGGCGGAGTACATGGCAAGGGTCCCAGCCTCTTCCTGTACGCTCAATACGATGACGAAGACAGAGACTTGTTCCAAACCTGGGAGTACTTGGGCGAGTGGTGGCATGAAGCGGCGAACTCGACTTGGACCGATGAGGGCTGGGCTGGACGCTGGGGCTACAACTTTGAAGTCGCCAACTACTTTGCTTTGGACGAGCAAGGTGCTAACCCAGAAGGCGAGATCTTCGTCACAATAGGCGCGGAATGGAGTTACGAGCCCATTGTGCCCCAAGTCTCAGACAACAGGGAGATGCTCTGGGCTGCCGGAAAGCAAGAGCTTGTTGACGGTAAACTGACTTTCGAACCTACGATGGCTGGACGACTCGATGCTGGGCGGTCCGCGTACGCTGCTGCGGGCAAGGTCCTCCCTGCGGACTCACAAGCTAGCAAAGCAAGCGGTGCTCCGGATCGGTTCATCACATACCTCTGGCTAACAGGCGACTTCTACGGCACCTTGACCAATGAGTTCCCAACTCCACAGCAAAACTGGACAGGATCCCTACTCCTTCCACGTGAACTCAGCGTCGGCTACCTAAACGTCGTCGACAACGAGCTCTCCCGAGAGCAAGGTGCATGGAGAGTAGATTGCGAAAACGACAACGGAACGGTCACGCTCGCAACTCTCCACCAGAAGATCGCCCGGGAACCTTACGCCGCCTTCCAAGACAATGCTACGAACACCATAGCCCAATCCGGCGGATCCATGGCAAACGTAACGAAATTCACCGAAAGCCCAAAGTCAAAACATTACATGCTCACCGCCTCCATCACCTTCCCCTCTCGCTCTGACGACGTACGTGCGGGCTTTACCATCCTATCCGGACCCCAAGAATCCACAAACATCTACTACCAATTCGGCAACGAAAGCATGATCATCGACCGTTCGAACTCTTCGGCCGCGGCACAGACTACGAACGGTATCCCCACGGACAATGAGTCGGGGAAGTTCCGTTTGTTTGATGTTGCAGGCGGACATGGAAATGAGACCATGGTTGAGACGCTGGATTTGACGATTGTGGTGGATGGTGGTGTTGTTGAGGTACATGCTAATGATCGGTTTGCGATTAGCACCTGGGTGAGGAGTTGGTATGGGGATAGTACGAATATTAGTTTCTTTGTGGAGGGTGGGGAGGTGGTGTTTGGTGATGTGACGGTTTATGAGGGTTTGGTTGATGCGTGGCCGCAGAGGAGCTAGAGTGAGGAATGATGAAGGATCTGAAGACAAAGACTTCGGTTGGAGATGCGTATAGTAGGAGTTATTGTATCGACAATCCGTTGTTCAAATATGTTGGTCACAGTGAGATTGTCCGCTATTGATTTCGATGTACGTCCGAATTGCTCTTAGATGCGTTTACAAGTAGCTGACTCTGGTCACCTATCAGAAGAACGGTACCAGCCTTCCAATGAACACAACCAAGGTTCTTCGCGAGAAAACCATTCAAGATCGAGCGTGAAAGACAGGCGAAGATCAGAAGGACTGTTGAAACGCTTAGGGGAAAGTTAACTCAAGATGAGGCTCGTTTGTGTATTAGGTTTTGGTGCTGGGAGAAGATATCGTGGGTAGCGGGGAAGATTACGTCAGCGACGTCTTGCACCTCCTTTTGGCTAGCACTGCCGCGGTTGCACGAGAAGGCGCGGTGGCGCGCTCTCACCACGGGCGAAACATAGTCGGCCAGACCCAGCCCGCCATGAAGTGTGTTTCTCACAATCCCGAATCACTCATCTCTTCCTTTCCGGAAGGCCTTGACCACTTGTAAGACATTGCAGATTCTGGTCTCGTCCCAAATTCTCCCCCTGCTAAGCGCGTTGCTGCCTGCGCCTGCCTCAACGCGCCATATAAGCTCATAGTACGCTGGCACCCTTCACTGCCCAACTGTATCAGAAGCAATTCTCGTGACGCGCACTCGTCAGAACCTTCTCGTCGCGCTCCATCCACCGACACATCCACAACCCCATCATCGAAAATCACAACACACCCCCACCAACGAATCTCGACCCATCCTACACGATGACCATGGCGACAGCCCGTGAAGAAAGAACCCTGTCTGACACCCCAAATGGACTCTTGCGCAGCCAACACGAGTACTCGTACCGTCTTCCCACGGCCCCGCGCATCGTGGTACCCCCTCCCACCCTCACCACCGACATGCCCGGCCTCTCTTTAGGCGGCACATCTGGAGACGATGCAGACATGAGCTTCTTGAATGAGCTAGACCTCGAGGATATCATACAAAAGAACACACTGCTGGAATGGGCCTATGAGCGGCGGAGAGAGGCGCAAATGATCTTGCCCTGGCTCTATCTCGGACCCATGGTGGCAGCTAGGGACAAGGAATTCCTCAAGCGCGAGGGCATCACCATGGTGCTGGCTATCCGTGCGCAGGCCAAGAGCATGATGGGCGCGACCCAAGCGGCTGCCCAGGTCTGCATGGAGGTTGGCAGCATCGAGGCTCCCAGCTTCTACAGCCTCACACCCAAGTTCCCTGAAGCAGCAAGGATGATTAATTCACATGTCACACGAGTACGACAACATACCTTGGAGGCCACAGGGCAAGCCACTCTAGGCAAAGTCCTAGTCTTTTGCGAATCGGGCAATGAGAAGTCGGCTGCAGTCGTCGCAGCATACCTGATGCAGACGCTCCACGACATTGACTACATCAAGGCTATGCAGGTCTGCCAAGCGCAGCGCTTCTGCGTCAACTTCGACGATGTCTTGAAGAATATTTTGCGTGCGTACTGGGACATTATCGGTGCACGACGTTCTATCGCCGCCTCGAATGCTCAAGCGGTCCAGCGAAATGGTCTCGGCAACGGTTACGCACAGCTCGGATTACTTTCGCTTCCTCTCCCGTCAGCCAAGCATAAGCGCAGCGTCGAGGACATGCGGGATCACGATGAGGATACGGACATGGATAGTGGTATGGACGAGTCTGACGCGCTGCGATTTGCAGGGCGTGATGTCACCCCCTTCCAGGACCGCTAGGTGCGACCCCCTAGCATCGGCGTTTCTATTGATTGTGTATTAGGCGTTTCATTAGCATTATACCCTGCATATCTCAAGGCGTTATATGGCGATGCGTCTGCATCTGAAAGATTGGTTATGTTTGTAATTTGGCCTGGAGCTCTGATGAGAGGAGCGGACATGTGGGTTGGTTGCTCCTCCCATTCAGGCTGCCCGTAGTATTTGGTAGCAACTGCGAACGGGTTCAAATTTTCCTCAAACACTCACTGGCTCTTGCGCCTTCCCGCCACGTCGCACTCTCACAACCCATGACTGTCCTCCTACTTCAGACTGTGTTCAGTCACTCGTCAATTATGCGTCTGCATCGTGACACCCCGAAGAGGTAACGGGGCATGGTACATTCCCTTGGCTCGCCAGTTGAACCACTGTTAATCATCGAGCAAGCAGGTTCATTCTCGTCTCAACCGTGGACGCACCAGTCGCAGCAGAGACAAAGGTCGTCCGAAGTGAACCAATTTGGTCCGATACCATTTCCTAAAGAAATCATTGACTTTTCCTGCTCTTCTCCACATGGAGGCCAACACGGTAGCAAATTATTACAGCGCCTAGTGGCTGCCTTGTCTCTAAGACTCACTGTGTTTGCACGTGGCTGTGGCTCTTGCAATATTGCTTGACCTTGGCAGTACCGCTGCCTCAATGGCTGCTGACTTTCACTTCGAATTCTCAGGGCTGTTGTTGCACGCTAAACGCATAGCAGTTACGATGCGGTCTCATACAGGCCCAATGATGGTGGATGCGGTGAACTCTACGGTCACCACTTACCAGTATCCCGCAAATTCTTTGTTCACGACGGGCTAGAAGGCATCGATACCCAGTCATCGCTCAAATCATTCTTAAGTCCACGATATGCCTTATAGCCTCCGAGATTTAGCCAAATTGAAACGGCCTGCACGCTATAGGCACACCACTGACGAAGAGTCCACTACCCCAGAACCAGCTTCTAGTGACCAAGGTACAGACGTAAGCGACCAAGATGCGGAAGTCCACTCTCAAGGACCTTTGCGCACAAATACGCTGGCCGCGAACCCAGACCCATCTGATTCTTCGCCTTTCACTACCGACGCCGTTCACCTTACACCACACCCACTTTCAGCTCTTGAAATGTCCCCAGCACCCCAGGCTGCGCGAACAAGCGCAAGCAATCCACCAAACCCCCACGAGAGCCGTAAGATGGCAAACATCAAGTACATAAAGAAACGCTCAGGCGACGGACAGCAGCCCCAAGCAGCGCCAGCACGCGACCTTGCCATACGCCCTAGCAGGATCTCTCAGCGCGCAGCAGCTTCCGCCCCCGAACCTGAGCCAACACATATCCCTCAGAAGCCAGCGGCGTTCCCTTCGCTACCGGCCAACGCTCCACCATCACCGCCGTTTGACCCGACACTCTCGGGCCATGGTATGAGAGAGCTGATGGCGGCTATGGAGACCAACGACGAGACGCTCATGGAACACATCAAAGACTACTTCAAGATTGGATACGAGGCGGGTACAGATCCCTGGTACGCGGCCTTGAGGCGTCGCTGGGATCCCCAGATGGTAGATTCTAAGGTATGTTAAAATTGAACACTCTGGAGCCTATGTTGGCGTTAGGTCGCCTACTTTGCATGTTTCTATCTTGGTGTAGGCTCCGCAGGTATTCATAAGGCTAACATACGATCAAGGTCACATTCGAATCTCTATGGACATCACTACGCCAGACCATCATCGAGGAGATCAAGGACGACTTCAGTCCCGGCACCTATCTCAGCTCCTTCTATCCCGCATGCTGTATCCTGAACATCACCAAGACGAAGCTGGATACGATCATGGCTGAGAACGCCGCAGTATGGGAGACTGAGGCCGAGATCCCAAACTACTTCAAAGACTACAGAAGACGATACCCCAACGCCATCATCGACCCGGACGAGCCTCCTCCGACCGAAGTCGTGAAGGCGATCAGGTTCTTGAGGCAACAGAGACTTCCTGTTAGTTTGTTGGGCGAGTGGCAGACGCTGCCTGGACTTGAAGTATTTCATCATCCTCATATGTTTCACCTTCCCACAGGAAAACGTAGTAACGGTCTGTAGGCGTTCGATCAGCCTTCAAATGATGAAGTAGCAGAATCAATAGATATAGTTGATCCGGGTCATCATTTCCATGAGCCCGAACGTGAACAACAAAACTACCTTTCGCAGAGACAGACTCGTAGGCTGTTAAGACATGCTGAACGGCGAGAGCTTCAAACAGCCGCACGAAAGCAGAATGTTACTAGAACGCGGGGGCAAGAGCAATGCCAAAAGTGCGAGGAGAGAAGTCACACGTTGTTGGAACTCGATGAGAGGGGGGTATATAAAGTAAGTGTCCCGTAACCCCAGCCTTCCCAAGCTCAAGCCACGTGGAAAGTGAGCTGACGCCATCAAAAGTGTCCTGCGCGCCGACAAGAAGTCTTGCGACACAAAATAGAAGCCGACACCCTCCGCGCGCAATGCAACGCTGAATACAAAGCGCTCGATCAACGTGAGCCACAAGACCACGCAATAAAAAGCCACACCTCCTAACACCACCTCAGCACCCGGTCCCATGGACGCCGCGCCACTCCTCGAATACTTTCTTAAATTGAAAGCTAATCCGAAATTGAACCCATGCCTCGCCCGGCAAGCAGATGCCTCCACACACAATCCATACATTTCCATGGACCCCAGGGACCCGCTCTATCTACTAGACCTGACAAGCCCCTGCTTCGGACAACTCTCGACTCCTCCACCGAGTCCTTTTACCAAAGCCGCTTTAGCAAGAGTCAGTTTCGCCGCCGTGGGGGACCGGTATAGCACACTGTCCCCAATGCTACAACCGCAGTCCACGGATACACTGCCAGACCGGCCCCTTTGGCCGAATACTTTACATTTGGGTGGCGTTCCTGTACAACAGCAACAACAACAGCAACAACAACAACAACAACAAGATTTGCAGCAACATGGATCAGCGCAATATGTACCAGCACAGCATTCACAAGCGCAGCCCATACCAACACCCCACATACCCAAGAAACGAGGGCCGTACAAGACAAAGGACAAGTCACTCAAAGCGATTAGTATCTCGCCGAAGAACAGGGTGGTGGGTAGAGGCGGTATGGTCAGTATGGGTCACTCGAAAGAGGTGACGGATATGCTTAAGGCACAGGCACAAGCTCAAGCCCAAGCCCAAGCCCAAGCACAAACACAGGTGCAGCCCCAGAATGAGGAAGTAGACAAGGATGTTAAAATGGAGTTGGACACACCGCTATTGACAGATATTACTTCGATAGATGGAGATGAGCCGGTGGGTGGAAGTACGGTCTTACCGCCGTGTCCGTTTACGAATCAGACGACGACGGCGACGGTGCAGGAGCAGGGAGATACCATTGCCGGATAAGACCGCGGATGGCCGTGAGAAGGGGAAAGGGAGGGCGGTGCAGATATAGATGGAGGAAGAGGAGGCGATGTAGACGCACGTGCCGCCGTGATAGAACATGTGATGGTGGTTTAGACTGGGGGCTTGGATAGCAAAGAGTAGGCTATTGTTAGAGGTGCCCAACACCTATATTGTTAGGTCTCGCTATCAATAATACCATCATTCATCAGCATTCAGACGTGTTTCTGTACACCTCACCTCACCGCAATGTGAACAGGTACTAAAGCGTGAATGATTTCATTCTTGATCCAAGTGGGTATAATGCGTCCGTCATCTATATCGTTTCCAAAAACCTCCCTCCAGAACTCCTTGCCACGACCTTCCATCAGCTAAACTGATCTCCATGCTCACTCTCGCCTCCAACACGACGCCCAGCTATTCTACCTTGGCTCAACTTCCACCGCCACCTCCGTTCCCGCTCGTCCTTCTCCCGCTGTTCCCGTTGAGCTTTCTTACGTTCGTACACAGCACGAACTGTGCGTTTCGTCCGTTCGGCACCTTCACTGTAGTTGGCGCGAGCGAGGTTCACGACACTATCGATTTGCTCGGGCGTGTAGACGAAGTTCCAGGTTGACATGAAATCGCTGACTTTGGGGTCAACGCCGGGTACCTTTGGGTTGGCGAGGAAGGGGAAGTAGATGACCGTGATACCAGAAGCGGGGTGCATGAGTTCCCAGTCTTCGTCTACTTGTTTGGATACTGGGTGCTCGGCGTCGGATTCGCGTTCTTCGGTAGTACCGACCCAGATGTTGCAGTAGCCTAGGTCTTTGCTCCTTTTGCTGTCCTTGTTTTCGTCGAAACTTTTGTCCTTGGCTTCTTCGAATTTGGTTTGGGCTTGTTGTTCCGTCTTGGCTTGTGCGCGTTCGAGATCTTCTTGGAGGTCTTCCATGGGTTCACCGTCTGGTGGCCACCCTGCCCCGACGGGCCATCCCTTGATGCCGCGCTGGCGGGCGTAACCATCAGCAACCTTTAGCCAGTTGTCGGTCTTGACATCAGCGGAAGCGTCGAAAGCGACGAGAATGTCGACGTTGCGTCCAGGTCGGAGAAGAGGATAGATGGGTAGATTGTTGGACATTCCCGCGTCCATGAACTGGAAGTTCTTTTGTTCGAAGATGCTTTCAGGACATGATGGGGGGAGGAATTCGCGCATACCGAGCGCGTAGTTGGGCATAGCAGCAGGGTCGATTGGGTGGACTTTTACGAGATCGTCATCGCGCTCAGAGATCATGGCGTCGATACTGCCGCCAAGACCGGTGAGACTGCGCATGAGGGGTCGAATTTCTCGATAGTAGTGTGAGAGGGTCGCACAGAAGGCAGACCCCCAGATCCCCATAAGCAACGGTACGCGCACTTCGGGTAGAGCCAGGCCATTCTCCCGCCAGACTGTACGGCCGTTCTCGAACTGGCGGCCCATTGCCCAAGTGGGTATGCCAGCAGAGAGCTCCTCGCACCACATCTCGTACGGCGTGAACTCGAACCATTGGAACCAAGCCTCTCTTCTTGCCTTTGCTTCGGCTGCGACGCGGTCTTTTGTGTCTCCTTGCTCGGCGAGTGGTATCTCGTGCCGTACCGCAGTGTATATGGGTAGTGGATGTGCTCCGTTGTCGGTATACCGTCGCTGGTTTGAGACCTTAAAGTCGTATTCGCTAACAGAGAGTTCGCCTTTGGGTACGAGCAGGCGGGCGGCGAGTAGTGCGCCGTAGATGTCCACCAGTCCGAAGTCGGCGTCTGGGATGCCCTTTGCCTTCTCGACAAGTCCGCTCAAAAGATACTTGTTGGTAGGTGCGCTGACGAGCAGTTCGAGCGCATCAGCTGGGAAGGCAATGTGTACGCCGAGGCGGTTCTTGAGGTGTCTGATCATGCGAGCGTGGCTGCGCTGGGTGAGGTCTGAGTAGTAGAGGGTCTGTAGCCAGCAGCTGCCACTGACACCAGCCGTGTAGGTGACGCAGTCGAAGAGGCCATGTTCCTTCGAGGAGAGGTATGACGATGTGCCTGCCACAAGCGCACGCAACCCTCCACCAGAGCCGCACATGGCAATGACAGGTACATCGTCAGGGTGTATCTGCGCTTCTGGAATGTCGAGGTATCGCGCAAGTGCAGCCTTGGTAAACTGCGCCCTCTGCTTTAGGAAAGCCTTTTCTTCCTCACACAGCTCTTCCGAGACTCTCACAGAGGCATCCCATATTATCTCGGGGTTGATCTCGGGATCGTTGGCTTCGTACCAGATCTCTTCGGCGAGAGAGCCCGGTGCCATGGAGAGCTCGTCCTGGAGTTTGCGGATGAAGCCAGGTAGGACCTTGACCCAGTTCGGCACAATGTAGTCGATGATGGTATCGCCGAGCTTAGAAGGTGACGGAGATGCGGGGAACTTGCTCGTGATGGTCTGCCAGGCTGACTTGCTCTGGCCAGCTTCCTCGTCCTCTTCGCTGTAGCCCTTGGCAACACGCGTCTGCGATGGCGCATCCTGCTCACCTGACTTGTGCTCGCCCTCGTTATTCACCTGCCTCTCAGCGTCTCCGACCGATGTGGTTTCCGTTTGCTTGTCATTGCCGCCGAAGAAGTATCGCTTGAGGGAAGGCGCGTCTAGATGGATGGGACGGAAGAGTGGGTACGGCGACGATGCAGAAGAGAGATAGCCAGTCGCAGCCGTCGCAAGGAGACATGGAGGGCCGTACCGCAGGCCGAGCGTAGCAGCCTTGGATCGCTGGGAGAGCGGGTGCTTCGTGTGCAGGCTTGTCTTATTAGCAGGGGTGTGCAATGGCGTGGTGTTGTAGCTTACCCACGACGCGTCCCCCGCAGCCAGAGGTGGCCCAGGTTGCGCGTGTTCCTATAGCCGGCCATGCACGCAATTGGGTCAAAAAGGGCAAAGAGAGTGGGGTGGAGTTGCCGTGCGAGCCTGGCACATGGGGAAATGCGCAAAGCCCACCTGGACCCATGGAAATGCGTTAAGAATGACGAAGCATGTAACCTGCTTTGAGCCCGCAAAATTCCACCAGAACTGGTTTCGGCATGACGCCAACCGAATCATTGCCCGCTTAACGTCTGCCAAGCCATGCAGGAACGCTGAACCTGGTGCGAATCAAGTCTTGTCTCCACCATCCACTTCCAAAGACAACCGCGTTATTTGCGACTTACATGAGCTACACAAATTCAGTCTTTGAAAGCGGTAGGTCCATGGGCTATTTCACTATCGTGTCACAGGCACTCCGGTTGCTCGCAACCATCCATCCTTTCGCACCGTTCGCTACCCAGCAGAGAAACATCTTCAACTTCAAAAGATGCAACATTCAGTGAAATTGCGCACCTCAGTGTCCTACGAATTCGGACCCGCTTAGTATAGTCAACTTTACTATCTGGCGAGAGTGCAAAGCAATCACAATTCCCTCACTTACCTGTACGTACCTGATAGCATACCGAACATGACAAGTAGAGGGCATCATGAGCCGGTGCATGTTCCTTGTCTCACCTCTGATCCTGAGCTCGGGCTGTATCTCACCTTCATGGATGCTATTTAAGCTCCCAATTCAAGCTTCTTCTCCCCCTCTAGAACTCTCTTTCATAGACCTTACCTCATCTCCATACATTGACACACCGACTACCCTCCACGGCCCGATTGGCCAAGACTTCCGCGCAACAGCCTCACAGATACGATGTCACTCCATGCAGTGACGAGAGCGCTTAATCGAAGCCAAACGCCTTCCCAGAAACGGGACTTCACAGATATGCACAATGCAACCATTGACGAAGAAGCTGCTAACAATCGCTGGTACGCTCTAAAGCCCGACGAGATTACTGTCGTGGTCGGAGATATGTGCGACAATCTCACGACCCCAATAAGGAAATATGTTTCTGTCGACCAAGGCTTCCAGGATCTGATAAACGCGGCAAATTCTGCGAAAAAGTTGCCTGAAATCAAACACTGCAGCGTGGCGGTACTTGGTGAGCAAGGCATTGGAAAGAGCTCCCTAATCAATGCATTGCTTGACCGAGGCCTCCTAGATCGTTCTGGTTCTTCAAAAGCATGCACAGCTTACGCAACGATTCTTGAGCACAAGCCAGGAGCTGACGACCATACCACACGGAGCGATCTTCTAGTTGAATTCTTCACGAAAGAAGAGATGAAAGAGTGCATTAGGGAGCAGATTGACCGCTGGGTCGAGGTCTATCCCGGCGCCATACAGGATGATCAAGGTCTTGATAGCGAAGATGAAGACGACTCGGACTACGATAATGCTATTCAGCTATCCGGTAACATAACTTCCAGGACAAGATCGCGTGGAGCAGTAACGGCCAAAGAGTTTTTTCAGATCATCTTTGATGTCCGGGGAAACGAGGAAGCCAATGCAAAGCTCGAGAGAACTCTTCACCAAACGAACATCAAGGAAGGAGACTTCCTAGACGTGTGCTGCCGACGAGCCGATGATAGACTTTTGCAATTGGCCGCCGAGACGAGCGAAGTGAGTGCGTTCAGAGACATTTCAGATAAGAGACTTGGAAAACAAACAAGCAGGATCAGGAAGTACTGGCCGTTTATCAAGCTTGTCACTATAGCAACCGGCCACATTCTTTTCCGTCACGGACTACGTTTTTTCGACCTGCCAGGCAAGTCATTGAAATCTTCAACGATGTAGCAAAGCTAACAGAACAGGCTACGGTGACATGAGTCAGCTAAGAGAAGCAGTCATCAACAACTTCCGCTGGAAGGCTGACCACGAAATGGTGGTTGCCCCATGTTCACGGCTCCAGACTAGTGTATTGCAAAATGCGTACATCGATCGATCCATCCATCTCAAAGGAGCCAACAAGACTATACTCGTTATGAACAAGGCCGATGTTAGTTGAACACCCCCTCATTCTGCCGGCATACAACTAATTAGTCTTCTAGGAACTTCTCAACGAGGACAGCATGCCCACACAAATTCGAGAGATCGACGAACACCCATTCCCAGGTCTGAGCGCACGCCTAGAGGCCATCGAAACGCTAGAAGAAGACGAAGACCCGGGCGATGTTATCATATCCGAGAAGATGGAAGAACTACTGCGAGAAGCCACAATTGCTTTCATAAAGCATGAGACAGCAAACGTGCAAAAGCAGATGCAGCCCAAAGGAATCAAAGTCTTCTCGGTATCCGCTATGGCCCACACCGCATCAAAAAACTGGGTTCAGAAAGGCAATCTCATGCTTGACGATGATTCGATAGGTATCTACACGTTAAGGCACTACCTCGCCACATTATCGGCAGCAACTAACTACGAGGATTTCTACGATCATGTCCACGAAACACTACCAATGCTTCGAAGACAAGCCTCAAGACCTCTGGACAATCATCTGGAAGATAAGAGCTATGCTGCTATGCGATGTGAGCTTAAGGTTGAGATACAGTCACTTCAGAGCGAACTGCAGAGTCGTATTGGCAGTCCGTTGCAGTCTCTAGTGGTGAAGCCCTGGTCCCAAAAAGAGGAACAAAACATTATCTATGATATACAGCAACTAGTTCAAGTTTCATGGGCTCATCCCCGGATTTACTACTCGGGCTTTGCAAAGATGCTCGCCGAGAACGGCATTCCGGTCAACGGAAAATACTTCGGCTATAACATGAACTACGACCTCCCTACTGTCATGGAAATGTACTTCGACAATTGGTACAACAGCATGGATGGAACGATTGCGGACTTCGCACTAAGCCTGCATAGAGTTGTTGAGGACCTCTTGGAGAAAACCGAATCGGCCATCGATAGGTCCTCTGCGCCAAAAGCCTTGAAAGCAAGAGCGAAGCTTGAGTTGGGTCTCGTCAGATCGCACATCAACAGAGCAAAAGATACACTTCTCGCCAGTCTCCACGTCTCTCTAGAAGAAACTCATCTGAAGTTCACGACGGAAATCGACATTGCCTGCCCCATAGCAACGGAAATGAAGGCCTGCTACGTATGAGCTTTAGACCGGACCATTCTCAAACCCGGTGGAGGGATATACAACAGACAACGAAACGTCCTCCAGAACTCGATGATTGAGGGAGCACTTAACTCTGCCGCTCCAGGCGAGACTCTGCGTCCGCTACTCAGCAAAATCTCAAAAAACATACAGGACCGACAAAAAGAGGTGGAAGATCCATTGTGAGGCATTCGTTACTGGCGCCATTGAGCAACTTGAGGGATTCTCAAATACTGCTGAACAACTTCTCATGAACCCCTCGTATGTGACCGCAAGGCACAAGCGGGCTTGTGGCGAGTTGAGGAAGCTACTGAGTGACTTCGATGTCAGCCTTGGAAATCTTCAGAGTCGATTCGTCGGCGTAGAAGAGGAACACATTGAGAAGAAAGCCAAGCGCCATGAGACAGAAGATGAAGTAACAGCTACACCATTTGTCTCTGGCCCGCTGGTTGCTTCGATGCCTGTCAAGTTGAAGATTCGACTCAGTTCCGCCAGGTATTTGGGGACTGTCCCAGACAATGATAGTTGACTGCTTTCCCTGTCTTGATCTGCGGATTGCATATCTTCGCGGCACATGACTTCCTTCCCTGCCTTCATTGTCATTTCCGCGACAATATTTTGTTTTCTTGTCTTGAGAAGTACTCCAGCTGGTCAAGCGACTATTCTTACTTCACCTTCATGTTTTCAAGTACAGTCGATGCTCTGGCAAGCATTTCACGTGTACGGAATGGACAGACACTATAGCTTCTGCGTATCTAGTTACCTCACCCAATGCTCAATTGTAGTAAAATGTGTCTCTGCACTTGCATGCGCCACAGTGGTACCCTAAATGCAAGGCGCACACGCGTCGCCGAAACATATGTGATACGCAGACAGCGGGTTCACTGTGACAGGCGAGGCTGATCAGCGCATAGTCCCCGCTGTGACAAACGTCATCGTGTGCTATCGTGGACAGAAGATAAATTGACTGCCGTGCAGCTCTACATGTAACAAGCATGCGTTGCGTGAATCCACGATGAGCAACTCGACTGCGCGGCTTATCGCAAAGTGAAAGGTGTCGAGATGATCTACGCTGGACCCTGGCCGTCTTAGCGTTGCCTCCGCGACAGCTCTCCGCAAGCATCCCCTCCCACATCATCCTACACCGGGGTGTCGGATTCCCCAATTGGCTATTCTTTCGTTTGTACAAACACATGCTGTACTTCATGTTCGCTTCATTATTACCCGCCCGTTTGATATAATCGAGGTCGCCCTCGCCGCCGTACGCGCGTACACGTAGCCCTCGAGGCAGTTGCGCATCTATCCAGCAGTCGCCATGGTCGCCCCTCGGAAAGCCGCGCTCCTGGAGGAGAGCGCGGAAGTCGAAGTGCTCTTCGCCAACATGGAGAAAATGAAGACGCTCACCAAGAAGATCCAAGGCTCCGTTAATAGGCTCGATGCGAGCGGAAAGGCAGTCCAGGAAGCAATCGGCCCAATCTACGGCAACACGCAAAAGCTGCAGATAGCAAACACAAACGTCGACCGTATAATAGACGCAATCGACCGCCTCCGAGCCCCGCGCGAAGAAAGTGCAAAGGAAGAGAGGATTATCCGCGCTGGACCTGGACGAGGAGACCTGGACGGCTACATTGCTTCGCTCGACCGCACCAATATGAGCCTCGCAGACCTCAAGCGCACCAACCTTCGCTCCAACGAACAAGCCGTCGCAGAGCTTAGTGGGCTCTTGAAGCTGGGCAACAAGCAATTGGAGGATGTGTTCCGCGGCATACTGCAGGATAGCGCGAGAGAGAAGGTCCAGGCATTGGAATATGTCGCAAAGCGTATGTCGCTCAGGTACTACTATTAGGGAGATACTAACATTGCATAGAGAATCCCTTCCCTCGTATGCCCCAAGATAAGCTCCAGAGCTTACGCAGCATCAACTCGCACATTTCCAAGTCCTTCGCCCAGTTATCGCAGGTCGATCTTTCGCAGACTCCCACACGAAGAATATACGCAGATGTCCGGGGCGAATACCTAGAGAGTGCATTGAGGAGTCTCATGCAGGCGACCATCAGCACAGCCAGGAAGGTGCAGGCAGATGCGCTGTACAAGAAGGGTACTAATGGTATCGGCACATACGTCCAAGCGATAGAGGGTCTCTTTGTGGCGGAGTTCGACAACCTGAACTACGTCTTCGACAGAGAGGAATGGAGCGATGTCTACGAGTCAACGTGCCAGGTCCCACTGCAGGACTTTAGCAAGACTCTGCGTGAGCTGAATGGGCATATTCAGAAGAACTTGCTGACGGACTGCTTCCTTGGATATGAGATTTGCGGGTTGGTCCGGACGCTGTCGATGCGACTGCAAAAGCAGACTGGCGCCCTGAAGGATCAGATCTACGACAGCGTAAAGCCGGTTAGAGAGACGTCGAAAACGTCGCTGAGCAAGATGCTCGAAGACACGCGGTCAAGAACGCAAGGACTCATTGCGCTTCCTATCGACGGCGGCCCGGTGGACATCACAACACAGACGATGCGACGCTTGCAAGAGATGACCAACTACCTCGAACCACTCGCGTCGATATTGGCATCTCTGGGTGAGGGCGGCTGGAACTCTGGATCGGCCAATAACTCATCCACAACTTTGGATGTTGGACCGGACGGCGTGAAGCTGTTCGGGTCATATGCGGCGGATACTGTCGATACACTTTTGCAGAACCTGATTGGCAAAGCAAAGACACTACTGAAGGGCAAGAACCTACAAGGCGTCTTCATGGCGAACAACATTGCTATCATCACACGTATCATCCGCTCTTCAGAACTTGCACCGCTCATGGACGGCTACTCCAAAAAGCTGGCAGACTGGCGTAAGCAAGGCACGGCCATGTATCTTGAAGCGTGGCGTGAGCCGTCAGGGTACCTACTGGATGTGCAGTACACGAACCGTAGCAAGGAGCGCCCAACGTCAGGCGGTGCAGATTCAGCAGCTATCGTAAAGTCTCTCAGCTCCAAGGACAAGGATGCAATCAAGGAGAAGTTCAAGAACTTCAACACAAGCTTCGACGATCTCGTCACACGACACAAGGCGTACGCAATGGAGCCCGAAGTGCGGAACCAGCTTTCCAAGGAGGTACAAAACATCATCGAGCCCCTGTACAACCGGTTCTACGACCGCTACCGGGAGATCGACAAGGGGAAGGGCAAGTACGTCAAGTACGACAAGACCGAGTTGAACAGGGCATTGGCGAGCTTTGCATAGCGAGAAACTGCGGCGTTGGATTGGAGTTGTTTGCTTGGGACATGCGCAAAATACCCTTTGATTTGCATAGATAAGACGATGAACTGGATATGGGTATGCTGATGGTCGGGATGGACGCGATGTAATTGGACAAGTGTCGAGTCTCACATCTCGTGTTCTGTGGTGCCACGCTGCAGCAGCGTGAGTGGCAGCCTTGGGGTGCGACAGCGGTGTCAGGGTTGAGGCAGATAGTCGTGAGGAAGCAGCGACCGCTTAATGTCTAGTCAACGCACTGCTCGTGCCCTCTAATTACCCACACGTGACGCTACCTCTTTGGGAAGCACGGTTTGCGACTGCCTCTTGCAGCAGTGCACAAGAGCACAAAATCTACAACAACGTGAAAGGTGTCAACTGCATCCCTCCTATACTCTCCGCCACCCGCGCTGCTCTCACTCATCGTGTGTTATTTCCAGCGGTATTCAACGCCGGCTCGCTGCTAGTGGTGACGCGGGGATTTTTGGTCTAGTGCCCATTGCTTCGGCGTTGCTCCAATCGCGCCCATCCCTGTGCGGACCCCTTTCCTCCACCCAGCGACGGACGGCACCACGACTTCCCTTTCCAACGTCGCAGCCTCCGGACAACCACGCCATTTTCCTTCGCAGCCATCTGCACCACCTTCAATTCATTGCTTTGAGTGCATCACTCACTCGAGAGCATAACTACCGCTGACTGGTACGCCGCCCTTCCCTTACGCCTGTCTCACTTTATTTCTCCCAAACTGGGCTTGGTCGCGTTGTTACATTTGTTTAGCAGCCACACAGCCAGCACCAGCACGCATTGAGAACCTCCGCTGACATCGCTTCCTCATCTGCAGAAGTCCCTCACTTGACGACCCATCGTCCGTTTCTACTACACTATTTACACCATGGGTAAGGAGCTCTCCCCGACCCCCGTCTCGCGACACCAACAACTACACCTCAGCTACGGCATCATTGGCACCTCAGGCACACACGCGGTGGCCCTTGGACAACGCCAACCAGGGTCAAACTTGTTTGGCATTGGTCGCTGCTGCCGCGCTCGACGGCCACGATTTCTCTCCCCTGGCCCCTGGCTAACATTCTGCTGTAGAATCCAACGGTGCTACCTCTCCCGCGCCGCCCACCCGTGCGTCCCCATCGCCCCCAGCGTCGTCCGGCGGATACGGCATGGATCAAACGATGTCGATGTCTAACGGCTCCTCTCCAGCGGTACACACCATCACGGCGAAGAACCCCAAGGCCGCAGCTGCCATGGCAAACGACATGAACATCGTGCGCAGGAAGCTCACAGGCTACGTTGGTTTTGCGAACCTGCCCAACCAGTGGCACCGCAAGAGTGTGCGCAAGGGATTCAACTTCAACGTCATGGTTGTCGGTACGTATACCCCCGCCCAAGAATTGTCCATCCGAGCTAACGTGTCGTTTCAGGCGAGTCTGGACTCGGAAAGTCGACCCTTGTAAACACGCTCTTCAACACTTCGCTGTACCCGCCCAAGGAGCGCAAGCCCCCCAGTCTCGACATCTCCAAGACCGTATCGATCCAGTCCATCAGCGCCGATATTGAGGAGAACGGTGTTCGCCTGAGGTTAACAGTAGTCGACACACCCGGCTTTGGCGACTTCATCAACAACGATGAGTCCTGGGACCCCATTGTCAAGAACATTGAGCAGCGCTTTGACGCCTACTTGGATGCCGAGAACAAGGTTAACCGCATGAACATTGTCGACAACCGCATCCACGCCGTTGTCTACTTCATTCAGCCCACTGGCCACTCCCTGAAGCCCATCGACATTGAGGTGATGAAGAAGCTGCACACCAAGGTCAACCTGATTCCCGTCATTGCCAAGGCCGACACCGTTACTGACGATGAGATTGATAACTACAAGAAGAGGGTACGTCGCTTCATCTACCTATTTGACACTGCTGACTAGTACAGATTCTTGCAGATATCGCCTACCACAAGATCCAGATCTTCGAGGGCCCACGGTATGAGCTTGACGACGAGGAGACCATTGCGGAGAACCAGGAGATCATGGCCAAGGTCCCCTTCGCCGTTGTTGGTTCCAACACCGAGGTCACGACTGTTGACGGCCGCAAGGTCCGTGGGCGTGCGCTGCCCTGGGGTGTTGTTGAGGTCGACAACGAGGAGCACTGCGACTTTGTCAAGCTGCGCCAGATGCTCATCCGCACCCACATGGAGGAGCTCAAGGAGAACACCAACAACGCTCTGTACGAGAACTACCGTTCCGAGAAGCTTGCACAGATGGGTATCCAACAGGACTCAAGCGTGTTCAAGGAGGTCAACCCTGCCGTCAAGCAAGAAGAGGAGCGCTCGCTGCACGAGGCCAAGCTCCAGAAGATGGAGATGGAAATGAAGATGGTGTTCCAGCAAAAGGTGCAGGAGAAGGAGAGCAAGCTGCGCCAGAGCGAAGAGGAGCTGTACGCCCGTCACAAAGAGATGAAGGACCAGCTAGACCGACAACGACAAGAGCTCGAGGAGAAGAAGGCCCGCATCGAGTCTGGCAGGCCGATCGAAGAGAAGGGCAAGAGAAAGGGTTTCTCCCTCCGCTAAGTCGACACCCTGGCGCCACCCTCGTCCTTCCCCTCCCGCTCCGGACGACACGCGCCTCTCAGCCACCTCTTCTCAGTTCTCTACACCCTCTTACCAGACCTTGTTTAATATAATGCGGCCGACGATACCACTGGGTGCTATCGGTAAAAGGGATAATACACCACGATGGAACATTGGGGACGAAGCACAGCAGTGTTACATGTTGGTGCCGTCGTCCGGATTGTTGATTGATACCAACGTCTTTGCGCTCCTTTCTGATTCCCTTGCTTCACTTCGGCATTTTCTCTTATTTAGTATTCGGCAGATGTAGTTCGGAGCGAGGAGTGTCGGACAGGTTCTTTTCATGTATTCTACAGACTATCATAAGGCAATTTCATTTGTGGGCTAAAAGCGAAACGATGCACTGCTAGTGATGTTTCCCAACAAACAAACGAAACTTTGCGAAGAAACAAGAGTGACGACATCGTGCTTGCTGGTCAGACACTTGCGAGCCTGTGAAGAGGCCGGCACCTGGAGGCCTTGCTGGCGGCTGAGAGATCGTCAGGGTTATGTTTGCGCTAGAGGTGCAGTGGGGCTTGTGCCTACCCAGAATTGCAGCTTGCCATGTCGTCACCCCCCAAACGCCCGAATTCTGGTTTACTGCCGCCCGCTCTCCTACCTCTCTAGGAACACACAACCACCGTTACTCTGCTCTCACTCCCCTGCGTATCTACTCTTCGCAAGCACTGAGCACCGTCACTGAGGTCCCGGACCCGATATCTGCATCGGTAAGTCGACCCCGCCTATCAGGCACGGCGAACATCACGAGCGGGCCCGAACGCTGGGCAGTTCCATCAGTTCCAGTACCCAGCCACCGCTGTGGACACATTGCACCTCCACTTCCTTCCACGGGCAGCAGATCATTGCTGTCATTTATCCCTCTCTACATTGGGAGCTGCTGTTATCTTTCCGACCTTTACTGACGTCTCAAGCTACCCATTACGTAGCCCACACGACAGTACCCAAAATACACACAATGGCCCCTCCACCGCCCGCTTCTATGCCTCTGGGCCAGCGCCTTGCTGCCCTCGCCCAGACTCTGCAGTTTGCTTGGTTCGCCGGACACGTTACGCTGCTGCTCGCTACCCTGCGATACAGCTTGTCGTACATCACCTTCAACTACTACTCGCGATGGGCGTCCTTCTCCTACCGCACCGCCTTCCTGTCGGCATGCGTCACATACGGCATCGTGGTCTACAAGGCCTACCGTGCCCGCATGAGGGCAGGAAAGCAGGGTGGTGTCGTCGCTCTCGCTACCGATGAGAACGTCCAATACTTGAGTAAGTCCTCTGCGAGCTGGTGTCGCTTCTCCTCCATGCAGCACGTGCTAACCGTCTGGTAGTCATGGCCCTTGTGTGGCTCTTCTCCCGCCAGATCCCCCTTGCCATACTCCCCTTCTCCGTATACTCCGTCTTCCACGTCGCTACCTACGTGCGCTCCAACCTTCTGCCTACCATCCAGCCCCCACCTGCGGCTCAGGCCGGCGCCAAGCCGCAAGGTTCCGCTGCCTCCGAGGCTATTGGCAAGTTCGTCAAGGAGTACTACGATGGCTCCATGACTCTTGTCGCCCTTCTCGAGATCTTCCTGTGGTTCCGCGTCCTCGGCTCTGCCATGCTCTTCCAGAAGGGCTCATGGATCCTCCTCGCTGTCTACACCGTCTTCTTCCGCGCTCGCGTTGCGCAGAGCAGCTTCGTCCAGGAGGCTATCAACCAGCTCACTGCCCGCATTGACGCTCAGCTTGCCAACCAGAGCACTCCTCCCGCTGCGAAGCAGGGTTGGGGAACCTTCAAGAACATCGTTCGCCAGGCTGCTGATGCCACCGACATCCGCAGGTACGTTGGTGGTCAGCCCGGAGCTGCCCCCAAGAAGGCCCAGTAAGCGTTTCGCTCTGTTTGCAACGATGTGCCTGCCTCCAATAGCGCACGACAATACACGTGTTGGAGGATCATGGTGCGAATCTTGACGACGGTACGGCAGTCATGACGAAGAAGACAATAGACATATTTGCGTCGCTTGTGGACGATTGATGGAAGGAAAAGTGCTTGAGTTGGAATCTGGTCGTTTAACGATATCCCAAATGTGCGAGGCTGATTCAGTCTAGAGTGGATGGTAGGATGGTAGAACGGTAGGATAGTAGTATGAGTTGGAAGATTAGGTGGTCGTGGTAGTTTGATTGGTAGGAAGGGTTGACTACTCCTTGTATCTGGAGAAGCGTGGTGTTTTTGGTCGGTTATCATATTCGCTATTGCAGTACAAATCAATGCTCGTTATCGTTATTGGTGTTTGTTTGTGCATGTGATTTTACTTGGTGTAGTGGGCTAGAGAGTTGCAGACACCTCTTTTACTCTTTCTATGTCACGCAACCGCATATGCGCGGACCCAAGTGTCATCACAAATGTCTCGTGTACGAGTTGAAGGTATAGCGAGCTGAGTTTGCAAGCGGCGAATGCATGAAGGAAGCATGCAACACTCACCTCCTACAGAAAAGGAAAAGAAGGGGAGAAAACAACCCAGAAGTTGACATTGCGTTTGTTTGTTTGTTTGTTTGCTAGTTAGTAACGTTCCGTTTCTATACCAATGCAGTCTGCAGTGTAACTATTTAGTTTCCTTTCTTACATAAGGTGACACTCTAATTACTAGACCTAGGCGAGTGGAAACGCTGTCGACACTAACATGTGACTACGGGATCGAGTAAAGATAGCAGCAAAGGCATGGGCCACGCGCTTGTTGGTGTTTCGGTTGTCTTGAAGGTCGTCGACTATGACATTTTCGGCGCGCCCCAACCACGGCATGCATGCCGCTTGCAAGATTTCCAAATCCATCGTGCAAACAATGACAATCTCCGCCTGTCCCCGTCGAATGAGTTTCTAAGGACTGGCTTGATATTCGTCGACGTTGTGTTCGTTGCTATCTCCCCATTCCGCAGACGATGTTATTGCGAAGTGGAGTACGCGTCGGCTGCAGGGCTGAGCAAACTTGAACGCCCTTGTTGCATTGGGCTGAGGAATCTCTTGGTTACGCGGGACTTCGCGCTACTATCTAAGAACATGTCCATATCCCATTGACATCATGAGAATCAACATATGCCATGTCAAGTGGGGAAATCTTGTGTAGCTCTTGGGAACAGGTACGGGTTTGGCATTTGGTCGTATGGTATTGCAACACTGTTCGTATTTGTGTTTGTTGATAGGGAGGAGACTGAGAGCGGGTGTGATGGGTAGTAATGGGTAGTAATGGGCCTGTGTCTACTGGTAGTAGTGCTACTACCCGCGACCTGATAAAGTTGACATCGACTGCCAGCTTCTTCTGATTCATAGCTGCGACGGACAACAGTGTCGAATATTCCAGCATCGGCCATTTATCGTAGACGTTGTCATTCTCGCACGCGGAGCCAGTGGTCTCGCGGATATGTGTTCACCGTATGTTGCCAAGCATACACAACATATGCTTCTACATCATCGTATGACACCTTTATGTACCTGTGGCTTGGCATGAGGATATGAGTTGTCAGCCTTGAATATAAAAGAAATCATTACCGCCTGACTGCCGATATAGCCGATTTTGTGTCGTACGTCTATCCTGCTTTTGGAGAGTGTTGGGATAGTGTAACGGTGCCAAGCCAGCTGACTTTGGAGAAGAAGGAAATACGTTGCCGAGTAAGAGCTTACCGAGCTGAGTGTGTTTGTGTCTGCATATATTCGCTATTATATGGATAATCTAGGCCGAAACCATGATTGAAAGGGCCTTAGTAGTGACGTGGTCACTGCTTAGGACTATTACGTTGTTCACCGAGCGTATCGACGAGTGTCACTCCAACAAGTCCCTGTACTCATTGCGCATATGTAGGTTCAACGGTGTAGATCATACCGGCTGATCTCCCAGCGAGAATAGTAAGTAGTGTTTTTGTTTTTTGCGGACTTCGGCCCGTTGACGGGAGGGTAACGTGCATCCCAGTGGACTTGCTATAGGTGCTACGACGAGCGCAGGAAACGGGCTCAGGCATGTTTGACCTATCGTTTTAGCGAAGACATAGTCATGTTTTTGGTGTGCTGTATAGTAAGTAATGCAGATAGATGTGTTTGTCATATCTACGAACAAGTAGGAACGAGGTTGTGAAAGTATGAGGAAATGCGCGAGCTGTCGGGTTATCAAGCTTGCGTGATCTGTGTATAAGATGGCTGTCATCTCAGGGATACCCGATCGCCTCTCAATCATACTTCGCCTATATTCTAGGCGCAGGAGCATAGTCCATCGGCCTGTCATAGAGTCCAGATGAATGACTACATGGCTTGCTGCAGCTGGATCTAGGTGCAGTCTGAGCGCTCCCTACCACTGCAACCCGAAGCATTTGGAATCTGCGCCCATGGTTTTGAGCATGCGGGTACAGCACCAGCAATCATAGTCATGAAAACCCCCACTCAAGTCCGTGTGACGGTGTTGGAGGATCTAGACGCGGTTGTACTCTGGCGAGCTAAGGAGATCGAGAACAGCTAGAATCCTCGGGAGGACCCTACGCCACAGGATGACGCTCTCGAACCAAACGGGTGTTCACACACTAGAAGAAATGTGTAGAGATGGTCTGAACCCTTGTGTTTCAGAAGATTCCGGCGGTGATGATTTGAAGGAATGGTCACTGGTCGTGGCTTGCCGGCCGTGGGAGAGAGTCGGTAGCGTCCATCGGTGAGCCATGACATCTGTCAGCGTCCGTGAGCCAATCCTCGGACTTGTGAAAGTGTCTCGATCATGCAGCAAGAAGCAAAAGGGTGCATGGTGCTGAGTGCGAAAGAGGATGCGAGTGGAGCCTTGGACCTAGGCCCAGACTCCGAAGCTTCTTGATTGCCTGTACGTGGCCTCCACGGACAGTGTTGAGGAAGGTTCCATCATCAAGGATCGGAGATGCGACCTACGGCCATGACGACAATGTCTGCAGACTCGTAGCAACGGTTCCTGGGAGTGCGGCGGACGGTGGCTTGCTCGCACAAAGCTAGCGCAATCGATAACATTAGTCGGGCGCAGCTCGTAAAGATGCTGGAGCTACCGGGCAAATGGTGTTTCACGACTCCACGGATGCTAAAGATGGAATTTGTCGTGTGCGGATTTTTTCTCTGTGCGCGAGTATTGGTTTGCTCCACCAGCCCCGTAATAGCATCGGGGAAAATAGACGCGATGGACCGCTTGATACGAGGCGCCGAAGCCGAAATTCCGCCAGCAAGTCAGAGCGTTCGGGCGGGCTGCTACGTATTCGCCTGGGGAGCCAGATACGACGACTCGTGCTGCGAGCAGATTTGGTGTTGACGGGTCAAGTGCGCAAGGGCGAGCGGGTGAGGTGCTGAAGACGGGTTAGGAGGACTGCGCCCCCAGAGCTTGGATGTGGGGTTCGCGGCGCGCTTTCGTCTACATTGTCCCCTTTTTGCGAGCTTGGGGACGGAGATAAGATGGTTCCGAGCACGCACATCGTATCGTGCAGTGTGCGTGCTCGAGAGTGCGGAGCATGGCGGTGAGAGAACAGGTGCTGGCTACGTGCTCGGGTGCCCTCCAGCGGCGCGATGGCGTGACGAGGGTACAGGACGACGACTAATGCAGGGCAATTGACAGCGGCGATGCGATCGATAGAGTTTGACATGTGCAAAAGATTCTGCGGTCGGAACTACGGGTGAAAAGTGTGATGGTTTGTTTCGCAGTGGATTGAACTTGTGGATAGGCAATAATGCTCGCAGTAGTGCTCACAGGCGACTCGGCGCCGGGCTGGGAAGCATTTGACGAGTGGATGGGATCGGGGGCATAAGCTTTTCCGGCAAGGCGGTTTGCGAGATTGGATGTGTTTACGACAAAGTTTATGTTGTGTCGGTATTGCAACTGCCAGATGAAGTGTCCCTGGTGTCCCGCTATATGCAGATGATGTTGTTAGAGTGATGATCGTGATGGAGTGGATGAAGATCTGGAGAAACAAGATTAGATTGGAAATATAGATCACGCAACATGGGCACACTGTATATCTGGGCCTCGATTTCCTAGCTGTATAGTCTCGACATCACGGCATTGAATGTACAGCATACACGGAACAACCTTGAGCGTTCTTACCAGGCGGCTGCACACTGCCATCATTCGGGCAGCGGCACACGCCATCGGTAGCCCTGGCGATGGCGCATACGGCCAAGTTGTAGCTGGCGTTGGCCTGAGCGGGAGAGCGTGCGCGCGTGTGAAGGTGGCACGGCAGGGAGACGGCTACTGTGTCTTGGGAAAGTGCAGGGGGCCAGCTAGCGAGCTGCGCTACCCATCCGCCGCTTTCACCGTCTCGGTTTTCTTGGTCGGAACATGGGCGTGTATATAGACTCGTGAATGCCCTCACTCTTGGGGCTCTTCTCCCCTCTGACGACATTTCCAGCTCGCCTGCTTGGTTCACGACGCTTCATTGTTCTTCGACTCACGACTATAACATCACACGACCAACTCTCCAACCTTCCCTCGCTTACACTTCGCCGACACCGCTGTACTACCGTTAGAACACAATACTTCAACTTGGAAAAACAAAACAGTACAAAATGGACTTTTCTCCAGCCCTGTCCATCAACAGCGATATGACAGACGAAGAGCTGGACAAGTACTTTGCGAGCTGTGTTCCGCTGTCCAACCTGCCAACCCCTCCGCCAGCAAAGGAGCCCACACCCACGCGAGTATCAACGCCAACCGCCCAAACATCGACACAGTCCTATGACACGAGCAGCCCTCCACAACCAAAAGGTTAGTCTATTTATTACCTCACACACACACACACATTCTCTGTTTACGGGTTTTGTGGATGCTGGTGTGTACGAGTCGGTCCGGGCGGCAGAGCGACGTTCCCCTGCATACAGCGCCTTGGCCCTCGTCATGCTTCATCCCAGATGCTCCTTTTCCAACTCAACAGTCCATCTCCACATTTCGGACGTGTGCCTGTCGATCAACAAGCACCCCTTCACCCAAGATCAATGCCGTTGCCACTTCCTTGATTTCGGTCCGCTGACTTGCTATCTATAGTATACGCAACTCACCTCGCCAACCTCGTTCCGCCCAACGTCTCCACCCACCGCCCTCATGCATCGGTCATTCAAGGGTTCCTCGACCGTGCTGGCCTGCCAGATGAGATTGTCGCCTTTGCGGGATGTGTGCTGGATGCGTTGAGCAGCCGGTTCGCAGCTACTTGGCGGGATGCTCTTGCGCCGAGCGACTATGCACGCGACCTGAAGAATTTCATGATGGCAGACTCGCGTCAGAACATGCATGTTAGCCCAGACGTGATTGTCTTGGCTGCTCTTTCGCTCGCGCATGGCTTCCTCGTTGACCGCCAGCGCTCCTCCCGGCACTGGAGCATCAGGGAGAGCGACGGTGCTTTCACCGTGCAGGAGATCGAGGCCACGAGGAGGGCTATCCTACAGGACATGGACTATGGCCTTGCTCGCATTTCCAATGACATGGTGCAGTGGAGGCTGAAGAACATGCAGCGACCCAGCACAGCTCCTGCACCCGCATCAACGCCTACCACGACCGTGATGAAGCAACGACGGAACCTCTCCATCAGCCTCCAAGGTACTGCCATCTGGAGCTACGGCGTTCAGACCCCAGAGCCCAGCCCATAGAGTGGCGGTCTCCCATGGACGAGCAACGAATTCTGTTCAGTCGACTCTTTTTAATCGTTTTGCTGCGTACATTCACGATACCCATATCCTTTTGGCATTTTTCGCGATCAGTTGCTATGCGCATCTCTCGGCGTTCTTCGGCATCAATCGGGCCATCCACTGTGCAGACAACAGGCTTGTTGTCACCTCGTATACATTTGTTTCAGGGTGGAGTTGAGTGGGTTTGGTGGCCTGATGCCAATGGTCTATGCTTCATGTTTCGAGTACGCTATTTGTGTAATACTAGCTGCGAAAGTTGGAGGACTGAGCTTCTTGTTTGATATAATCCCTACCGACATCGTGTGCAAGACGAATTTAATCGACTTTGGCATTCATATCGAGCACCTCATGCACGTGATGTAGATTTGCCGCGATCGAGTGAGGTAATCTCTGGGACTGTGCGAGAAGCTTTTATGTATATATCACGAGATTTGAATGCATTTGTTTACATATGATCAGGTCAACGTACGATGGCGGGGCTGCATCCTCAACTAAACTCTGCATAGTCTTCCCTGTTCCGACAAGATCCGCGCATGCAGGGACTTGAATGGGCAGATTTCCTTCATGTCTATCCTTTTCAGAGCTTGAAGTTTGGTGTTCTTTGCGCACTTCGTTTTTTGGTGTTGATTGCTCTCGCCAGGCCAGCATGGTGTTGTTGTTGTTGTGGAGGGGTTGAAGACGTCACGTCGTCTGGTTCTGGCCACGCTGAAGATCACGCTACGACGCGCAACAAACACACTAAAGGCTCAGCATGCACAAGTTTATTGGACAACACGTCCATCACGACCCCGCTAACTGCTCCGCGACGGCATCGTGGGGTCGGCTACCCCGCTTTGTACTGGCTCCACGAGATGCTGCATACAACTTGCATGTGGGAGAGCTCAACAGCTTGCTGCTAGCTGTCAGCCTGTCCAGGAGAGCTCCTTCCCCGCGATCTGCTAGCTAGTCGCTCCTGCTCTCCTGATATAATCCTGGGGGCCTTGCTGTGATGTTCAATTGATCTCCGCCCGTCTTACTCCACCCGGACGTCCTGTAAACACGCCCTTGCCGTTGCTGCCGCTCCTCTTTCCTGTCTGGCGCGTAGCAAACACCACGTCTGAGGTACTTCTGCGGCGTCTTTATAAGCCTGCAGCTCTTGTCCATCCTATCAAATTGCCCTGACCCTCTTGCGGTTGCGCCTCTCACCTCCGTAGCGGCAGCCATACGCCCCTCTACCCCGCCATCTCCTCTCTCCCACCGACACTCTCTAAGCAATTCGCGCTTCTCCGCAATTGACATTATCAAGATGGCCGCAAATCCTTCTCCCCGCGAGCGCAAGCCCTCGACTAGCGCTCCTCTTGGTGACCTTCAGGGTCCCGTTGGGCCCTCATTCACCCGTCCCAAGCACAAGAGGACGGTAACTGGCTTTGGCCCCAGCGAGATCAAGAACGTGGAAGCGAGTATTCCAGAGCCCCAGCGCGAGGCATGGAGGAAGTTTGTATGTCAATTAGCTTCTCAATCAGATATCAAAGTTGGGTCTCAGTACTGACACCCGCATAGATGCCCAAGCCCTTCTCGACGCCGGACGACTTTACCAAAGACGCTGTTCGCCACATCGAGACTACCCTTGCGCGCTCCCTCTTCAACTGCGACGAGTCTGCTGCCTATGCTGGAACTGCCCTCGCCTTCAGGGATCGCTTGGTCTTGGACTGGAACAAGACGCAGCAGAGCCAGACCTTTGCTGATCAGAAGCGTGTATACTGTGAGACTAGTGGGACATTTGCTGGTAGAACAACCTCTAACAAATCCAGATCTCTCCCTCGAGTTCTTGATGGGCCGCGCTCTGGACAATGCCATGCTCAACGTTGAGCAGAAGGATATCGCTTCCAGTAAGCCCACCTCTTAGGACCTGGCGTTGGCTTCTCTAACATACATGCAGAGGGTCTCAGTGATCTCGGCTTCCGCATGGAGGACATTGTATCTCAGGAGCATGATGCCGCTCTAGGAAACGGTGGTCTTGGACGTCTTGCTGCCTGCTTCCTCGACTCGATGGCTTCTCTCAACTACCCAGCCTGGGGCTATGGCTTACGGTACCGATATGGTATCTTTAAGCAGGAGATCGTCGACGGATACCAGGTTGAGGTTCCAGACTACTGGCTGGATTTCAACCCATGGGAGTTCCAGCGCCACGACATTGTCGTTGATATACAGTTCTACGGCAACGTCAACCGCTGGCAGGACGATGAGGGCAAGCAGCAGTGCTCGTGGGAGGGCGGCGAGATTGTCCAGGCTGTTGCTTTCGACGTTCCCGGTAAGCAGTCTTTCTATCACTTTTCGCCTTTTCACTGACGAGTAAAGTTCCTGGCTACAAGACTGGCACTTGCAACAACCTCCGCCTTTGGGGCAGCAAGGCGGCCAGTGGCGAGTTTGACTTCCAGAAGTTCAACTCTGGCGAATATGAGAGCTCTGTAGCTGACCAGCAGCGCGCTGAGACCATCTCCGCTGTGCTCTACCCCAACGACAAGTGAGTGGCTCTATGGTTATGAGATATTGTGTCTGACTAGCAACAGCCTTGACCGCGGTAAAGAGCTCCGCTTAAAGCAACAGTACTTCTGGTGCGCAGCTTCGCTTTACGACATTGTGCGACGTTTCAAGAAGAGTCAGCGCGCCTGGAAGGAATTCCCCAACCAAGTCGCGATTCAGCTCAATGATACCCACCCAACATTGGCCATTCCCGAGCTTCAGAGAATACTGGTCGATATTGAGGGCTTGGAGTGGGATGAGGCATGGAGCAGTAAGCAGAATCTACCCCCAGAGCTGGATCTTGACGCTAACAGCATATAGTCGTTCAGAAGACCTTTGGATACACTAACCATACCGTGCTTCCGGAGGCGCTCGAGAAGTGGTCGGTACCGCTCATGCAGCACCTCCTCCCGCGCCACCTCCAGGTAAGTTCAATCGCCTGATTTTTTGGGATCCTGCTAACTTTTGAAGATCATCTACGAAATCAATCTTCACTTCCTTCAATTCGTTGAGCGTAACTTCCCCAAAGATCGCGAGATGCTCGGCCGTGTCTCAATTATCGAAGAATCAAACCCGAAGATGGTCCGCATGGCATACCTTGCTTTGATTGGCTCACACAAGGTCAATGGTGTAGCTGAGCTACATTCCGATTTGATCAAAACCACCATCTTCAAGGACTTCGTCAAGATCTACGGACCGGACAAGTTCACTAATGTCACCAACGGTATCACCCCCAGGAGATGGCTCCACCAGGCCAACCCCAAGCTCTCTGCGCTTATTGCCTCAAAGTTGGGTGGTCACGAATTCCTGAAGGACCTTACCCTGCTGAACAAGCTAGAGGCGTTCGTTGACGACAAGGAGTTCCGCAAGGAGTTCCGCGACATCAAGTACGCCAATAAGGTGCGACTCGCACAGTATATCATGGAGAACAACGGCGTCAAGGTCAACCCGGCAGCGCTATTCGATGTCCAAGTCAAGCGCATTCACGAGTACAAGCGTCAGCAGCTCAACATCTTCGGTGTCATCCACCGTTACCTCCAGATCAAGGCCATGTCTCCCGAAGACCGCAAGAAGCTAGCTCCTCGCGTGTCCATCTTCGGTGGTAAGGCTGCACCAGGTTACTGGATGGCCAAGACCGTCATTCATCTCATCAACAAGGTCGGTGATGTCGTCAACAACGACAAGGATGTCGGCGACGCTCTCAAGGTTATCTATTTGGCCGACTACAATGTCAGCAAGGCAGAGATAATCTGCCCTGCTAGCGACATTAGCGAGCACATCTCCACTGCTGGCACTGAGGCGTCGGGTACCAGTAACATGAAGTTCTGCCTGAACGGCGGTCTCATCATCGGAACCTGCGACGGAGCCAACATCGAGATCACTCGCGAGATTGGCGAACAGAATATCTTCCTCTTCGGTAACCTTGCCGAAGATGTCGAGGACCTCCGTCACAACCACATGTACTCTCAGTACCAGCTAGACCCACAGCTTGCCAACGTATTCGATGCGATCCACAACGGCATGTTTGGCGACGCGGACCAGTTCTCTGCTCTGATCAACGGCATCGTAGATCATGGTGACTACTACCTCGTCTCTGACGATTTCGCATCGTACATCAAGACACAGGAGCTCATCGATGAGAGCTACAAGAACACTGAGGAGTGGACGACCAAGACCATCACCACGGTCGCGCGCATGGGTTTCTTCTCAAGTGACAGATGTATCGACGAGTATGCGGAGGCTATCTGGAACGTCGAGCCGCTGCAGGTCAAGAGCGAGCCTGCACCATAGAGGGTGATTCTGGAGATGGTACATATCGGTGGTTTCATGGTAGATCTTAGATGGTTGCGAGGCTAGAGCCTTAGATCTGGTGCCTTGTATTTACGATGATAATGAGATGTTCGTCGCGACAGAATGACAGAATGGTCTCGTAAAGATGCATGTGCTCTCTGACATCGTCGTGGTGTTGAGCGAGACCCTGAAACGCCTGCTCCGAATCAACCTAGCGCACGGTCGCGTCGCGCGACGTACGTCAACCGCAATCTGGCCAGCTCGACGCCAGCTCGCGACATATCGACAGCCCTCCCCTCACAAGTAACCATGGCGAACCGAGGCTACGATGTCGTCGTAGACGTTGACCAAGAGGTACGTACTTCTTGAGATGCGACGCAGGAAAGCCTACACGTCGCTAGCATCCAACTCAAGACCGCAAGCTTACCCAACCCCAGGGCGACCTAGGCCATACCGACCTGCAAGAAGACCTCGAATTCCACAGCTCCAGTAAGCGCACTGACTGCCCTCTCCAACCCAAACCTCCACAGCAACAACTAACACTCCCACCCAGACTTCGACACCCAACCCACCGGCCGCGGCGCCCCCAAAATCCAACCCGACTCCACCAGCGGCTCCTTCCTCCCCGGCCCCTCCACCAGCACATCCCCCACATCGCGCAAACACTACCTCTGGTCCCTAAACTTCTACGCCCAAGCCTTCGACGTCGACACCGCCGAAGTCCTGCGCCGCTGCACATCCACCCTATACCCACGCGCCAATTTCCTCGACGTGCTAGAAGGGAACCCGGACCTCTACGGCCCCGTATGGATCGCCACAACCGTCATTGTGATTCTGTTTTTGACCGGAACGATTAATCAGTATCTGGCGCAGAAGGGCGAGGAGCACTTTGCGTATGATTTTAAGCTGTTGAGTGGAGCGGCGGGACTGGTGTATGGGTATACAGCGTTTGTGCCTGTGGGGCTGTGGGGCGTGCTCAAGTGGTATGGGAGTGAGAGTGCGAATTTGATGGAGTGTGCTTGTTTGTATGGGTATGCGAATTTGGTATGGATTGCGGTTTCTCTGGTGGCTTGGAGTCCTTGGGGTAGTGAGTCTTCCTTCCCTCTCATTTCTTTCTCGGAAAGACGACGTACTAACAAAACTCACAGTCCTCAACTTCACAGTCGTAGCCCTCGGACTCGCGGCCTCGGCGTTTTTCCTCCTGCGCAACCTCTACCCTGTGCTCAGCACCACCGAAGCGAAGACGAGCAAGATTCTGCTTATTGTCGTGTTTGTTCTGCATGCTGGGTTTGCAATTGCGATCAAGGTGCTGTTCTTTGCGGCGACGAGTCCCGTGGGTCCGAATAAGGGTGGGGATAAGGATGCAGGGAAGGGGGTCGCGGATGGGGGGTCGGAGGGTAAAGGGGGTATGCTGAGGATGTTGATGGGTTGAGATGGGTTGGTGTGGGGGGATGAGGAGATGGGAGGTAGTTGAGGCATGGGATGATAGAATTTGGTAGTGAGATACCAGTATGGCCTGAAGGCTACAGCGCCTTATCAATGAGCAGACATTTTTTGATAATGTAGAGGGAAGGTCTTCGGTGCTTAAAGCGTGCGTTATCACTAGACTCGTAGGGGAGCGTGGAGGTATACGATACGCCATAACTTTTCCAAGGTCCTCTAAACACACACCGAAGACAACCAAGCTCACATACAACACGCATACAGGAGTCAGGATTTCGGCAATGAATTCATTATAGCTACGTTCCATCCGCCATGTATTACTTCGCCAGAATCTTACTTGGAGTATACAACCAATTATTCTGAGACACTTCTCCCCCAAAACACCTCTGTATGCTTCAAACAAAATTAGGCAGCCTCGGCGATAACATCCTCCTCCTCATCAGTCAGACGACCGGTCTGCAGGGCCCAGGCGAGTTCATGAACGTTAGACAGTGCGTATTGAGCGTCGTACTTGATACAGTATGCTACGCATCGGGTAAAGATACCTCCGTCGACGCCTGCCTCGGGGTGCTTCTTGAGCCCGTTACCGAGAGCGCGAATGTCGTAGTCAAGCACACCTTCCATCTCGTCGTGGGCGTAACGGATGAGATCAGTAGCAATCAGATCATTAGCGTTCTCGATGCCCGTGCGGAACTGATCAGCCCAATTGGCACCGTATTTGTCCTTGCCCTTGTTGATAGCGGTGATACACTTAACCGAGCATGTGTTGCGCAGGTAACCGCCCTCGAGGTCGCGGTGGGTGTTAAGCGTCTCGACGATCTGGGCGGGGCCCCATTTGCGGGAGTACAGGCGGAGAGCGACGGTAGGGCGGCCCAGAGACTGGAAGAAGTAGACAATGATCTCGGTGTCGGTAAGAGGAACCTGGGGCACGACGACGAGCGCTGGCGCCATGTTCCCTCTGGCAACGTGTGTCTTGCGCTTGCTGATAGAAGTATTGCCACGCTTGCTAGGGGTAGCAGGGCCGACGCGACCAGGAGTGAGAGGTGAGCTGGGGAAGGCAGAACTCATGTCACCGGTGAGTGCGCCAGACGTTGGTGTAGTGGGGAACCCGGCCATCATGCTGCCGGTAAGGTAGCCAGACTGTTCGCTGTTAGTACACGATGTTGAAGGTATGGTTACGTGGGACTTACATCCGGCTGACCGGTGGGGAGCGGTGGAGCGGTAGGGATCTTCATGCTTGGGATCTTCACCTGGAGGCCTTTGCGGGCCTGAGTCTTGGTGGACTTCTTCTTATTGCTGCCGCCGACAACCTTGGTTTCGAAGGCCTGTGCATCCTGCTGACTGGTGTTGGAGAATACAAACGTCTTGAACGGTTCGTGAACACCCTTCATCGGGGTGCTTGGAGTCGACATGGACCTCAGAGCCAGCTGCAGAACAGTCTCACGTAGCTCCGAGACTTCCGCCTCGGCCTTGTTCATGCGAACTGTCAGGTTGTTGACGACTTCACCGATGTTGTTGTTGAGGTCTACATGACACTGAATCTCATCCAAGTCTAAGGAAATCAGTCATCCTGGTGGATACATGCATATTTTGAATAGGGGAGACTCACTGTTGGGAGCCTTGTAGTCGTAAAAAGGGTTCGCCATGCTGCCGTCGAACTCCTGCTGAGTTATAGTCGCATCCAAAGGGGGTTGATTCATGTGCGCGAATGGCAGAAAGATCGACTCGCTGTAAAGTGAAAGGTTAGCATTGTTTTCTGCGCCGTGCCGTTGCCATGGCAGACGTCCAAATAATGGAGGAGTGATGGGAACATCACGGTCAACGGTGACCATGGTATGAACGTACCCAGAGACACGGCGTCCAACACTGTACTTGCGCGGTGAGCTGCCTTGATAGGCACTGCTGGTGTTGACGCTGCTCGCCCTGCTCGTATAGTCCTGGTGTGTGTAGGTGACGCTGGGCATCAGAACCTGCGGCTCTACCTCGTCCTCATAATATACTAAATTGGATGAAGCGTTAGCATCGAGGAATGTGGCTGCAGGCAACATAGAGGTCCGGCTGATCGGCTGCATGAAAGTCTGAGGGCTTTCGTTGTGTTCAGCCATGATGCTTAGTAGCGTGGTCTGTGATGGGATAGGTAGAAAATTGTAGCCGAATTTGTTGTTCTAAGGCGCTCGGACACCCACCATATGCCATAACAACAAGAGACTGCACCGAGGACCGTCGTCTGGTGAACGTGAAACTTGCTGCATTTGCTGATTCAGTCAGTTCACTGACATGACTTAATCACTTCACCGTGAAGACGACATACTCACCATGAAGCTTGAGGAAATGTGAAGGGCGCGCGCTCACTGTTGCAGGCATCAGAGAAGTTCGCTCTCATTGTGCTGATACACGTGGAGCATCCATGTGTAGGCGGGGTGAAGGGCATGATAGTCTTGATGCAGCAAGGTGCGTAATGTGCGATGGGATATAAAAAGGATGAAGGAAAAGAAGAGATGAAGCCGCAAAGGCCAGAATATATAGAGATGAAAAGGCAGCCACGTCATGCCTTCGTGATAGGCGCCCACGAGGCTTCAGCTGAAAAACGTGGCAATCGGTGCTCGATTACCTGAAAGCGTCCGCGGTCGGTCTATTGAGCGGTGGGACAGATAAGACATCTCGATGAGGATGAGAGAAATTACGAAAGAGGACGAAGGATATGCTAGACAGAACTACCTAGGCACACAATGACCTGCTGGACAGAGCGATGGACAGTACGAACTAGAAAGCGCCTCGCCATGAGTTTACTGCGAGCCATCTTCTTCTGTGCTTTGCTAGCATACATGCATGTCTCCACTTATGGTACAATGTCCGCCGAATCCAACGAATCTCGTGCGGCGAGCCTTGGACTGGGCTCTGGCGAATGATCAACGGACGCGTCGTACGAGATCAACCAGAATGCAGTCGCGAAGGTTCCAGGCCTGATAGCGAGACTGTAGAGGCATCACGAGCGCGCGTAAAGCAGTCGTTGATGGTCGCCGTCCGGCGAGAGTGATGATGCTAGGAGGTTTGACGTTCGAAGTTCGCGTCGCGATATTTGGCGCACTAGTCCAAATCTGGCTGGTGGTCCCTTCCCTGAACAACCCCCCAGCGTTGAACGGCACAGCTGTGTTGAATGCTCGAAGATATACCAAAACATTGCATACTCAGATGGCTGGTGCATCTTTCGCCCTCGCCATATCAGGTATCCGAGCGCACGGACTGCGGTCTGCTCCAGGGTATACTGCACCTTGATTGCAGATTGGTGTGGTTGGGAGCTGCAACTTGGACATTAGACATACCCAAAAAGACTAGAGCAATTTCGTGGCTATCGCTCATTGCAATGACCAATCGTCAGAGCCCCGCTTCCACAGCCCAAGCCCTTTGGGGCCTCTCAAACCCTCCGCCCAACGATGAGCTTCCCGCACTGAAATCGAGCTCCGACATTATGTGGAGCATGTGGAACTTGGCGAATCCGAATAACGTGGGTGGGATCAAGTACGTCCTTAGTACGCCTGTTACCAACAACAAGACAGTTGCGATAATCGAAAAGATCTTACAGGACAACTGCCTCGATCTGAATGAGCTGATGGTGTGGTCTGGCTGTGAGTTCGCGTCAGATGAGTCGGAATATTTCGCTTTGCTCGGTAAGTCGTAGCCCGCTTTGATATGCCTCTCTCCTTCGCTACATACTGCAATGTTATGATGGTTAGAGTATTGACTTCCACTGTTAACGTAGGATCACCGAATGGGCAAGCCATTGGGTATTTTCTGGCGCAGCACAAGAGCCAGCTCGGCGGAGAATATGTGTCAAAGATCAACATCTTCAAGGGAGATGATCCACATATGGTTGCCGCCTGTCTCCTTTTCACGATCGAAGATAGGGCTGGAGCTGCGAGGGCCGCTATCGGGGATGAGTCAAATGGCACTGGTCGCGTTGATGAGGGCATAGTTTTGAAGCGAGACGAATACGAGAAGAATGTTGTGAGACGGCATGTTATGTGGGCGAAGTTGTAGATTGCCAAAGACGCGTCTAGAGCGCGTGTTTCGATGTACAGCTACGGCTTATATGCCAAGATCTGTCTTCGAGAGCTGAAATAGACCTAATTGAAGGTGCGGCCCTGTTGGTCAAACGGATTTCGATAACAATTTGGTGACTTTCGTAACGGATCTCAATGGTGGTGTTGGTGGACGGGAAGCATGGAAGCGCGTCGCAACCTCGGCAAACGCGCCGCTTATCGATAAGCCACGATTGCGAAGCTTCAGGGTCGCCATCGTCATCTCTCTTCCAACTCACAGTTCTCACAATGTCTGCAAACATCCTCATCGTTGGTGCCGGCGCCATTGGAGCCTTCTATGCCTCTCGTCTTGCGCTTGTCCCTGGTACCTCCGTCTCGGTTATCTGCCGCTCCAACTACAAAGCCGTGAAAGCGAATGGCTTCCAAGTTACCTCACCGCAATACGGCGATTACACCTTCGTACCTGCCAATACCTTTGCGAACCCAGACGAAGCAAGAGCGAGCGGGATACAATGGGACTTCATAGTAGTTAGCACGAAAGCGTTACCCGACGTGAGCGACGACTCGACGATACTTGAGGGGTTAGTCGGCGATAAGACGGCCATTGTGCTGATACAGAATGGCCTGGGCGTAGAAGAACCGTATACGAAGCGATTTCCACAGGCTGCGATATGTTCGGCGGTTACGATAGCAACCTGCGCGCAGCCCGAACATGGTCAGATCAAGCACAACAGATGGACGCGGATAAACAGCGGACCGTACCTGCCTCATCTAGATACTGGGAGCAGAAAAGATAGCGACGTGCGCGTCATCTTGATGAATGACGCGTTCATCGAGATGCTGAGGGTAGGAGGCATCAAAGACGCCGAAGCCTACAGTCATGCCAAACTCCAACTAGTCCGCTGGCACAAGATCGCCATCAACGCCTCCATGAACCCAACCTCGGTCCTCACCCTTTGCCTCCCGAACAACGTCATGTCTCTCGACCCAGAACTGCAGCGCCATCTCAAAGGCGTCATGACCGAGATCCTCGAAACCGCCCCCAAGATCCTTGGCGAGCCCATGCCTAAAGAATTCGCAACCCCCGATCAGATCATTCGGTCTACACAAAAGAACACAAGCGGAAGCAAGCCAAGCATGGCCGTCGACTGGGAAGCGGGCAAGAAGATGGAAATTGAGGTCATTCTTGGCAATCCATTGAGGATTGCGCGGGACAGGGGCTTTGAGATGCCGCGTCTGCAGAGTTTGTATGCGATGGTCAGGATGGCGCAAGAGGTCAGAGATCAGAGGAAAGACAACAAGTTGTGAGAGGCTGGATTGTTCCCGTTGATTGGTCTCTCGATTGCTTCCTTTGTGTGTGGTTTACCTCAGCCGAGTAAAGCGAGCTCCGTTCCAAACTGCAAACTTCAAGTCAACAGGATCGCGTGGGCAGGGTCACCTCCAAGCATTCCATTTGGCTTTGCTGCTATATACCTCCTGATGTTGTCATGATACTTTAAATTTGCAATAAAGATTATATGCAGCGTAAGAATTCTCAAGACTTTGTTCGCGACCCTGGTACTTAGCTTTTCGCCTATGTTTCTAGGGCATATCTAGCCACCTGAGGACTCCAAATTTGACAAACATAGTAACCACCAACCTTCCAAAGAGGGTCGTGCCTGTATAAGAGGTGGCTGGGAAGTGAAGGTGAAAGCGCCGCTTTCTCGATCTGCCGACATTACCAGTAGTAGGACTCAAATCTCTATTGATCTATCTTGATTATCCTTTATTGTCTGGTAATATCATTGTGTTTCAGGAAGCCGACGGGCAGAGGAAGAAGGCAGCTCAAAGTTGTAACCCTATTGAGCGACCCAGAACCGTGGGCATTACGATAGCAGTGGACCAAGGTGAGGGTATCTCTCACCCACCTCTCTCTTTGCGACCCGAAGACAATAGCTTGATAAGCTGCCTCTCACCCACACTAGCGAGTCCCTCCTTCTACATCTACAGCTCTTTCTCAACTATCGACCACAACTTCCCCATATCATCAACCATTACTATCACAGACAAGATGAGCAGGCTCTCTACTCAGCAGTTACAACAACAGTGGCTCAGCAAGTCGACGCCTGAGCAGCAACAACAATGGTACAACAAGGCGACACCAGAGGAGCAACAATGGTATATTCTTCAAGCACAGCGTCTTAGACAGCAAAGCGAGCAGTTACAAAGGCAGCAACAAGGACAGCAGCAGCAGCAGCAGCAGCAGCAAGTACCGCGCCAAAACAATCGACACCAAGGTCAGAATGCGGCCCGGAGCTCTTCTATTAACAGCCTGAGCAGAGCAAGGTCGTATACCACAAGCCCACTCTCAGCAACCTCAACGATGGCTCCAGCAGTGCGAGCACAGACGAGTGCAATCCCACATACGCGAAACAAAAACACAGCGACGCTGAGCGCCGTCTCACACATTCCTACTGTGCCACGCTCGGTGCCGGCACCAAACGCTGGCGGAATCCGACATCATCAGCAAAACAGCGCTTTTCTCAGTTCTACGCAGACTCAGCCGCGCATGCTACCCACGGACGACGTCGCTCGCTACCAGAAATCACCACCCAAACGACAAGGCCGTTCACATGTACAAATGAAGCTGCCACCCTCATCAACACGGCCCAGTTCTACGCCATCCGCGCATGCAGCATTGCATCCTGCCACCATGAGCCAGAAGCGTCGGGCCACAGACGGTCCAGACGGCGCGGTGCATGCAGATAAGAGGCAAAATACGATGCCACCTCCTGCTGCGCTGGTCGCTCCCATCGGTCAGAATAATGATCCTCTCAACCCAGGGCCATACAATCGCATGAGGAGAGTACCTGTTGCGGGGGCCAATGGAGGCGGAGCAGCCGTTAACCGTATCAATGCCGATGGCATCAACCGAGAGCGTCGCATTCAGCAGAACAAACTCGCAGAGCAGCGCGCTAGGCAGCAACAAGCTTACGACGCCGAGAAAGCCCGCGCTCTCAAGGTGTACAACGCCGCAACGGCCGCAGCCCTCAAGCGCGAGCAAGACGACGCGCGAAGGGAGTTCTTGCGCAAAGATCCCAGCGCTAACTACCGCCACATCCTCGAGGTATACGCATTGTCACCGCTAGACCCCAAGAAAGGTGAGTACCCAAACAGATATCTGACGAGCTTGCTGGCGAACCGAGTGATGCCCATGGACCTTGAATGCGATCTTGCGCTAGCCATTTTGTACGCAAAGGATCGTTGGGATTACTTTGGACAGTGGCCCAAGGACATCGAGCGCTTTGCGGGATATGAGAGGAAGAGGAAGGAGAAGGCGGCTAGGGATCGGGCTTAGGAGACCGAGAGGCGATACGGGGATACTCTGCACCTATTCGTGTGATATCGAAGTCCTTGAAGGCCTTGGAGAAACGCTTGCGTCGGAAGCTTTTGGAGTATACGGGGTAGCGTGAAGTGCTAGAGGCAGCTTGGAGAGGTACATGTAGTTCCCATAGTCCACTCAACTTCAGAATTAATCAGTTCACGAACATCCCTCGATTAAATCGCAGTGAGTACCTAGGTATCAGGCCTAGGTTCATGCGAGGTCCTCGTGATTGCATTCAAGGGGTAATCAGAGTGACTATTAAACAATATTGGGGCTACTGTCGCCAAATCACGGGGCTGACGTTATTCTCTCGTATCGACACTTTTCATTTCAACAGTTCACACACCCGCCGAGCGCACTTCTGATCGAGAACCATCCTGCTCAATCCATGGGGTTAAGCGCCGTCGCATCGCTGGCTCATTCAAGCCCGTCCACGGCTCTGATCTCATCTCAGGCGGAGATCATTCTCACAAAAACATCATCGCCCTCCCCGTCGGCGATACGCCATGTCAACCCAAGCCCATTACCGACACTATAAAGCAGGCTCCTCAGACGCCAGGCCTAGGTCGCAGGAAGAAGTTCAAAGTCTGGCAAGACGAGCCGCAGCCGCCTAAATCCAAAGGACAAACACCCGCCGCCGTAAAGCTACTTCAAGAGATTACCAACACCGGAGTTCGACGCAGATGTAGCCGCATACCGTCGCATAAGCCTCGATTTTGTGCGCAAGACACTGATTACTATTACCATCCCAATCTCAAGGACTTCCACTTTCCGCAAGGTGTTGTCGCAACCACTGAGGAGGATGTCGAAGAAGCGGCTCAGAGGGAACGAGACGCGCCCACTACCGAAGCGACACAGAAGACCGAGGACGCACAACTTGAGCTTACACAGTCATTGAAGCGGAAAGCGAAAAACGATCTTCGAGAAGGTGGTACGAAGAAACTAAGAAAGCTCAATCACCATCAGCCTTTACCTTGAATAGTCAACGGCAAGATTCGATATGACCCAGTCCAGGATTTTACGACTGAGTACTTCACCATTTCCGCACAGTTGATATCCTCTGTGCCTGTAAAGGATGTGAACAACACGGCAGGATCGGATCAATCCTTGACCGAGATCGATACAGCGATCGAGAAAGATGAAGCCCAACAGTTACCAACACCCATACCCGAGCCTGTTTCCAACGAGATACTGTCATCTGTTGCGAGCAAGAACCTGAACTCACCTAACATAGTCCATGTACTGGGGAACAACGAGACAGCCCTGGATAAAGTAGAGTCAGGATCTCTAGACCTGGATGCCATCTTGATGGAAATGACACAAAACGATGGATTTTTTGCGAACGAGATGAATGCATTCGAAGGGTTCGGTACTTACAAAATACCGCCACCACAAGACGATGGATTCGTCGCCGGCATGGAATATGGATTCAAAGGGTTCGGTACATACCAGCCACCGCCCTCAACTATTTCTGCTGCAGCTCAGCCCGCCCCAAAGATTGTAACCACAGTTCCATATTTGATAGAAAAGAAATACCAGCCCACCATCGAGAGGGGTGTAGCCTACAGCCAAGACTACGACCCAGGAAACCCGCAAAACTTCAAAAACTACCTCGCACAGTTCACCGATCGACCTGCAGCTCTTCGGTCACGAGAGCGAGAGTACCGTCCAATGCCAGAGATGTTGGGTATGGAAGCCCTGAACCAGCGGTTGGACTGGGTGATACCAAATGTAGCAGAAGCGCCAACACCACTGTCTCACATCGACTCAGAACTAGCACGATATGTTCGCTTCGCCCAGTCGGACGCTCAGAGACGTGTCAACTGGCGAGCGCATCCCAGCCATGTCGCCGAATTCATCCAGCGCACCAACTTCTACGGAATGGAGTTGCTGGTCAGTCGGAGCGAAATGCGCATTTCCTCACCTCTGACAGCAGACGAGTTCGAGCTAGGCATGGTGACTCGGCTTGCGCATGTATCCTTTGGTATGGACGTGGTGGACTATTGTGCGGCCGATGTGCCAGCTATCATGGATTACTTCATGGAGAATCTACCGTCAGCCATAAGCGTCTTCCCAACCGAAGATGAAGACTGCTTTCGCGGATTTACGGATTATTATCGCGTGATGTTCACGGAGAGATACCCACCATTGAACGCCCTAGGCCTGCTAGAATGGGAATCACTGCTCGCTTCTGAGGAGAGATGACCCTGCCTCAAAGCACAATCCCTTCGAGGCATCGTCCAGTCCATCAAAGGACTGTCTTCACAACGCCCCGGCGATGCAGACGGGACACATATCCTAAAAGGTGTAGTATCCCATGAGAAGACTGATACAGGAAACGAGCATCTCGATCATGCTCGTCTAGAACTTGGCCAAGCTCTTGGTGTGGGTAGGAGCAGCTCCGTTGGAGACGTCCAGTGGCATGACCAGCTCACCGACGCCGCCTTTCCAAACGAGGTCCAGAACGAGAAGGTGCAGCATTACGATGCAAACTCAGCTTCTTACTGGAACAACACGGAAGTCTCGGGTGAATACTCCGATCTGGAAATGTGTTAGCGGTATTTCCGCCGTATGTAATTGTGTGGTAGCAGTCGTGATTCTTGTTCGATGAAGGCTTCCCGCCTTCAAACACGGACATTGTGAGTGGCTCGCGGTCGCTAGCGCCGAAGGAGGATTGAAGCAGGCAACAAAGGTAGCTACAACGCGTGTTGCATTCTGTAAGGATACTATTGGAGATCTTATGTACATAGAAGACTAAGTTACCATAGAAACTATCCATTTATTAAAGTCCAACAGTGTATATGCAGCAAGGTGCGACACAAGTTCCAGTATTCCGGGTACTGGTCCTTCTTGTTGCTGCAGTTTTGGCCATGGTGTTACAACACGCGTACCATGGATGGAGATCAGCCTCAGCAACTTCCACAGACTCATCGAACGAAGACAAACCAGAGTTCCAGCGGAAGCTAATACCAGCACACCAGCACAATGAAAGATTATATATCTTCATGTCAATTATCGCACAGTATGGCTTTCTTCTTCCTTCCTTCCTATCTACCTACCCTCCTTCCAAGCGCGCATCCAAGCCATCTTACCATGTCTTCACCAGGTGCAGCGACAGCACCACATGTCGAAATCGGTACCAAAGCGACTCCGGCAAAAAGACCACGTGGCCGACCACGCAGAGACGGGTTGCCGGCAGGATCAGTACCCAAGAAGCCCAAAACGTTAGGGCGAGCGCGTGCAGGTACCGCGACGGAAATCCCCGGACAGCATGAGAAACGAGGCCCCGGTCGCCCGCCCAAGAAGAACAAATCGCTGGGCGCCCAAAACGCACTAGCAGCGCCATCATCGTCTGACCCCTCTCCACCAATGAACCCCATTCCAAGCCGTGGACCACAGGACGGAACTTTCACCGTCTTTGCGACTGTAGAGACTTCCAGTACGCAGGTCTTGGTTTCTCCTCCGAGTGACGTGACTGTTGGCAGTGAGGAAACGGACAGAAGTCAACAAAGAGTTCAAGATACTCTGAGGTTCTGCAAGGAGGCCGAAAGAAACCAGGAAATAGATGTGGCGATCAGTCAGTGGAACAGGGAGAGGGAAGATGACGCATTGGATTTTGAACTACGCCTGTTCAAATCCAGTCACGAGCACGAAGTGGAGCGAAATCGGTTGCTCGTAGCGCGTATGAATGAAGAGGACAAAGAAGCCGAACAAGAAATCGGAACAGAAGAGTCGAAAAGAAGAGCGGAACGTCGACGTCAGAAGAGAGAATGTCGAGATTACGGCTGCTATGAAGAGGATTGCAGAATCCACCATGCAGTCAGAGCGAATGTGACGCATTTCATGGCAAATCTCGACGAGCGCACGCAGGCGTTGCGGCCCATGGTGGTAAGGACGGATGATGAGGCAGCAGGAGTAGGGAAATGGCCTATGATTTTCGACTACCCTGGTTGTTTGCACGGTGATAGCTAGCGGATCCGATGGACAGTGGCGTTGTAATGGATAGCGGAAACTTCAGAGGAGCTGCATTCTCTTCTGGTGTCATCAATTCAAGAGGTTCGAAGACCTGAAGAGGTATGCAGATAACATTAGCTTGACTTTTTCGCGCGTAACAATGTGAGAATGAATACAGCAGAACCCTATACCACACGATTGGAACGCTCCTATCTCGTATTCAACATCATAAATTGGCCCGGAATTAGACGTCGGCGCGACGTTGACGGTGCATGTGTGAGCTCCTATTTGGTGGGCATCGCTGGGCTCTATACGCATAGTGTCGACATCGCAAGGAACGTAGATGCGCATAAACAACAAGAAGCAGCGGGTGGAACAAGATGTGAACATGCCCAGGATACATGTGCTGCCCGCGACATGTCGCGACGGGTGTCGATGGACCGATTTCGACTGCTTCACTAAGCCGTATATGAAGAGGTTACGATTAGGGTCTGGACGTATGCGAAGTGCATACTCTTTGTCATGGCTCGTATGACAATGTTTCTCCGAAAATGTCACTTAGAAATTGCAAGCTTCTTATGCCTCGATTCGAATGTCAAGGAAGATGGGTGATGGCTCACGTGATGCCGAGCTACCGCGGCAACCCCACATTGGCAACGCGTCAACGCGTCTCTTTCACACACGCAACTCAGACACGATGCGTTCCGGCAGACCGAAGACATGTATCCAGAAATACATATATGCTCGTAGATCTATCATCAATGCTTCTTAACATTGTCACCATGTCCTTTACAAGGTGTCTGCCACCAGTACTCTTGGTATCATCCCCATCGCATCTACTGCAGAAGTTCCTTCGAAGCCTCAGTGCGACATCCTTAGATGGACTTAAGATTGGGACCATAATGGGCTTGTAGCAAGGCTTCCGCTTAGGCTATGGTAGTGTTTACAGAAGAAAGAAGAGCTGGAAGAGCATGGACGTACAGTGTATTGGGTTCCGCTGATAGGCGCCCGAAACTGTTACATGTTTACTTCTAGTCTTGTGAAAGGAATATTATTGTGCGACGGCGCTTGAATGGTTCATGGTGCTTTCCACAACACGTATGGAAACACGCACCGCAAGCATGAGGGAAGCAGGCGCATCGAAGACATCGAAGGATTGCGCATCTGTACATCAAATCTGCGCCCTCTCCACCCCGTATCTACGCGGCAACGTCTTCAAATATCCTCGGAGCTACAAGATCTCGCAGCTCGAGGCCGAGTACTTCGTATGCGTTGATATACATTCCGCCCTATCAAGTCAGTGGCCATGTACCCGGTCACTTCGGCCCATACAATGCACTCGCGATCGGCTTACGTCAGGTTCGAATGTATCAGCGCTGCTCAATATCGAGGACAGACAAGAGTTGGCCAAGGAGACGTCACGGTCTTCGATCTGTTCTTCATCACCCGTCAATCGGTACCGATGTAGCCGTAGCTCTCTTAACAGAGATTCAGTCTCCTTGACGTCACCTAACGACGTTACCAGTAACAGTCACTCTCAATATCGCCATGAACGAATGTTTCCGGAGTAACGCAGGCAACATTGAGTCACCTGCCTTCCAAAGTTGGCCAAATGAGCCGTTTTCGCCCTTCACGTGCTTACTGCTAGATTGGCGAACGCGGGGACTGTTTCAAAGTCCCCACTAAGATCCTCGATCGTGGGGTTCAGATTGGTCCAGCTTCATCACTGCAGCCTTCCGCACCCACGCCTTGTGAATTCTCACATTCGAAGCGCTAGCACATTGTTCAAGCGAAGATTGCATTCTATCTTGGGAAAGCTTTGAGCTAGAGCGTCTCCCCATATATCTACTGTAGTTGTAAACAAAGGCTGCTCCGTTCGCTGTTACCAGAAGCGTTTCAACACTCTGCTCCGCTAGCGACATTCGCATCTGTCAGCCCCTCCTACAGTCTCCAATTCGTTGGCTTATCCGTCTTGCTCATACCAACCAGATTTTAACCTCGCGATGGCTAAGTTCCAAACCCGGCAGTGCAAGTAATCCTAGCACCACTCAAATCTCCATTTAATTGCTACAATGGTTTCCTTATCAAACACTAATTCTTGTATTAAAGATCTCATGTCGAGCAATCCGAAGACGTCTTCAACCAGTTCGTCTCCAACCAAAGGGGCTAGGGTTGAGAAACCAGCAGCCATGACTAAAGCACGTTCGAAGAACAAAGACGGCTCGATTCACGCCTCCCCAACCGACATCTTCGGACCAAATGCTGTCACCCGGTATCTCAGCATTCCACAAACCGGCAATATTACCGGTGTGGAGCTGATGACGTTTCTTCCTGAGCTGATTCGAAGCCCCGGCATCCTTGTTCGATTCTTCCAGAACGGCGGCGATGCTGGACCCTTGACTAGGATCTACAAATGGTTTCGAGTCGTGGTGAAGAACAATTCCCGGCAAGACGCCACCAATGCCATGATTCACTTGGCCCAGGGAACGATGCGAAACTATCTCCAGGATGATCAGTGGACCATGACCCGCTACAGGGCCGGTCTGTACAGCAAAGTCGGCCAGGCCTGGGACCACGATAATCTGACTTTCACCGGTGTCAAGAACCACTGCGAGATCCAACCTCTGGGCAGCCGTCACAACAAACCGGTCGTCGCTAACGTCCATTTCGCGTCGCTGGCAGCTGACGTCTTGGTATACCCATCCGACTACGACGAGCTCGATCTGACCCGCTGTGTCAAGGCCGCTGTCGCCAATATCGACCTGCCGCTGATGTTTCCACGAGACTTTAATTTCCTCACTCGGCTCTTGGGTGGTCCCCAGACGGTACTTCCTGCTCATCAAGATGGTCCGCTGTTTGAACGTTGGAGGCTGGTGCCCTGGAACGAGACGCCTAAGCCGCACGCCATTCAGGCTGCAACGAATCTCGGCCATCACACGTTCACAGCAGCACAGCGGGCGGTAACCGAGCGGCATCTTCATCAACTCCCTCATGTCCATCCGTCTGCCTCTGCCTCTGCCCGGCCGTCGGCTTATGTCCAGTTGCCTATCTCCGCGCCTCGTGGCCTTGTGAGGATGATAAACCGCGCTGGCATCCCTCGCGCACAAGTTCCCGTGGCAGCCAGCGGTCCTCAATCTGACCACTCCCTGATTCTTAGTCGGATCTTGGGTAACACTGCTGCCGACTTGGCGCACGTCCTGGTTACGATACAAGAGGATCAACTGCGCGCGTTGTATGTCAGTGTCTTGGCCGCTAATGGTATCGTGCCTTCTAGACGCCGCGTAGAGCACACACCTGTCCCAGACGTTCTCTACAACACGCTCGGAGGTGATGGTAGTCTTGCCGGTCCAATCGTCCCAGCTGCACACGATGCTATGGTTCTTTCCTCATATGGCCCTTGGGATAACGACATCATCGCTAATGATAACGAGTCTCCACTTCCAAATTCATTTGATGAACAGCTTGATGATGACAGCGGCTCATTTGCGTCTCTCGATCTCAGTATGACCGATCCTGAGATCCTGGACAGTATCAACCGTGAGCTAGGTACCTCCATCGATTTAGAACCCGGTACCGAGCCTCCAAAAGTCGACCCGGAAGACCACGACCTCGGCTTGCAGGACGATGGTGTCAATGATGGACTTGTCCAGGGGACTTCAAGCCCTTCCATCGTGGTCCGCAACGTCGACGGCAGCATTGTCGAACACCCCGATGATGACCATTCAACTCGTGAAGCATAGTGTGGTCAAACAAGACAGCAATACAGTTCTCTCGAAAGGTTGATGTGTATTGGGCAGGCATACATCGGGATTGGACCGCGGTTCGTACGCGGTATTGGAGAAGTTTAGCGAGCATGATATGGGGTTTCTGGTAAAACTTCATGGAGGAGTTGGGCGTCTTGTACATTCTTCGCACTATACCCTTTCCAATTATTCCTTTGCTTTGAGTAGAACCACATCTCATTCAGTAAATCATGATACTGTTGACAAATGCGCCTTTTCGCGTGAGCCTCATGTGCACTGATCTACAACATTGGGAGTGTCAGCAATACGAGATTTACACTTAGAATAATGGTAGACTGCGGGAGTGTATTATTATCAGTCCTGTGTATCTGGTTTCATGCTCAATATCGTGTCATCGCACAGAATTGCCATGATGCCCAGAACATCCAGAGGAAGATCCAGGTGTCAAGACGACTATAACGCAACCCACAGGCCTTATCTGAGCCAGGTCCAACGTCCGCAGTTCAACGCCCAGGCAGCTCACATACCATCCCTAATAACCTCCTCACTGACCCAACCAATCTCATACCTATGCGCAGTAATACTCTCAAGGAACCAATCATACTCCGTCCAAACACTACCAAATAAAGCATACTGCTGCTTAGCCCAGCGGATGTTCTCAGCCCAATCGCTAGTATCCTTGGGGTGAGGCTGACTCAACAGGTGAAGCTCGCGGAACGGGGCGTGGCGGCGAGGGCCGTTGAAGCGGGCGTAATCGTAAGCGGACGAGTACATCTCAGGGAACGAAGTATGTGGCGGAGAAGAGTACAGGTAGATGCTGTGGTCGTCGATCCGGAGGCGATCCTCTGAGAGGAGGGGAGCGGGGAAGTGGATGGGCTCGCACTTGAGGTACTCGCGGACGGCGTCCATGACATCTGGAGTGAACTCGGTCATCATGTACGAGGGCACCTTTGCTTGCTGTCGAGCTTTCTGGGGTGAGGCTTCGATTCTGATCCACAGTTAGCACCGTGCTTTAAAGCTGAAGTCATCCGGGAATGTGATCAAAGTGGTTCGAGATCGGAGTAGACGTAGCAGCATCAGAAGCGTAGAATGAACTTACCCAGGGACTTTGAGCTTTAGAGGGCGGCGCTCAGGTACAAAAGCAGCGTTGATGTTCAAGCGAGCCTTGCGCGCCGCTTGACGGCCGCGTGCTGCGTGGATTGGCGAAATGGCTTCCTCAGGCTCACTTGCGTCTTCTTCCGGAATATCGTCATCAGGCTCGGACTCGTCCTCTACGAACTCGTCATCATCGGCGGACGAGTTTGGGGTCGGCGGCAGACGAGAAAGCTTGCGCTTCTTGGAAGGGGTGGCGTAGGGTGAGTCGAAGTAATCTTTGTCCTGGAGCCGATGTCAGCAATGTCACCATCTAAGACGTCGTAGAATCGACTTTCGCCAAACGCAGGCGATAGACTTACCTCGCCGCCGACTTCAGGTTCTTCAGCAAAGTTTATCTGCTTTCCGACAAGCCTGCCGCTTCTCCTCTTGCTACCATCCAGCACCTTCCCCAGGCCCTCAGCTGTACGCTTCTGTGGTGTCGCGGACCGTGACATTGCAACCAGCTCGATGTCGTCGAAGAGTGTCTTCTTGCTACCGCGCGCAGCTTTGGCCTTGCTGTTGATCTTGGAACTCTTGGGAGTCTTGGGAGTTTTAGGGACGCGGCCTTTACCGGGTGTAGACTTGGCGGGTGAGAAGGCGTAGTTGCTATGACGTGCAAACACTTGCCTATCGTAGTGACCGTGAGTGACAGTGGCTGGCCCACCGAGGTGAGTGATGAGTCGTTGGAAATCAGTGGGAAAGAACCACACTTCTTCCTCGTGCTCAATAGCGTATTGCACACAGCGGGTGAGGTCCAGTGCGTCATCGCCACACGGATGTTCTTTCACATGGAGTGCAAGGTCTTTGAAGTCCAACGGTGAGGAGTCCTGATTGACCTTGTCCTTTCCGGGAGTACCAGTCCTCACGTCCTTAGGGTGAGTCCGGTTGGGTGTACGGAAACAGTGGACGTTGAGGTTGGCTTCAGGTCTCGGGATTCCAGTGTCATATTCGAAGTGCATACCAAATTTCCAATCGTCGTATCCGGCGCGTCGCATGGCGTACTGTATCATGACCATGGCAGAATTGGGTTGGAAATCTTGATTCAGCGGCTGGTCCCTATACTCGTTGATCATGGCAGCGAGATGCCCTGCTTTCGCGCCGTGCATCACGAAACGGTCGATGACATCGACGGATTTGAGCCAATGCGGGAGGTAGGCCAGGATCTCGGCGGCGGTCAGATTACCGTTTGGGAAGGGGAGGTTCCAGCTTGGGCTGTGGTAGCCGAAAGCGTTGTTCTTGGCAATGGCTGCCATGTTGACAGATCTGATGGTTAGTACGAGATCCGTAGAGACCCAGGAGAGCCTGCAAAATGGTCTTCTGTAGAAGCTGCAGGAGGTGGTCGGATACGCAGAGGATGGCTTACTAGGAAGTGAAAGTGGGAGAGTCTCCAAAGACGGTGCGAAGTCTCGCTGTACTTTGTCTCTGGTGATCGATGTGTGACGTCTCCAACGGCTGCAAAAGCAGATCTTTCAAATCTCGTCGTGGGCTGGACCTGGCACTTCGGAGACTCAGGTGACGGCGGAGTCGAGCAAAGTTGCTTAAAGGACGCTCGGACCGGGTAGAGTGGCCTTTTTGTTGATGTAGCGACACCCACAACAGAAGCGCGAGGTACACTCTACTAACCACGTGCAGATCCCTATCAACACCACAAACACCATACATGCACCTCTGACCATGGATCATCCGCCGCGACTGTACTAACTGCCAATTGTCTCACAATAGGCACACTCTCCTAACTTGTCGGCAGGTCAACGGCGTCAACCCCAGGACCGGCCGAGAACGCATCAGAGTCCAAATCAGGAACACGTACGGAGTTGTACGGCTACGGCTTTGGACCGAACGCGCCTTCAAGGTACCTCCCGTTTCCTGCGACCGCGAACATTACCGCCGTCGAGCTCCTCGCATTCCTTCCGAACAGCATACACTGCGTTGACGTGGTGTATCGCCTAGTCACGAACGGCGCAACCCCGACTCAGGTTTGGGCCACCGTGAACACACATCGAAAGCTTGCCAAGGAGTGGACTCAGGGCGCCTGCCGGCAGAGCATCTACAAGACGATGGATCAAGGCGGGTACAAGGATTGGCGACTCCAGACGCATGATACCTTCCACGAAAAGAAAAAGTCGACCTGGGATGATGCCAACCTCTACGTTGCAGGGTTCTCGCCACCAGATGATGGAAAATCCAAGATCACTCCGACAGACATACCCTTCAAGAACCTAGCCATAGACCTGAGCTGCATGCCGCAGGGCCACGATGCGCTGGATCTGACTCGCATGGTAGAGTACTGTGTGCAGAATCCACATGAGCCGTGGTTCTATCCTCGCGACTACAATAAAGTATTGCAGCTTGTGGGCGGCGCAGCTACTGTTCGAAAAGAACATAGCGATGGCGATGCTTCCAAACGATGGGCTGGTGTAAAGCCTCCTCTTTCTCAAGGTGCACCAGCCAGCGCTCCTCTCGTGCAAACTCAGAAAAAGAAAGATGCTAAGAGAAAGAAGAAGAGTGTCATGGAAGAAGATTTGCCAGTACCTAGGAGACAGAAGGAAACAGTCGCTCAACCAAAGGGCACGACACCAGAGTCAGAAACAGAGAATGAGATGCACGAGCTGAGAGGAAAGCCGAGAAAGTCTGTATGGTTTGACGAGGAGCCAGTCGTTGAGAAATTTGTTGAAGAGGAAGAAGAGGAGGACGAGGAGGACGACATCATGGTCAGCGCCAGCAGAGACCTTGAAAGAACAAGTTATGCCGCGCCTCCGGAAGATTCAGTCGTGCCATGGGAGACAGCACTTGCAGACTCACAAGATGAGGACGCGATGAATATGGCGTTCTTCTTCGAACGTCAGGTAGGAGAGACTGATCCATACAGCCCATACGCTTTCAGTGGTCCCCGTCATAAGCCGCCTTACCGACCGCTGTACCGCATCGACCTCCCAGACTCATCAGATGCAAGCGGTTGGGCAGAGAACCTGAGGTGGGCATTCGAACAGAACACGCTCTACCGATACCCTTACCGCCCTGACGCTTGGAACGAGAGCCCGGAGCACATGGAGCTCATCGTGCAGATTCGGATAGACCGGTACTGGATGTCGGATGAGTACGCGGCAATGATTGACAATTAGCTCGGCAGGGCGACGATTGCCTAGTAGTTGGGGGTTTATTGGATTCTGGGGTTTGGGAGTTCTGGTCGTTCGCTGATGGATGGTAATAATCGTGTCATGTCACAGTACCCTCATCCTGCTAAAAGGCAGCAGCGAACGCAGGCGAGAGAGTAGCGCCATTGAACCGTAGCTGATGAGTAAGGAGATCCGAAATGTCACATGTATAGTAATGGCAATGGCCGTTCGATGGATTCACTGTCAATAATGCTGTGAGTGATGACGGAGCGAAGAGGTGAGGTTCCACAGTCTGTAAACCTCAGCCTTGGCGTTTCGGGAATGCACGGACTGGCGTCGATCGATGTTCCGACCGAAACCAACTTCGAACACCGTCCAAACTTCCTCACCCCGAATTCGACAGCCATCGTCCCTGTAGTCGCTTGTTTCACGAGATTTTGTCTGGTTCGCGACGCTGCAAGACGCCACAGTGGATCGGAGGCTGAAGATCCGGACGCACTGATTGTCGCAGGAGATGATTTACACGATGACAGCTCTTAGGTTGCGAAACAACCGAAGCTCTTCGAACAAGTGCGTGATGTGTAGAAATGTATTTAGATGGGATGCGCTCCCTGGCGGTTCGTCGTTCAAAGCCCTTCATCTCTACGAAACTTCAGAAACCTATACCTTAGATTCACGAGCCGGACTCACCTAATACGCTCCTTACGAACCGACACGAACGTACTCGACGACCTCAGTCTACTACTACAACTTCGCACGATTACATACCTCGCTATGCGTTCCTCCATGATCGTCGGAGCCGTCGCGGCCTTCGCTCCCATCGCACTCGCACAAAGCTCCTCCGCCATAACATCAATGGTCCCGATGATGTCTCCCTCCGCGCCTCCCGTCACAATGGCTTGGGATAACAAGCCCGCCCCTACAGGGGAAGCGGCCCTTTCTTCAGGCGCTTCGTCGCTGAACTCTGCGATGAAGTCCGCGATGTCTTCCATGTCCAAGGGAATGTCGATGGGGAGTGGCATGACCATGTCCGACGGTATGGTCATGCCAACAGGCAGTGCTATGGCAGGAATGAGCAATTTCACCGGCAGCGCAGGCAAGATGGAGGTCGGCAGTGGTGGTGTGGCGATGATGGCAGCCATCTTGGCTATGTTGTGAACGTATTGAATCTACGTTCAAGACTTGCTGGAGCATGTAATGGAAGCTCAGTCGGTCAAGCATAGCGTTTTTGTCTTTTTCCAACCACCCTGCGTTCGTGGAAACGCTGTCTTCGTCTCGGGCGTTACCTCTTTTCGCTAATACACACTGTACATTTACTTTATACATGACTGCATTGCATCATACATTGCCTATACCGAGTGGCTGTCACTAAGCAGAGTGAAGTCTAGCCACTTACCCTCCCACTCAGAACCTGTACACGACACGTCACTATATCAAGTATCGAATGGGCAAGCATGCGATCCAACTAGTCCAAAATCGTCGATGCTATGAGAGTCACCTGGCGATCCATACTGTTTCTGATACAGATTGGTCTTTGTCCGCGTGATGTGCGAGTATCTATACAGCCCTTCGTCCGTATAAAACTTCGCTTCTGTGTCTACTGATGAACGTCTTGCGTTTCTCCGCAGAAGCACCCATCTCACTCATCTGGTCTACCAGCTGCAATAACGTTTTTTTCGCTCAGTCAATCCAAGGCATGTCACACCAATCTCATGGCGCACATACCACGTGTACCTGTCCGCTCTGCGAATACTTACGTCGTGACAAGAACTACAAAGAGGGTCAAGATTTCTGAGTCATAGCAGAAGAATGACATGCATCTCGAAAAAGGTTCATCGAGTTAAGCAGTCGCTAGTAACTCACTCACGTTCCACCCGACCCAGCCTATCGAAGTCTCGTAGCTTCGTGTGGCTGCTATACAAAGTTTCGCTAACGCGGCGCTGTCGAGTCGAGTTCAAAATGCGGCGCCACTTCGCTTGAGGAGTTGCTTCGTTGTTCTACTATGCTAGGTGGTGCAGGTAGTGTCGCGATAAGTGATATCGCGATTGATGACGTCACGCGTGACATCTGTCCGTAGACCTCCAGTTAGGTATAGCTTCATCACGGACAACCACACCAATTATCCTCAAGCATTCCTTCTTTGCATACAAGCATCATAGCATCGCCGTTCAAAGAACCTTAGAAGCACGATACACGCCACACCTTCGACATGGCAACATCAGACGAGATGTCGCTGCTAGACCGCGTCTTCGCCGCCAAATCCACCGATGAGTCGCGCGAATTATACGACGAATGGGCAAAGACTTACGATTCCGACATGACTTTACACGACTTCACCGCGCCACGCCTTGTCGCCCAAGCAGTGGCCCGAGGTCTGAAGCTCAACCACATCTCACCCGACAAACCTCTCGCCGACCTAAAAATTGCGGATGCAGGATGCGGTACCGGCCTTGTCGGGATTGAACTCTCTAAGCTTGGTGCTACCGATATTCTGGGCCTCGATATCAGTGAAGGCATGCTAGCTGTTGCTAAGAACACCGCGGTGTACGATGACCTGACGACCGCGGATTTGACGAAGAGATTGGAGTTTGAGGACGGAAAATTCGATGCGCTGACGTGCTGTGGTACGTTTACACATGGCCACTTAGGACCTGAACCGTTGGAGGAGTTCGTGAGGGTTGTGAAGGACGGCGGGGTTGTTGTCGCAACTGTGCTAGATAGCTTCTGGGTGGAGAAGGGGTTTGAGAAGGAGGTTCAGAGACTGGAGAAGGAGGAGAAGATTGAGGTTGTAGAGAAGGACTTGCATCAGTATCGGAAGGATGCCGGGGGTGGGCGCGTACTAATCTTACGGAAATTGTGAGCTCGAAGGGTATGGTGACGGTGCATACATTACAGCAAATGCAATGATGAAGGGCCTAAGAGCTTGGTATATTATACTCATGCACAAAGTGCGGCATCATAGCAGAATTACCTGATGGACTACAGGACTACGGTATGCCTGAACCTACATAACCTCCCATCTATTCTCCATAGTGTGTTCATAAGCTGGGACCACAGTATCAATTGACGTAACCTCGACTTCCTCTGGAACCAAACCGCTGGCCCATGTCCGAACACTCATGAGCGCATCCTCAGCTTCTTCGGAGTTAAGATCCCTGAACCATTTCTCAACTCTTAAACGCAAAACCTCATCTTCCTTCGGAACATGCCTTCTATTCCATTCATGTGCGAATAAGAGCGCGTCCCCCACGACCCTAGGAGCCCAAGAATGGACCTCAACCCTTCGCAGACTCGGAAGGTGAGGGAAGTAAGACGTGTTATATACCCTCGTGCTCGTCCAATCTCGATTTTCATAGACGCGAAGGATTGTAATGGCGTTCTGCACGTCCTCGGGCATTTTTTGTATGGCTTCAACTAGATCTCTGGGACGTGCACGGAAGGGACTGAGCTGGAATACCAGCGTTTTGGTCTCGGTATGGTATTGGCGGCATACTAGTAGAGATTTGAGGAGTGAGGATAGTGATTGTGAAGTTGCGCTTGTCTTGCGCACAGGATTGTGGTTGTAGTCAGGCCTCGAGCGGAATTTGTTCGAATGGTAATCGATGCAATCTACGCAAAAGGCGTATCCATAAATCCGATTGCGAAGTTCTGCAGGCAGGCGTAGTAGGGGCGATTCAGTTTGGTTACGCAATGTGCTACGCTGATGTCAGTGCTGTTTCGAACCAGAAGTCGAGAGCTATGATGCTCACATCGCGTCCATTTCGCCGAAGAGGTGTCTTGGGTGGGAAAACTCTTGGTACACAACGTATCACTGTAATCTGCTAATCTGTGCGATCTACCGAACCTCGAAAATGTTGTTGTAGAGAAGAGGGCTGCTGACATGCATCACGACGAAACGGCGTAGCCCGCTTGCCCTATCTGAGCCTAGTACCACTGCTGCCTTCCAGATCTCTTTCGATGCCACTCCATTTAATCGTACAATATTTTTACAAGATACATGATACATCAATCCATCACAACCATTCCACGCAGATAGCCAGCATACCCGAATGGCGTCGGCCGTGCAAACTGTGCAACAGCAAGTCCAAGTCCCAGTCCGACGCCAGCCACACTCGTTTCTTGAATCGACGCGCTCGCATCATGCCAACGTTCAGTCCCAACAAAGCATTCGCCTTCCCAGTCGTATTCGTATCGCTCGGATGCATCATGCTCCGGGTAACATTCTGGCAAATGTCCGCATACACGCACAAAGAAGTCGACCAGGTCTTCGCTCCTTCCCTCGTTGAAGTGCAATCGCCCATCAATGATCGGCCAGGCTGCTGAGAATCGATCTTTGGATATTGAACCACAAGCCAGCCATTCTGAAGAGCGGATGTATATAAGGTCGAGACCGAGGAGTGGTCCAACATCAGCCATGCACAGCCACCGGTCTTCGCGACCTTTTGTACCTTGCCATATGGGTATCATGGCACTGTGGTTGCCCGCTGAACTTACGAGGACGGCCACCAGGCCTGAAGCCTGGATTTGAACTATCTGGATAGCTTCATGACCTCGGACATAGAGGTCGTACGCTTCACACAACGCCGCAGCTGTTACCAGTTAGCACAAAATCCATACGGTAAGACGATGAAGATTACCGAAGTCGCTAAAGACCGTTATGAAAGGACTAGCTCGTGAGTCGCGAAGACGAAGGTATTCTTCTATGCAATCCAGACTCAGATAAGAAAGCGAGAAGTCACATCTTGACTGGAACAGACTTGCACCGACTGAGAACCTGAGCTGGTAACTCGTCGCACTGTGCTCACTGAAGACGTGATAGAAGTAGGGACCCTCAAAGCCGTCGATGATTTCGTCTTGTGGCAAGTCGCTGCTGATTGGTCGGTTAAAACTTAGCCGCATCATCGATCACAATTCACGTACCTCAACATTGTTCCATCACAGTCCATCTCAGAGTTTCACACCGTGTTCCTTCATTTTCACCCTCAAGTGGCACAGTCCCTTGCGAAAGTATTGAAGCCGTGGCATCTTGCCGTGATGTAGGGAAGTCTTCGGCTCGGCTGGTCCGTGATGGCGCAAAGCTCGCACCACCGTGATCCAGCATTTTTCCTGCCCATCGACCTCATGTCAGCATGCATCAACTTCGTCTTCGAACAAACGTTTCCGCTTTATGACGTGCGAATAGATCAATTGTATCTGATCATCTGAGATCGACGTCGGCCGCGATGGCACCCTTACCATTCACCGTTCTTTCCAGGGTGGGCAGCCGTGGCGGACTCTTCTGGCCACTTCACGTGCATACTACCTTTCAGCAGCACAAACAAGGCCCGTTCAAAGCACTTTTAACTCTCCCAGAAGTGAATAGTACTTTCTTAGTTGACCGCTGCGTCACCATTGACCCTGGTGAATGCTCGAAGCTCACCCACAGCCCAGCTACCGGCTTAGTGAACGCGTTCCATCCTCATTCAAATCTTGACCGGCCAACGGGCTCCAATTCCCTAATCCATAACTTTACAACTTTACAGCAAAAGGTATTTACACTCGATGAAGACCGCACGCGAATCCGATAGTCAACCACTAGAAGAAGCAGTAGCAATTCCGCGATATGTACCGGGAGTTTTGCGTTCTTCACCTGAGGCCCATGTTGCTCAGAAAGACGAACAGATGCATGCAGCATCTACAGACTGTCAAGCTCACTTGAAGAGTGGGGAAGATGCAAGGACAACGAGTATTCTACCAGATCTACCTACGATTACACTAAGCGTGCCTTCCGCGCCGCCACTGTATGATCATTTGTTTCCACCGCAGGAACCCATGGAGCGAATTTTAGCCAATCAAAAATCTCCAGAGGCTCCATCAGGAATGATTGATCAAGGTCTCCAGGAGTCGCACCAAGCTCATCATACGATGCCAGGCGCTCCTCCCCCTGATGTCTGTCACCCACCAGTCCAGATAGTTCCCCGGCCCCAAGAAGACGTTAATGAAATATTCGAAGCCATGCAGACCGGAATCTTCGACACTCCGATCTTCGGGGAGGCAGGTGCAGTATACCACGACAATTTGACAGCTCGTCTCATGCCTAGGACCCCAATGTATCAGCATTACAATATTATTCCCGAGGTGCCCCAACCAAGGCCTGTAGCTGCTCCGAACGACAAACTACAAATACCCGACACGCCGAAAACTAAACCAAAGACCAAGCGTAAGCCCAGAAAGCGTAAGCGCGATCATTCACCGCAGGTAACTGTCATCAAGGAGGAAGATAGGGTACAAGAGGAGCCTCTGGAGAAGAAGCATAAGGCTGTGAAGGTTGATGACACCACGTAGAGGCCATCTTGTCGCAGATGTCTGGTTTCATTTGATCTGGATGGAAGATGCACAATATATAACCCGTCAGGATATTGAATATCTCACATGTGAAAGGAAGACTCTCTGGCGTAATGGTAGCGCATCACGCTTCTATTCAAGCGCCGCCGACATCCCTCTGTGGCAATGGGACGCCACCCACAGTTGAGTTATGGACGGTCCGCTTGAACCGTGAAGGCTATGAGTTCGAGTCTCATGGGAGTTAATAGCTATTGTTTTTGCGCGTATAATCTGATGCTATATATGACTCCTATGTATCTTTTTGCTTCTAATGAGATCAACTATTGCTTCGTGCACATCATCTCTCATACCTTCTCCCAACCACAATCTAATACTCCCCCAAATCCTCCCCCGTAAGATTCGGCCTCACATCCCCTCCCTCCAACCACGTCTTACACTTCGCATACAGCACATCCCTCTCCGGCCCATGCGCATTCAAATCCATCTTCGGCGGCCTCCCCGCCTTGCTCTCCGCCCAAGCAAGATACCTATACCCACTCGGATACTGCTTGACCTCTTCCTCGGGTACATCAAACGCCCTGCCCGGCACCACCGGCACCATCTTATCCTTATCAAACAACAGCGTCATGAAATCGACGCCCCATTTCCCAGCCTCGTTCTTCGATAGGAAGAAGAAGAAGCGGGTGTCGGCTTCGTTATCCATCTCGATTTCATCTAACATGATTCGACAAGTGATTGTGACTTTCATCTTACTTATTGCCCTGTCCCCTTGTACATCGACTGTCTGGCCACAGATGCGATGGAGGATATATGGGAACGGGCCATGCGGAGTTTGTTTCTCAAACCCTTCTTTTGAACTGGCGATGAATTCGTCGAGACGGCCTTGTGTCCATGATGTCGTGATGTAGGCGCCAGGGTGGAACATGGAAGAGTAATTTTGCCACTCGGCAGCGTCGCGGTACATGCCCCATCCTTCGCAGATTTCGCGGATCTTGAGGCGGTCGAGCACGGAGGCGTCGGTGCCGTTTGCGTTGTTGCGGGTGGCGGCGCTGGGGTAGGTGGACAAGGGGGGTTGGACGGTGGTGTATTGTAGGCTTGGGTGGGGCATTGTGGCGGTGGAATGGATACTTGAGATTTGTTCACAGAACTCCGTTGATGCTTGATGCGGTTGGTAACTAGGATATTTGTAGGCTTAGTTGACATGTTGCTGTGATGTATGTAGTGGTAACCGTTACGTCATTGCGTGACTGCCGAACATGAGCATTGTAATAGTCATGGAGGCACATGTTCTTCTGCAAATCGTGCCAGACCCCCACTAGCCACCCAGGTCTTGTATTCAGGAAGTTGTTGGACGCGGTCGTACATCGCTTCTGGGAGTTCGCGTCTCAGACGGCTCGCCGTCGCACTAGGGCTTTTTACGATCTTCTGGCTATTAGCCAACATCTTTGGATGCCGTCGCTCAGGGTTTTGGTAAGCGTGGTTGCCGAAGGGGATGCGTTATGCTTGCGCAGATGGTGTGCGGGTGATACGTCGAGGGCGTTTGTGCGATGCAAGTAAGGTTGAAAAATCATGGTATGCAGAGGAATTTCTTGATGAAGCAGATTTCAAAGTCCCAGCTTCCTAACGTACCACGGTTCTGGGGACTTGCGGCTTGGCGTTGGTATGCTAGAAGACAATCTGTGATGCTGGGCTGTTATCGTAGCAACCCGTCAACTCATTTTCACCTTAGCTCCTCATACGACCCCATGCGAAGGCTGCTTGCCGAAATCGAGATTGGCCTTGGGGCCGATACGCGGTCCTTGCGTTCATGAACAAACAAGAGAAATAAGGTGTAGACTACACAAAGTCGCTTTTCGAGAAGGAAACTACACTTCCTATTCCTGCTAGCAAGTCGCGTGTTAGCTAACATAAAGATCGAACAGCAACCCAGTAAGTAGGTGTACCTAGCCTGGGCGGAGAGTAATGCAGGCAGGACGTCAAAGACGGATTTGAATGCGCATGGGCCGGGGAAGGTGAGTGAAGATTGATGTAGACGATAGAAAATGGCTTCATTTACAACGCTATATACTAAATATCTTACACGTTCTGCTCGTTGATGAACAGACCGGCCATACCCATACCAGTACCAATGCACATACTGGTGAGCAGGACCTTCTTCTTCTGCCTCCTGCACTCGCTCAGACCAGTGACGATTTGACGTGCGCCGGTGCAACCAAGTGGGTGACCAAGCGCGATCGCACCTCCCCTTGGGTTGAGCTTCTGATGGTCGATCTTGAGTGTCTCGAGGCAGTATACGGCCATAGAGGCGAAAGCCTCGTTGAGCTCGATAAGATCAACGTCTTCGAGGCTAATGTTGAACTTGGAGAGCAGCTTGGGGATGGCGACGGATGGGCCGATACCCATGATCCTGGGTGGCAGACCAGCAACGGTGGCACCGACGTACTTGGCGAGGATGGGCTGGCCGAGCTTCTCGGCAGTGGAGCGCTTCATCATGAGGATGGCAGCGGCACCGTCTGTGAGTTGCGACGAGTTTCCGGCGTGTGACCTGTCGCCGTGGGGAAGAAAGGCAGGCTTGACCTTTTGCAGGCTCTCGAATGTGGTGCCGGCGCGGATACCCTCGTCCTTGGTTAGGGTGACGGTCTTGACCTCGCCTGTCTTGGGGTCCTTGATCTGGGTGGTGATGGGCGCAATCTCATCGTCGAACCATCCCGCCTTCTGCGCGACCTCGGCTCTCCGGTATGACTCGGCAGCGTACTTGTCCTGGCGCTCGCGCGAGATGTTGAAGTCCTTGCCAACGTTTTCTGAGGTCTGGCCCATGGGCTGCATGCAGTCCTTCGCCTCCTGGTTCTCGAGCACCTCATCTACGAACGGCCTCTCGAGCCTGTCGCCGCCGGCTGTCATGCTCTCAGCGCCCATGGCAAGACCAACCTCGATGCTGCCGACGGCGATCTGGTTGGCAATGTCTTGTACGGCCTTGAGTCCCGAAGAGCAGAAGCGGTTCAACGACGATCCGGATGTGGTGTTGGGGAAGCCAGCGGCGAGCATGGCGGCGCGGACATAGTAGGCAGCCTTGGCATCTGAGACGTTGCCGACGCAGATGTCTTCTACTACCGAGGGATCGAGGTTCGACTTTGCGACGACTTGCTTGAGCGTCTTGACGAGGATGCCGTCAAGGGTCGTGTCCTTGAAACCGCCCTTGTGGGCCTTGGTGAGGGGAGTGCGGAAGGCGAGGGTGATGACAACATCGTCGGGGTTCTTGGTGGTACTGTTGATAGCTGTCAGCGCTCGATTCTTCCCTTATCATCCGCCGCGCGTTCTTCACGTGTCATATCTGGCCGGGTGGAGCTTACAGAGCCGAGATGCCGCTGGCCGAGGGCGTCATGTGCGAAACGATGGACTTGAGGCGGTCGGTCATTGTGAAGGTGGGGAGGAGCAATTGATTGAGGTTTGTGAGTGAGGAAGGCGATATTTAGGGGAGATGGTGAGTGAATGCGGAGGCGGAGACAGCTCTTAACTTAAGTTGTGGGGCAAAGTAGTCGCGACGGCTGGGCCGAGGATCTCGGAGCCACATATCGCCAGGTCACGTTCTCTCGGCAATTGCCCTGGGACAGGCCGGGCCTTATTGCTCATTCATCAACAATCGTTGAACATACTAATCAGCTCATGTTTCCGTAAGCCAAAATTCAAAGATCAAATCCATCATGGTTTGCTTATCCACAGAAGTGCTGCATTGCTGGTCACGCCTTCCCCGCAATTCGCCGTCACGCTGCTTGAGCCTCTAGCCTTGCGCTACACAACTCCAACCTCATCTCATCTTGCCCGCTGCGAAACGACACTCTCAATCTCTGCTTGATCTCATTTCAGCCATGAAGGACTCCCGCGCGTATGCGCACGCGAGTTCGCGTCCTCTGCTCCTGCGTCTTTGCCCAATTGCCCCGAATGCCCCGTCACGATTCCTTGGCAAGACCACGACGCGCAGAATACCCACCGATCTTTCGAATCGCGTTGCCTATAACATACACAATGTTTCTATGGCTATCGCTTAATAGGCGATATGCTATTGCTTGGGATAGAGCGCATGAGCGACACAGCCTCCACAGACAGCATTGAGACCCGATCTTTTGGAACTGTGCCACCTAGTTGTTATGCTGTCAAAGGAAATTTGGCCCCCAAACGCCATCACTGCCCGCACAAAGCAACCGAAAAGGCAAGCTTAAACGCGAATCACGCTGTCAGAAGGTAAGGATGCTAAGGCAGGTCAGCCTCGCATACGTCGCGTAGCATCTTCACAGTCATACTTTTAATACACCATTCGTACTGCAGACGTCAACCACGATGCCGTCGAAGGTGCTCTGGATGTTTTGTCCTAAGAACGCCGCAAATAACGTTCATCCGAGCGACCCAACGCCACGTCCTTATTGAAATCTCGCTCAACATCCTGGCACGACCCAATGAGTCTAGGGTGGCTTAAGGCACACCGCGGAATGCATGCTGACTGCACGCGCCTACGAATAGACCCAATTCCTGATTGGAGAGGAGACTGCCACTCGCGAGGCTTGCATGGTTTCACACAACGGGAGCATGGGGCGGCGGAGCTGGGCTGCGCTTTGACCTCATCCTTCTCATCCCTTGTGAGTACTACAAATGCTTGCTCGCTGGTGTCGTCTTGTTCGTAGTGGTACGCGACTACATCGCCGCTCCGACCTCAACCATGACCGACTCTCCAACCGCTTCCATGACGACTTCCTTCACTTCTTCATCAACGCCAATCACATACTCGCATTCAATTATGACACCTTTCACACCGCCGTCTTATTGCACCAACGTTATCAAGTCGTCATGTACCCTCACCACACCCTCAAGTGGAAGTTCAACTGGCACACCTACTACAAGCTGCGCCTATGTAGAGCGTGACCTCACTTGCGGTTCAGATGGACAGGCCACCCGTGCCAGCGAATGTTTTCCAGGCAGCCCATATCCTTACTCGGTCTTGACATACTCTCCTGCTGTGGGATGTCCTTCTGGATGGGGCACGCAAAGCCAAATTATAGATCCCTCAAGCCGCACCACCGCAGTGTGCTGCCCATCGTGAGTTGGCCCTGGCCAGCATATGTAATGGTCACTGACGTTATCTATCAGCGGTTATACAGCACATTCATATTATTCGAGTTGCGCCAGTTCGATCACCTACACCGATTCCTCGACTGCGGTCTTATCATGCCAGACAGACGGAAGCTCGGTTCCTGACTGGTTTACAAGTGACTACTACAACGACAACACAGCCGTCTGGGCATTAAGAATAGAGGCGATTCTCACCGCTTCCTCTTCACCAGACGCAACATTCACTCCTCTTAGTGAACCAACACTTGATTTCGGCGAGCCAAAATCCAACCCGCCCGACCCAAGTCAAAAGTCCAGTCGCCTCGGTGCAGGCCCTATCGCCGGCATCGCTGTCGGTGCAGTCGGCGCACTAGCGCTCGTTGGCGGACTTCTCTTCCTCTGGCGCCGCCGCCAGAATCAGCATCACCACGCGCCGATACCGAAGGCTAGTCCGAGTGGAGAGCACGATGCTTTGCCGGAGTTTGTGGGGAAGAATGGCACGATTTCTCCGCCTACACCGATGGTGAGTTCGAATGGGTTGTTTCATCCACAGCCGGAGGTTAGGTCGCCGATGTTGGAGACGCCGCTTACACCACGGCGTTGATGGGGTTTGATGGCTTGGATTTCTCCTTCGTTTGTTACCGTATTGATACCCATACTATTCAGCAAAGAGCGATACATTTTGACCACTCGGTCGGTCGGGACCGACTAAACCTTCCCTCTCTCGTATTCGTGATCCTTTGCGGTCGGGCTTTTCTTCCGGTCTGCCTTTCCGAGTCCAGTGATGTGCGTGGGTCGGTCATGCCGAGCTTTAAATCCTACTGCGCATGCGCGGCTCCAACCGGCTATCCCCTGTGCAGTCACATCTCTGTTCCATGCATTGCACAGACATTTCGGCGAGCTCGATTACCAAGAGTTAGGTTGTCAGTCGCTTGGATGTAGAGCCAGAAATGCGGCACAGCATACGGCGCGGGCATTAACATTCGATCTCGTCACAGTTGGAACCGTTGTCTCATTGGCCTAACGATCCTTCCGCAGCAGGTTAATCTTGTCGGCACCATGCATTATATATGAATGCAACACTCAAGTGCACACGAGTCCCCGCTTTATACTGTGCTTCATTCCCTCTCATCCAAAAAAAATGGCTGACAATCCCTCTGATACCCCAACGACCATAGCCAGACCAACAACCACACAACCGTATGGTTTTATTGTCACACCCTTCACACCGCCAGATTATTGCTCCACTCCCATTCGAGATTGCCCTGGAAGGTCTGGCTTCTGCAGATGGTTTGAACGAGATCGAACGTGCGGATCCGACGGCAGAGCAACCATAGCAAGCGAGTGCTTCCCGCCAGGCACCGGATCTCTCGATTCCTATCTTTCTACTTATTCGGAAATTTTGTATGCTTCTGCTAGCAATTGCCCAGAGGGGTGGCATAACGTTGGAACTATTAGCACACGATCTACCCACACCGTAGTTGCATGTTGCCCTTCGTAGGTTGCCCAGTCACTCAAGCTTTAATACACCCTTGCAGAAGCCATGCTGATGAACTACTGTTACAGTTCTTATAGGGGAGTGACAGGAGACGATGACGGTAACATAGGTCCCACCTGTGTTAGTAATGTCGATCCAGCGTCCAGTACAGTAGTCCAGATCATTTGTATAGGAGATGCAAGCCCAATCACTACTACGAGCACTCGCCCTAGTGCTGATGGAATCAATGACGTCTGGGCAGACCAGATACATCTCATCTTACCTCAATCCGAATCTGCATCGACGACAGACGACCCTTCTTCCACCTCAGCAAGCACCGCATTTGCATTACCAACGTCAGAAACCACTCCCCCAGCAACCGACTCATCAAGCAAATCGCCATTACCAAAAGGCGCGATCGCCGGCATCGCGGTGGGCTTCGCCATTCTTTTGTTAATAGCCTTGTGCACGCCCGTCTGGGTGCTTCATCGGCGGAAGCAACGACAACATACTGACATTGGTACAAAGAAACGAATACCATTCGATTTTTCATCGTTGCCGGAGCTTGTGGGCATAAAGGGGAATGGGGGTTCGAGCACGGAAATGAGTCTGGGTCATCCGAATGATGTCGTTCCGCGTGACGGGGAGATGGGAGCGTCGTCCACGCCGATAACACGGTAGTAAGATTGGGAACGAGAGTAGGTAGATGGTCGTGTCATCGTAGCGAAATCAAGTCGAGTGGTTGCTTGACGTTTACTCTGCGGCAATGATGGGCTTCGCAAATCTACACGTGACTAACTTCAAGGGGTTAGCGCAGCCGTAGCGCGTTTTGTGAATCGCGTCATCACGTCAGCGGTGGCACACGCGTCGCGTCTTCGAACTTCCGCCATCGAGCTGTCAAACCTCGCCCGACAGCCTTCCCCCACGCACATGCTCGCCATGGACACTCGGGTATCAACGCAAACATGCGAAGCTCATTGAAATGCATGGCGCCGGTTATCGAGGGACCACCACTCCCGACCCCAATAACTCAATATCTCCGTCAACGTTATACCGTCATGTTTCAATCCGATGAAAGTAGCCCAATATCTTGACTGCTTGAGCTTGATCCTATCGCGTTGTGTTTCGCTCTCACCATGGAAGCCTGACAAACGCCATACTGCCTCTTACAATCTAGGCTTGCTGTCACGGAGGAGCGGTCAAGCTGTGGAGAGCCACTACACTCCGCTTGTGGTCGCGGATGCTTGTTTGATGACGATAGCAATCGCTCCGTTCCTCGACCTTGAGCTACAGGCTCGAAGGTAGCGAGATTACCTACGGCAATCTGCCGCTTTCTCGCCATGGATTCACTGGAGCCTATTGGGGTGGGCGCAATGGAGCACGTACTCATGGCAGATGTTGTTCGTTTCCAGCACTGCTGCCACTTTCTGATTACAGCCTCAGAGTGTAGCCTCGCCTTTCTCTTCCCGTATACTAACCTTCTTGCTCACCGGTATATACGAATTATACGATTCAACCGCGTAGCTCAACAGATCGACCCAAAAACTCATCACCACTCTATCCGACGTTCGCTCAACCCCCAGATCGACTACCGAAGCAAGACTGCAGCGCACAAACCTCCTGACCGCTCACCTGTTCCACGTTGTTAAGCTCACCCTCGGCTATATTGTCTGAACGAGCCCGAGTAACATCTGAAATGGAGATCCATGGCGGCTGGGTATCGCTCATCCTGACATTGTATCCACTGCTCCTCCTAGCACTTTACCAAGTCAACATCGATCCGGAAGCTTGGAGCAAGTGGAAAGGCTTCGCCGCACTGGCTATTTACTCAGTTATCATCATCTTCGTCGACCGCACCTACGTAGAAGGCAGTGCGTGGAAGTCCGTCGTCGCTGGGTGGAAGAGGTATCTGAAGCGCAGACGGGATGACCCTTGGATGAACGCCAACACGAGCAACGAGATCATCTTCAACATGCTGGCCAAGGCGATTCCGGAGTCGCCAAACCATGTATCGGATAAGGGCTATGAGCTCCTTTGCAGCTACAGCTTCAAGTCGTACACCAATACCCCTACGATCTACGTTCCTGGTACTCCGCCGATGTTTATAAAGCCGCCCGCCCCGTTAAAACTGGAGCCGGACACAGGACGCTATTACATCGATCAACATGTAGCCAAGGTACCGCTATCTCAATTCGAGCCACTCTTCCAGGCTCTTACTGTTATGAAGCCAAGCAAACGTTTCCACGACGTTGACGTCATTGTCGCTCGCGGATCAATGACTACGCTCATTACGTACGTCAAGGACGTATCATACCAGCCGTTCGCACTGACCCTACACGTCGTTGGTAACACTCTGATTGTCGGCCGACGGCTTCGATCTGGTATGGCTGGCTCTACCAATGGATCGTACGGGCGAAACTTGGAGGCTGCCTGGACGACGCAACTGGAATCAGATCTTCAAGATGCGGAAGGACATCATCACGCACTACAATACGACTTCGGCGGGCTCAAGATCGTAGTCAGGGCAGAGACGGACGCATATATGCCTCATAGTCAGCCTTCCCGAGATGAGATTCGAGAGTCGTTAGCAGATGCTGCATCACGTCGCGAGCCCGAATTCGCAAACACTACCATCCGACACAACAGCTCAGACTTGACTATTGTACTCCTGGCAGGAACGTCCGTCCCTCACAGCCGGACAATGGAACTAAAGAGCAACAACAAGAGCAAGCCCCTCGATCAAGTCTGGGTCGGTAGAACTTCGCGGTGGTCTCTTGGATTAAACAAGGATGGTGTATTTTCTTCGACTGAGAAGATTTTCACTCCAGAGGAGATGAGGAAGAACTACGAGGATGACGGCAAGCGACAAGCAGCTCTTCGTAAGCTTGTATGGTTATTGGAGGAGTTGAAGACGACGGTCAAGAAGAACACAAGCAACGGGTCTGCTGTGCTCCTCTGCCTGGGAAAGGGCGAAGAGCTGGTAGTACGTCCAATGAAGAAGCACTTGCCTGCGCTTCCTGATGCGATTGTGCAGCGTTTCTGGAGCTTGCCTGATCAGGACGAGATGCAGGAGTAGATATGTCTCAGGTGATCATCAATTCTGACGACTGGAATTTCAGGCTATTCAGCTCAATCATTGCTGCTCTTCAAAGCTATCGCAAGTATACCGTATACTAAAGTGCAATCTCAATAACCAGCCCGAACCAAGACCAGGGCCCAGTCTAAGTCTAATGCGTACTCTATTCTCATTCTTTGCTGCTCCGCTACTAGGCAGCCAATCGATTCATTTGCTACACTTTCTTGACCTGCACCACTAGCGCTGCGCTCTCGACCCTTTCCTCGGATTGATCGCGTCGAGAGACTCCACCACCTCTTACGAGAAAACCCTCAAAAAGATTTGCGACTTCACTGGAACAAGCTAAGCAAATTAGAAAATCTGACATCAATGTAGGCTCCAGGGTGTTGAGTTTTCTCCTTGAGTGAGGGGGTACTGGCAAACAGATCAAGACTCTTCTACATCCCCATTCTTTTAGTGGTATCAAGCTCCCTCATCTCTCGTATCTCGTCTCCATTACAGTTACGAGCAATCCCGCCACCGGCCGCCAGCGCGGTGCTCCCGCCAAAGCGCCCGGGAAAACACCTCGCAAAGGCGCCGACGTTACTCGCAAATGCCCGCCCGCGTCTAGCGGCGCTGCTTCACAAGCGAAGACCCGAAAGCGCTCCAGATCTGGAGCGACTTCTGCCCTGGACGACGACAACGACGACAACTAAGATGATAACGAAGACGACGACGACGACTTCGATTCAGAGCACGACCGAGAAGTCAAGAAAAACCGTCATTGATGGACGAGAACGGTCGCCTACCAGTCGGTCTCAAGAGCATGCGGGCATTTCGACCAAAACCTAAGGGCCTGAATCTTGCGGAAGAGTGAACTCCGTGGGTGCATTATTATTCTGAGGCTTTTTGAGACGAGTAGGTGACCTGAATCCGAACTGTCCGTAGCTGCTCTCGTCGAAGCCATACTGCGGAGGTCTCTGTATTTGTTAATGAATGTTTTTGAATCCGTCGTCTGTGTTGTCTCCTGCAAGCCACTGCGAGTTTGGAAAGGGCGGTGTAATGCTGTGGAATTCGTATACGCTATGCGGAAAAACTATACCATAGTCAAATTCACATGCTGGAAAGGCTAGCGGGTGTATTAGCGACGCATGATGACATATCTTGACTGGATCAACCCACCAGTGGTAGTGCTGGGCTGTTCGTCGCCTGCTTGTTCGTCGCGCGCGTGATCTGAGTGTTGTATTTCGAGTTGTACTGTGGACTGTTGACGATTACGGGGATGCTGAACCTGGTGTTCCAGCTCTCGAAACAAACGTTGTCTTCATCGACTCCCAGAGTGTTTGTATCATCAAAGCGGGTATCGTACTCTTCTGGGCCTAGGAATAGTTCCTGTACATCCAGGTATGTAGTACTTTCGTCCAGTTGACACATGTACTCTTCTGGAGGTGCAGTTGCATTCACATAGCAGTCCTTCGACATTGTTGTGCTAGATATACCGAACAGTGTGCACTGAAAGGGGGTCTAGAGGCCGGTCATAGGGGTCCCTGTGAGGCGCTGTAGATCTCGCGTTAGGGCTATAGTGACCTTTGTCATCATTGTGCAGGCGCTGCGTAGATTGACGTAGTACATAACCTTGAGACACAGGGTGTCTACTTACGCATCTCTCTGTCGCCGTATCGGGTCTTGTAGGAGTCTGTAAGGTTTAAGGAGAGGTTGAACTGGGGCAACAGCTTGCCTTGGTTATCATGCAGACCAAATGAGGTGCTGGAAGAAATACACTAGTACGAGAGCGAACTTGAAAAAGTTGTGCAGTGAAGGTCCGCATACAACAAGATTAGTCTTATTCTTGTCTTGGCATCATCATCATGCTTATCTGAGCGGGTAACAATGTGCATATTATTAGCATGAGCGACACTGTTAGAATGGGCCTTTATGTGGAAGATACAGGACATGTCACATCGTACCAAAGACACAGTGTAAGACATAGGCACACCCCTGAAAATCTGAGATTACCCTTTGGCGGCTATGACTATCAATCATCCATGCATTAAAAGACCTGTTGATCGGCCATGTACATATTCCTGAAGCGTCTTTACGGTCTTGATTTCCTTAGTCTTGATGAAAATACCCTCCCGCTACCCACCACTTCCGGACGAAATCATACGTTGGATCATGAATGCGGGACGCATCATAAGTCTGCTGCGGAAAGATCCGCTCCAGAGCCCGCCAATCAGTCTGAGCGGCGCCGAGGGGACTAGGCTGTGGAAGGCCACCATACTGTCTGTTCAGATCCTCTTGTTCAACGTAACGCTCAAGTTGAGATAGTCGTACGTTATCATGACCATATTGGCGAGCATGCCAGACAGCAAGGGTTAGCACCCCTGAGTCCGCTCCTTCAGGCCAGTATACTAGGCCATCAGCCAGGCTGACAAGAAAGCAGTCGCGAAGATCGCAGAACTCAGTGGTTAAGTTTACACGATCGGTGTTGATGCCAGCGAGCGTAAGACCGGCGGTGGCGCAGGGGTGACTTCGGGCAGCTCTTTGGTGCTTCTTCATACTACCAGCGGAGTGAGCCCGCAGGTCGGCTGAGCTGAGTTGGCGGAGGTAGAACTTGTGGATATATCAGCAAGATTCTGAGAAGAGAAAAGCAGTAAGTACTAACGATGAGCTCGCGTAGCCTATAAAGATTCCATCCGCCCGCCTCGAAGCGCTTCCAGAGAGCTCTCCAACATGATGCTGCTCGAGGAAAGAACTGTGTTCTTCGTCAGTCCGTCTTGCGCGTTATTGGAGGAACTAAGTAGCCTACCGCAGCAATCTCCACAAGGGTCACCTGAATGTTGGGTCCAATTAGTCGGAGCTCAACGTGCTCCCACAGCGCCACGCTGTTGAAGGGACAATACGAGGATTCCAAAGCCTTCTCAGGTAGGTTTCGAAGACGTGGGGTGATGGCAAGCCAGGCAAGCTTACGAGACTCCGGCCACTCGTACCGATGAATACCAGCGGAACCACTAGAACGGACGCCAGATGTTCTAGGTCCTTGCGGTACAACAATCTGAACCTCGCGGCGGAGTGGAATATGCGGTATTAGTCGACAAGTTTGGACGGCCTGCGTAGTCTGTTGGGCTTCAATGTATCGTATATACCCCGAAAGACTGTGGAACATAGCGTTATTTATGAGTTCGAGGGTCCAGAGGGCTTCGAACGCTAATCGCACGTCTCGCGGAACACGCAAGATGTATCCGGGTGCGTACCTCAAGAGGCAGACACACTCAGCCACGATAATAGCCTTTCCGGTCATGGAGTCCTGGACCCAGTACTGTAAGCCACTCGGTGTAGGTACCATAGCCCTAATCTGCTCCAGCCGCTCGCTCGAGTCGCAGAAGTCCTTGATGATCCGCTGGGCGAGCGCTGTATTGGACGCGGCCTCGGCGCGCAGTTCGTTACGAGTCAGGATATGTGATGCTCGCTGGTCTTGAACTTGAGCGATGTTATCTTCACCACCATAACTGATCATGTGATTCAGCGCGTAGCCTGAGCCACTAGAAGGAGACGCCGCACCATCCGCGAAATCTGCGGCGGCCGTATTTAGTAACTTGAACCCCAAGCAAGCTAAGAGGGGATTTCACTGAGGTAACTCACCATTGTTCTGATTCATGATGTCGCTCGGTCTTGTTCGGGGGGTGTTGAAGCTGCGGTGGTGTCAAGAGGGTCTTTTGGCCACTTGAGTCTTAGAAGCAGAACAGATCTTAGTATACCACCCCGCTCACGCGTGAATACATACAGTACGTGCACAGGCGCTTGGGTCCAGCGTTTTACAGGAGCCAGGGTAACGAGAGTAATCGTAACAATATACAAGATTATGCAGGCAACAAAGTCGATTGCATTATGAGCTGTACCTGTTGTGTTGGAGATTGCTGTTTAGTCATGACTATGCTCCTTACAGATTGCTCGAACAGCTCGCGCGTAGCGTTTCCATAGCTTTGTACCCAAAGGAAAGGTTAGGAGGAACGAAAATCAAGCATCCCCGTTCTGTTCATTATGTATATGGAGCGTTTCTGAACATTGATGTTGGGCAACACAGCAAATCTTGAAGAGAAAAGCCATATCGTGTTCGTATAAAATGAGTGGACACGATACCGCGTCCTCGATCTAGTTTCCTAGATGCCTCCAGAACTGCTACCATACTTTTCTACGAAATGATTGTGAATCATAGCGAGGAAAGCCGGCGAAGGCGTGTCTTCCAATACTACGTTCGTGTCCGGCCGAATTAGATCCGCAGCGGGAACGGAGATGCCGTGCTTTGCTGCATACTGGACGATCTCCGACATCTTGACGTTCATGTCATGGGATACGTTCCGCACATGCCAAACGCAGTGCGTCATCAGCTGGGCGTTGCGACCAGCGGGGTAACGCACTACTCCATCGCCTAGATGGTAAAGGAAGTAGTCGTGAAGAGGCCGGGTGCGGGCCTCTTTGTCCAGTTTTCCTCTCGATGACATGCTTGAAGGTACGTTCGTGGTGAACGTATGTGCGGGTATGTCTTTCGGTCGGCGATCGTGATAGTGGTGGAAGGTTGTACGGTGAAAGCTCTTGCCTGAGCGTAGCTGACGAACATAAGCCTGTTGGAGTAAGTATAAGCTTGTATATGTGACTTGTGAAAAGAGATTCAATAACTCACAATGAAATCAGCGACCGCTTTCGGAGCCCAGGACTTCCGAATGCGGTCCCATAACTCGTAGTTCACGGTCTGAAATGGAAGGAACTGATCAAATGTCAGTGAGCGCTCTTCAGATCGGAGCAGTAGACTGACAGTGAGAACTTCCTGCGCAGTCGTGACACAGTTGATCAAAGTAGGATCAACCGTTTTCGGTGGAGCCACGCCCCTCAACTCATGACGAGAGTTGGAGTTGGCTGCGGGTGGAAGGCTTGCCAACGGCCTGCCCTCAATCTCCACAAAAGCACGGATCTGACCACGTGACATTGCAATACCTGTACATCCCCTACCGGTGGTATCTTGTGTATTCCTGGATGGGTTGCCAGCCATATACGCAGCAATGGGGTCCACTAAGCCAGGCTGGGGGGCTACGCCTGTTGGAGGAATAGCTACCGGCGTCACGGGCTGACTTGGGGGTGCTACTGCCACGGTTCGTGCGACCGCCATCGCGTTGAGCACCGGCTCTGGCGCAGACGCTATCGGATCATGTATGGGGATAGCAACTTGAGTGCTTAGAGCTGGAATGAACATGTCTAGGATGCGGTCCAGGTCCCCCGACGAGCAAGCTGAAAGTGGAGTCTCAGAGGGCAGCGAGGAATGATGCTGAGACTGTGATTCGCCTGCCAGAGGGTCGATCTCGCGGTGGGGTCGCTTGCCAGACTCATGCACTTGTCCTTCTGCATTGTCATCCGCATTAGCTACGCGAAGTACTTGGACCCCGTTCTCGATTTCGGAAGCCTTCCGCTTTCTCGGTCGACCCAATCTATACTCCTCGTTGGTCTTTACTTCATTTGACATTGCGGTAGTCTGCTCACGATATACTTCCTGAATCTCAGCTGGTGCCATCTGCAGATAGCAGTCAGGCGTGGTAAGGAAGATATCGATCCATGCGTTATGAAGTCGATCCTTGGATGTCATGTATAGGATCAGGTCGTCATCTTCCTGGTTCTGTCCAAGCCGCATCAGTAAGTCTCTGGAGAACTCAATGACTGCCCTGACTCGCCGGCGATGATATTCGTTGCTCTGCAAAAGCCGGTCTTGCAGGAGATTTCGACGCGTGTAGTGTGCGGGTGTGTACGTCACGACGGGATTGTTCCAAGGAAGGTCTGCAGGAAAAAGTGGTTGTTCTCGTTGGGCGCCATGGTCGACCTCGTTTGCCATCTGCAATGTGACGCTACGCGGAGCCGACATCAACGCAACAGGCCGATTGTCATATGCGCGAGACATTGCGTCCTCGCTTGGAGAGCCTCCAATGCGTGTTAGTAGAATCAAAAGATTGCGATCTAGAAGCTTACTTCGGGCGCCGTTCCTCCTTGTAAGAACTTTGTGTAAAGAGCAAGATGAGATTTGTTTGGGCTGGGGCTGGAAGCGCTATACAAAGGAGAAATGGGTGTATAGTGTTGTTAACTGGGTTGATTTGTGCGAGAGTTCGGTGTTCGCATGACCCAATAGGACATCTGCTCTTGGTGGGGGAGAAAGGTCGTCCGCGCAACGCCAGAACGTTCTAATCCATTTCGGGAAATGACCGTGAGTCGCATGCTCGAGCACAATCGACAAGTGGCGAAAATACAGAAACTTGAATGGGCACATGACCGTGTAATGGAGTTTACACGAAGGCTTTCTGCCTGCGGGCATGGTGAGAATATACGCGATAGCAAAGAATATGCTAAGAAAGGAACGGCTTCGAAGTTCCAGTCGGTGCGACATGAATGGACGCAAGCCTAAGACGATGGCAAGGCTTGATACGAGTGTCCATCATGAAATCAGAGATCTTGCTCAGACTAACATGAGCCGTCCCAAAACTTCAAGTCTGATCACCCAGGTAAGCTTTGATTGTTTGAGCACCGCAGCACGTTTTACAATGAGCAGTGAGTTCCAAGGTTTGATGAAGATTGTTGTCGATGGTGGTCGCATAATGGATGAGCAAAGATCAGGTGGTTGCAGCTCTTCCGTTGGAAGCACTTGAGGTTCATCCCACACTAAACTGATTATGGACAGGGGTATGCTTGGCGGCACACTTCGTAATCCGCCGCCCCGCTTCCAATGCCGACAACCCTTTACTGAACGCTCGAAGGTACACGTACCAAAAGACGCATCCACCAGTACATGGGTATCGAAACTGGTTTGCGCGGCTCTTGCGCTAACGATATCCCGCTCGTCTATCTCATGAGCGACTCCAAACTACGGGTGCTCACCGAATTTGTTCCAGTAGTCGACCTTCATCGTCAACAGCCTCGCGGCCGACGGCAACTGGTCCTCCACAGCCAAGTTTGTGAAGTTCATCTGTTCATGAGCCGGTACTGTGATACTGTATCGCCTCGCGTACGCAGCAGCTTGACTGAGTCGAACGTGGCGGTCCCTAGTGACCCTCCGAACGTGCTCGATGACATGCGTCAACATTTGCGCTTGACGTCCAGCAGGTGGATGGGTCACACCATCACCCATGTTGTAAAGGAAGAAGTCGTGCAGTATCCTGTTCTCGCCTTTCAAGAGGCTGTCTGTGCTGACGTTGCGCAGGGAGGCGGTGGGAACGAAGTTTGGATGCTCCTTCTGCCACTCAACAGCGGCGGTAAAATGATACGAGATCTTCGAACGACTACAGATCCCCGGTGTCTGAGTATTGTGTGCGTAATTCTGGTAAGAATGATATTAGCTTAGTCCTCTGTCAAGATCCAGGATCGGAAGCCACGCTTACAATGTAGCGGGATATGTCCATGGGACTCCAATGCTGCATGGCCCGGACACACGTCTCTCGAGTAGGCGTACAAGTGTTCGGAAAGAACTGTCACGATGTTAGTTATTTCCCAACGGAATGAAGGCAAGCGAATGTTTCACTTGCCGTAAACATCTCCTCGAGCGACGTCTCAAAAGGACAGCAGCGCATGTCGACTGATGCAGGTGTCCGGAAGTTGGTCATCTCAGTGCCGAATACTGAAAATGCAAGAGAAGGTAATCGTTGAATGCTTTTACCCTCGATCTCGACAAATGCTCGGATGCGCTCAGCACTCCAGGCGGTGTTATTGTTGCCCCCAGGAAGCACACTTCCTGGTCGGAAGCCCGCAGTGTTGATCCCCTTTGCTTGAAGCAACTGATGGAAAACTGGCGGAGCCGCCGGGTTTTGCTCGAAAGCAGCGGCACCGCTGCGTACAGACTGCAAAGGAAACACAGGCACTTGGGTTGTGGGCTGGACCGATGCTAACAGCGGGCGTGCTTGAGGTCCATGCTGAGTAGGTTGAGTGGATGACAAGTGCTGGGGGGCGACAGGGGCCAGAAACGGTGATGGCTGGAGGGACAGGCCTACCGGAGCCGCAGACGACTGGCGTAGCGCATGAGGACTGATCCCTGATAGGGGTCCCAGAAGTAGACCCCTCCTCAGCCCGGTTGTCTGTGCAATGTCAAGGCGTGCCGAGTTAGCCTGACCATATCCATCGTTGAACGCACTCGCGTTTGAAGGTTCCCTGGCGACGTCGAGGTATGGAGTCTTTTCGGTAACCCGCAGGGTCTTTGAGTCGGTCATGGTGGGATCGATGCGACGACGCAAGTGCTGAGAATGCAAGCCACGGGGAACGAATTGTCCAGACATCTCTCCTGGCAGAAACAGATCATAATGGGTGGACAAATCGTCCTGCATGGTCCTCGCGAAGCTAGGCCACACTCCAAAGTTGCTGACTTGCTCTTCCTCGTAGGCTGACCTTACTTCGGGCGGCGCCAAGTCGAGCCATTTCTCGGCGAATGTGAAGAAGGTTATCCATTCCTCCGCCAGACAGCCGCATGGTAGCCAGTAACGGTGGCCAGCAACCAGTTCGATGGTTGTGGGTGGAGAAGAAACATGCATGGAGCTGTACTTCCAGATACATGCTAAGAGCGGTGCGATGCTCTGGCTCTTCATGCAAAAGTCGTCGGCTTCGATCATGGGTCTTGTGAGTATTGGCTTCGTCCTCAAGGTGGGACTCTCGGCCATGAAGTCAGTCGAGGCGTTTGGGTGGAAAGCCATCGGATCACACTGTGGTAGATTCAGCGATGGAATAGGAGCCATATATGCCGCGACTGTTAGCCTTTGAGTTCCAGTTCTCGCGGATTACAGCGCATACAATCCTAGGTGTGTCAATACCCGTCTCTGGGCAGTTCGCCGTCGGTTCGAGCGGTGTTAATCGCAATGACACTGCGCTGCACTCGTAGAATGGGTGCGATATCCTTGCAGGGATTTGGTTCGCGGTTCTAGAGATCTTGAAAACGAACCAGAAGGGATGTACCGGGCTTTGGTCCAGATGTTGTGAGTTGCAGGGCAAAAAAATGGCTGGACGCTCAGTCGAGGTCTGTGCCCCCAAACAGCCTCCCCCCCCCCCCCCCCCCCCCCCCCTCTCGTAGTGAAGCGCATACGTACAGGGGGTTTGCAGTTCAAAATTCGGCCGCCTACGCAAAGACAGCGCTTTACTGAGGCAAATTGTAGCTAAAGAATGCTTGTCAACTCCTCCGAAACCGGTAGGTAGGCCCGCTAAGTCAATGCCTCGTCAGTCACCACGTCCAGCCTTTCGAATCCACTCATAGGCATCACACCAAAGTTTCTTTAGCTGCTTGCCTTTTACTGGCTCAGCCACGCTGTGATACAGGAAAAGTTCGTAGTGAATGTGGTCAAAATCTATGCTTGAAGGAATTCAGGTATCCATGTTCCAGATACCAATTTTGTCTTCGTCCAAGAAATGATGTGTATACAGAATGTGGCTACTGATCAATTGCTTCCCTTGGTATCTTTTCGGCACGTATCTACTGTGCTCGCTGTCTCATACCTCCCAGTGTCACAAGCCGTATGCTCACTTGACCAGCAAGCTCTGGCCATCTAAAGCTTCGCATAGATAAAGCTACCCTTCGCGCCTTATGTGACCGCCCATTGGTCGCATGCCTTTCACATAATATGCAATCTTCTCCAGCTGCGCCGAGAGCGCGCTAGGCAATTGTCCGATCTTGAGGCGGCTTTGAAGCACAGACAGCGTCGTTGGGTCACGCTTCGATTTACAAAGCCACTGAACGTTTGTCATGAATGTGCTCTTCTCTCCTTACCAACTAATCGACTGCACAGGCAGGCCATTAGTGATAATTTATACATCGTACAACCAGCGCTCGCGACCGACTCGCCTTTTCTAATTCGGCAACCAAAATGCAAAGCGTCGTCTCCTTCCAACGGCTATTCAAGACCTATCACCAGCATGGATCAAGCGCCGACTCGCAACACAGCAAGCCCACCCGGTGGGATGTAAAAGCCCCATCCTCTTCCGCCTCATGTCTAACAATATCCAGAACTGATAGGCCCCAACACCGAATACTCGGCACAGGCTATAGATCACGACGTCCTCGCCGCGCATGGCTTTAGTGCGTCTTCCCCACCGGCGCCAACATCGCCACTGTTCCACGCCACCTGCCCAGCCGCGACAAAAGAGCTCCAGCATGCACCCCTCATCGACGAATGCATCAAACGCCTGCAAGACGAGAAGAAGGACAGTGTGAAGCCTTCTCCCAGCTTCAACACAACAAAGGCCCGGGTTCAAGCCAACAGCAAAGTTGGATTTGTCTCCGCGATGCGGCTCTCCACAGTTCAGACACTTCTTGCTCGCTTTGTGTCCACGAACGATCTCGCAGCCCTTGACAATGCATGCTCTGCAATTGGAGGTTCCCTGGACCTGGGAAATGAGAAGAACAGGAATATGTTCGAGGGTTTGGCCACGGACGATCGGACTGGCAAGGCTGCGGAACGCGAGGCGTACTACAAAGCTCTTGAGAACTTGCTTGAGCCGCGCACCAAGCGGAAGCTCGACGGTAGTGAAGGGACTGCACATGCACCATCATGGCACCCTCAGTCACAAGAATCGAAGAGGCTCCAAGCTTTCGCCTCGGTACCCATAGATGACTAGGAGTTTGCACGTCCTTTCTCATATGTCAACGCGGTTCATGGAATATGACGCAGAAGCGTAAGATTCAATAGCGATTTGATGTATAGCTGAGCGTTCGGAAAAGTTTCTCATGCTACCTTTCTTCATGTGAGCTGTTGACATATCAAAGCCGACCCTCAGTGAACATGGAACATGATGGTAAGGACATGTCACCCTATAAGTTTCTTCCCCAACAATACATATACACTAGATTCAGGCACATCAATAGGACGAATGCTGTCGGTCTAGCCGTGCTGAAGTTTGCCAAATCGTGCTACAAACTTCGCGGGCTGTTGAGTCGCAGACGGTCCACAACCCGCGTATTCCTGTGCTTCACGCAGCTTCGAGCACGCATGAGAGTCCGGACTTCGAGTACGAAAAACTGTCAGAATATTTCGATATATATCATGTGATAAAGTTTCTCCGTTCTCGAGCAGTCAGCAGCCAAAACACTGCAATTTCACTGTCGAGGAGATCAGCAAACACCACAAAATCCCCAACCAGACTATCAACATACTTACCCCTATTCGTACTAGAGAAGAGCATCTCAACTAAGTCGCAACAATGGCAAATACGTCGCGGTCGTCGCATGCTACATCCCAAGACTCTACACTGGATACTTTCTTCACTGAGGTACCGCGAAGATGCCCGGACACACTTCGTATCGCTCACAACGAACCCAGGACACTACAGCCTCTCCGAATGTTGCACGCAAATGCCGTGAACCTCCACCCCTGACGACTCTTCGGGGAGCACTGACCTTCTTTGACAATCCCGAGATTCTGAACGCGTACGTACCCTATCCTCGATGAGACTGACCATCAACGCCATCATCTGAGGACCCCTCGACATCACATAGGCCACATTTACTGCCTCTGCCCCGTGGTCGACATTCATGGCGGACCACCAACGAGGTCCCGTCACGAACTCTTTCTCAGCATCTCAATCTTGACTGCCACATGCGCAAACACGATCGCTCCATCGCACCACGAGACTTGAGCTTACGGTGGTATCGCATCCCACGTCCCTCGAGCTTCGTAGCCCACCATGAACATGAGCCGCAGCCGCGCGAGCCTGCCGCAACGAATAAACATCATTCCCACCACAGCGCAACGGCTGACTCGACATCTTCGTCAAGTCATCGAATGCCACACATGTGCGTAGTAATGAACACGCGGTGAAGACGAGGATGGAATAAGAACAAAGACGCGAAGGGGTATGGTGACGTTGGCGTGACTGCCGAGCCCGAGCCATCTCCGCAAGCATCCTCGGCGGCCAGTGGGGCCGCCGCTTCCTTCGGCCAGTCCACTCCTTCTTCTTCGACACCTCCTCGACCGCCCATCGACTACACCCAACACACATCAACACGAATGCACGTTGAATGCTGTCCTCTCCGGCGACTTCATACAGTGAGTCGACGGTGATGGCTTCTACGGCGGACTAGCGACGCGCTCGCGCATGCGCACGACACTAGTCTTCGCTGAGCCATACATAACCCTAAACCGTAACAACGTCGTCTTCCTAGATTTCTTGTGTCGCGGCAGAAGAACAGGTTTTCCAGCTGGGACATGGTTGACGAGTAGCTCCTCGCGTCCTTGAGACGCGTCACGTATCCATCCTTATTCCGTTGCCTCGCAATTTCTAACAGCAATTCTCGGCAAACGCTACGGTACTAGGCAAGCGCGCTGCTGCCGAAAATTGTCTCTCAGGACACCAGATCACAGTGACATATAAAGAGCTTGGATCTGGGGTTTCAAAAGCCCCGTGGGGTAGATACTGCTTCGGAAAGCTTCTCTGACATCTTCGTAATCACGTCAGATGGACGAAGCATCGCATGCTCGCACGTGGCTCGACATCGCCAGAGACCCTTCGTTGTAAAACTGTTCCAAGGGGTGTGACTTGGGGTTCTGTAGACTATAGGACTCTGCCCCTTTTGAACACCCACCTCGCTACGGAAGACCTTGACACTCGCCTCATGGGCTGCCTTGCGAAGACTTTCGGGATGGCCATGCATACACGCTGGCGAATCCACGTTTAGAACGGCTTGGTTCGTCTATCGAATTGTATCATGAGGATAAAGAGGCTGCAATGCCGTCCTATCGGCCTTTTGAAACACTCCGCTTCGCTGTCGCAAGCGATGTTGTCTTGTACGGCAACATCAAGTCTCAAGATCACATGAGACGGATCACATACGGGTACACTTTTTCAGCTCTCCGAAAGCGTCCACCGACGGGCACTCAATATGGACTGCTTATTTGCAGCTGGTGCACTAGCTCACAATATCGACTGGCAAGCTTCCCGGTGGACGATTATGGAGGTCGTCCGACCTCAGGTCACCAGGGTTGAGACGATGACGTCATCACAGTCCCGCTCGCTTGGTCCTGGGGACAAACTTCGCTGTCAGTCTTTGTTCACAACGGCGTGTGGCACAAATCACAGTGGGCTGCGACGTATGTCTGGAATAGGTGTCGGCAGACCCATAGGGTTACCACTACCAAATCGTAGTCAGCAGGGGGGCCGTGTTCATTTGGAGAAAGACATGATGCAGGTTCAAGAAGGCTGACTGTATTGCGACTTGACCCAAACCTTTGGTGGCGCCCTCTTCAAGACAATGACTGAACGTTTGCTAGCGCTCAGAGACCCGTCGTCTCATGTGTCAAAGATGATCGATTACCACTTGACATGTGCATTCGGTCTGCTATCCTCGCAGAATCTCAGCATGCTCTGGAATATTGTGGAAGAGCTCTCGTACTTTCGTGGTAGGCGGCTCTTGGTGTCAGCCTTCCTTGATTGCAGGGGTTTGAAGCCAGACCTCTTGAGCGCACCAGCGTATTTGCAATCAGACCGAAGAAGCGCTCCTTGGACGGGTGTTTGGACCGCCCTACGCGGGCTGCCCATGGACAGTCTCTATGCAGCGACGCCTCACCTTTAATGCCATCTGTGATATCCTCAGGTTTTGGTCTCGCATTCGATCCGCACATGGGCAACCAGACCCCCGTGCTCAGCGGTAATGGAAGACCCGCTTTACCATCTTCCAACACGAGGAGCTCGCCCGTCCAGACTATTCTGTTTCGTTGGGGTCGTTGTGTCCCGGGGGTTTGCCGAACTGAACAGGGCTGCTGTGATGCGGGAGAGGCGGGCTGAGGTTGAGATCCCGAATCCGCTGGAAGAGCGAGCTGCCGGTGCCACGAGCGACTGTCGGGGTAGTATGATGGCCTCCGCAGCTTAGTTTCTACTAGGGCGTATCGTCAGTGGTGTGTATTCAGGGGTCGATGGGAGCTGTGTCCTCCACTTGTACAGCTCAACGACGAGCTGACATGCAGTCGCTGCGTCTACAACATCCTCAAGACGATCGAGAAGTCCCGCCCGTTGGTATGCGTGAGCTCGTCAACATCAGTACCGTCGGGACTTGCGGAGGTGGTGGTGCACAACCGGGTCTTGGAGGAGACCAGCATGGTGATGCGTGGCCTTGAGATGGGCTTGCTTGAGGGAACTTAAGGGATGCATGAGCATTAACGGAGGCTCCTCATCGTTGGTACCGAGCCGCTGCTGTCTTGGGAGCGGCACTGGTGCTTCTTTTCGTAGATTTGGAAGTCAGTGAAGAGATAGAGGACGCTGAAGCTAAGCGAGAGCTCCGACTCCTCCTGCCTATATCAGCTCCTCCACCAACTCCAACGCCCGATCTCTCGCTCTCTGAACGTCGCGATTGTCGTTTATACCGCAAGGCTATACTTTCTCGCTCTTATATCTCCCCTGCACTCCGATACGATGGCCGCCGACGACAGTAACAAGGCCCAGACCAAGTGCGTCACTCCAGATATCAACAAGGAGTACTACCACACCGACGGCAACGCTGGTAGTGATCTTCAAGTCAAGGATAACGGTCAGGCGGGTGACGACGACGAGGGCGATGGCGAGCAATCCGATGATGTCGACATGGACAGCCACAGTAAGAACTCTGAGCACACTTCTCCATCATCCAAGAGCTACAGATCCCTAACGTAGCAACTGCAGATGCCGACTCATACGAAGCGTACATCAAGAAGTCCAAGGAGCTCAAGAGTCAGCTGCGAATGCATTTCAGCAATAACAACATGGCGCAGTTTGATCGCATCCAGCAGGAATTCCGCGAACATGACTTGCTTGGTGAATTAGAGGCCGAACTGCTTGATCTGGACACTGCAGCAGCATTAATCGCTCTCAGTCGCAGTAGTACTGATTATCGATGCGTTCCTCCCCGCCCCACTGTCCGTATCCTACTTCAACCTTCTGCTCAATCCTTCTACGCACACTTGTTCCGCTCGAGCAACGCTGGCGGCGGCCCATCGACTTTTGGGCCGGCAAGTACCGCTGTGACAGATCAAACGGCTCCTTCGACCCAACACCCTGCGACCGCGTCACTAGTCGCCGTACAAGCTCCTGCTCCTGTTTTTTCAGTCCCTGTTCTTGCAGCTCCACAAGCCTCGCCGCCAACAACCCTCAATTTCCTCCCCCTGCCTCCGGTGGATATCTCTGACAACGTTTCTCTTGGAGGTGGTACAGGAGCCCTGAACGGTCCCAACAAGACTCTGTACCTCAAGGCGCCACCCCCAAGCCTCGACTACAACCTGCTCTCTTTCGAAATCACCGTCATGGAGATGGCTACGGTCAGTTTTCATCATCATCCGAGGTCTTGCTCCGCTCTTACTAATGTTCAATTATGTAGTACATTCCATTAGCATATCGATGGTATGGTTTCACGTCTCGCGCTCGCGCCAACGGAGCCCTCATGGTCATTGCGAGAATGATGGTAAGTGACCTGCAATCTTCAGCAAGCAGAGTTATCATGCTGATTTGTCAAGTTATGGGCGCGAGGCCTTGAAAATGGTCCTGACCTTACGAAGAACGTCGACAGGCTCCGTAGTACCTTGACCAAGATGAGTAAAGAGGACTACGGATCTATCGTTGCCAACAAGTCTGCCTCCTCTTGGGTCCCTGCCCCTAGTATTTTCACCGGTGGCGCACAAAATCTGATGGCAGATGTACCCCTACTTCGACTTCGCCACGAACTTGCTGTTGGTCGCGCCCCTCAAGGTCAGCATTGTGGTCGTCTCACCATCGCCATCGAACATGCACATACCAATAAGCATTGGGGTGTCATGCTGAGCCAGGTTCATGCGTACATTCAACAGTGCAACCTCCCCGTACCTGCACCCCTTGCTGCAAGTGCCGATGTGGATACCATCAACGACTTCAAGGTCACGTGGCGCGCGGCTCACCCCCTCCCCCCAAGCCATAGGTCTCGCAGGGTATGATGCAGACGTTCCGGCATCTACAAACTTCTTCTGGAGCGATATGAGGGCACAGAAGGTACGAGTTACCGAAGACTTGTATCTTTAGAGTCACGATATCACGGCCGGCCAGAGCATTGCAGGCGTCACACGGTATTGCGGTGTTCATGCAAGGAAATGCATTTGAGCCTGTATTCATGGACAAGGCGTTTGAGTTTCAGGCTGTCAACGAGCTGAGCCTCGTGGTCAGCAGTAGCATGTGCAACGGCGTTCTATGCCCCCTTTCCCTTCATGGTCGTCGTCAGTGCACAGAATGGGAAAGTTTATTTGAAATTGACATCTCGATCATCGCAACCACCTCGGGACTACTCGTGTAAAAGTCAGCTTACTGTGGCACTAGTGAACGTGGTCGACAGGATATGTGCGTGCGGCCGGAGAAGGTCCCGAGTGAAGAAGAATAGAAGCTGATGGTGAAAGTGGGATCATGGGTGGTGGTAACGGTAGTTGGATGTGGGGACGCGTCATCCATTTTGGGTTAGCGCGTCTTTTGCTTCCCTCTTTCACTGAACACCGAATATGACGCAGAGACACTTTACAAACAATCTTCTTCCCTTCAATGCATTATGGCCACTTACTCTCTTTCTACTATGACTCCAAGCAGTACCATCCTTTATTGTAATGGCATTGCGCTCCTGCCTCATCGCCTAAGAAAGCAGGACGCAAGTAGCGCTGACATCATAGCATGGGCCTCTTGATATGGAAGGCCCTATGGCTTTCGCTCATTTTACTTTCCCGTAGCGCAGTAGTGCCCTTATACCTCCGCAGGCTTCACGTATCATACTCATCAAATAGCTAGATAAGTGTCTGTTGTAGCTGCGCCGCCCAACGCCTACTGCGGCGAAGTAACCACGCCGCATTCGCGTTAAGATGCGCACGTATATCTGGCAAGGCAGTCTTGACGCGTTGCACACGGGCGGCTTCTGCTTACAGACATGGCAGCTTCTTTTGCAACAACGACTTGTGGTTGCGCTCAGTCATATTCGTCTTTAGGACCGCTGAGTCTTGTCGCATTTCACAGCAATCCAGTCCGATAACTTTGATCTCAATCTCATGTGAACTGTATAAGACAGAGACAAGCTCCACGGAGGATTGAAGGATCCCGGGAAAGTGCTAACGGTGCTGTGCCGCACGCAATGCCGGCGATAAACCAACAATTATCATGCACGAACTGGCCAGCTCGCGTAGATATAGCCACATGCCGTGAATTTTCGGTCAGTTGACAGGTCGGTCCCAGGGACTAGTAAGGAAGTTTGCCTCCAATTGCAGACAACGCGCGTATGCCACTATCCACGCTGGCAGCTCAACCAACACCATGCGGTCCGAAGTCAAATGCTGACAGTACGACTTCACCCGGTGGATTCTCCATCGGCGCAATCGCGGGACGACATGTAACGAAACTCGCTCCTCCCATCCTCCGCATGAACATGGGAAATAGCCAACTATTAACAACATACGCGGCGCGGGTGGTAACGAGCGATCCATCGTTTGTTTCCAACAGACGTGCGACGTTGAGACCGTTTCAAGGAGTTGAGCCGGAGGGCCGAGCAAAAACAAACAAGAGCCAGACCCAACAAACAGCCTTGCCTGCCTCGTTTTCGCAGGAACAACAGGTTCGCTGACTCTTTGGGAGCGCGGGCCTCAGGCTTTCTGGCAACGTTTGGTCTAGCCTTTCCGCATGAAGACGGCGTGGTTTCAGACCTTCATGCAGCGAGCTACGCCTTACGCCGCATTTGCTGCGCGCTGTTGGTGGTCTTGCGCGACGCGGATGGTTGTGGTTGGACAAGAGCCGCGAGAATCCAACATGAAAAACACAAATCGTCGCCCCGTGAAACTGCGGATAAGGTTACGCCTTGCTGCAAATGCCCATTTTGCGGCAGTGACAGACCGGGAATACTTTTTGGTGGCGGACATTCGGTGCCCCGCGCTGCGCTGCGTCTGCGTGGTGCCCCTGGCCATCATCTTACGGCGTCGGACCCTTAGCGTGGAGAGACCTTGCCGTCCTCCCCCCTGGGTAACGTATGATTGCGGTCGCGGCAGGATGGTGGATCGGCATAAACATATACGCCTCTGCGTCCCCTTGGTGCCTTTTCTCGTCATACAAACATTGTTTCTCTCATATAACGGCTTTATTCGCTTCTTAACTGATATCCATTATAACCACCGGTCGTGATCGCATATAATCATTCACACGCTTCCTTACTTTCTTGAATCGAGACTACTACCATCTCCAATACACACACGCCTTACAACAACCGTTCTTCTTCCGTCAAAAATGTCATACCCACCACTCTCGCCTAGCGGCCTGCCCAGCTCCCCACGAGCAAACCGCCAAATGCAAATGCTTTCTCCGCTCGACACATCCTTCTCGGCCAACTCATCACAAACAAACTCGCCTTACTCCAGCACATCGGAAAAGGACTCGCGTAAACCTCGCGACATCTTCGCCGACGCTACCATCCCTCTCAGCCCGGCATCAACAACAGCCTCGCACTCCAAAGAGAACCCCTACGAGGGACTTGAACCACGGAAGCGCAGCGGCCTCGCACGCCTATTCTGCTGTCTCGGCCGCGAAGAACGCGCTCGGCGTCGCGTGAACAGGAGCTTGGAGTTTGAGAAGGTCGGCGAGCAGTGCCATTGGTCTGAGTACTAAGAGATGGCATCCTCGATCACACAATCGGTGGACATTCATGTGGTCGTGTCGTGCAAAGCCCGATCGGACACCGATTCGCGACTTGAAACGCGACAGCACGGAAGACCACCCCACCGAATCGTCAAACATCTGACAGCCCCGGACACACACACACACCGAACGAACAATCCCCCGGTCGGTGTCCGAAAGTCCGTACTTTCCTGCGATGCGTTGCGAAAGTCTAATCGCATTGCTCAAACACCTTTTCGATACAACATGTCGAATCTTATACCCCCTCGTCACTGCGACGTTTCTTATGTTTATATTTACAACAACACATCTTCTCGGACTGGAGTCTTTCCGGTTTCCTTTGGCTGGGGCAATGCTGTTGCCTGGATAGATCGAGCAATTGCAGGGTTTCTTTACTTTGGAAGCGTTGGTGTTGGGGCTGTTCTGCTTTACATGGCTCTCATGAAGAGAGATCATAGTTTGCTCGAGATATGGAGAGAGTGTGATATCGTCCAAGAGGGAAAAAAGGAAATACAATACAATACAACATCCTCATCACACTATGTCTGCAATCACACCCCTTGTGTAGTTTATCCTACGCCCACTTCTCGCTTTTCCCCAACAACCTCATCCCTCAGGCTGCAATGTTTCTTTAAAGCTAACAGGCACACACGTCGACGTAAGCAGGTACACCTCAGAGCCATGCCTCTCCCGTCCACCCACCACAACCCGCATCACCTCCGCCCAATCACTCAAACGCCAACATGGAAAACTTCACTTCCACTTAGGACAACGCGGGAAAATGGGTTCATCATGTTGTGCGAACAAAGTAGCAGGGACATCATCAATACAATTACTTGAATGAAAAATCGTATTCGGGGACCCCTACGAACCTACCTACTCCGGGCTCACGTCTACGACTCCCCGGTCCAGAATATGCTAGAAGTCAACTTCGGATACGTTTCGTCTGTGACGGGGTAGGCTTCATAAAGGCGGATGATCAGAGATCGGGTAGGCACACATGGTATTTGGTGAAGATATAATATTGATTGGTATATCAAGAGATCTAAATCGCGTTCCCTAGAAAGCTCTTCTACAGACCCCTTCTACAACTTCGCCTTCGCCGCATCGAGAGTAGGCAGCATGATATCCCTCATATCTCCCGCTGCCTCATTGAGGTAGAAGCTCATCTTTTCCTGTTTGTTGTTAGCCTTTACTCCCTTCAACTGTTCGCTAACATGACTTACTGAACCAAGCCCCTTGGAGCAAACATTAAACTGAATGCTATTCTCGTTAATCATATACGCAATGCCCCATCCATCATCAATGACCTGCGACCATCCATAGCCGTTGAAGTACTCGCTGGACAGTTGCGAACTGGAGATGAACCATGTGGAGCTGTATGTGTAGGCCGGGTCTTGGTACAGAGCAGGCACCTCCTCGCCCTCCTTGAGACACTTCTTCAGTCCGAAGAGATGGCGGTCTACACCCCGGCCGTCGCTGGCGTCGGAGATGTACTTGACGTGTGCGTCGAGTGCTGCTCGGAGCTTCTTCTGGCACTCTTCGGGTGTAGCGTCGGCGTCGGCCATGGCGTTGCAGAACGCTACGGATTCGTCTGAAACAGTCCTGCATGTCTCTGTTCGGCCTTGTTGGAAGCGACGGGTGGCAGCGGACTCGTACGTGGGCCGGTTCTTGCCGTAGAACTTGTGGTAGGCGAGTTGGATGATCATTTGGACGTACGCGTCGGGGCTGCACTTGAACTTCTTGATTAGGCCCTTGCCGTAGCCTTGGTAGGCCTGAACTCTGAGCTCGTGCGCGCCGATCTGGCGGGAGAAGTGTGCTTGGGCGTCGGCGATGTCTTGCTGGAGTTCCTTGTTGATCTCGAAGCGGAGGGGTTTCGGGTTGGGCAGGTCGGAGCGGACGTTGGGGTCGTCGAAGGGGAGGGCGTTTGTGAATATTTGCTGGTTCGCGTAGTCGTTGAGGCGGTGGGTGGGTGTACCGTCCATCATCGAGTGCTCGCCCATGAAACCAGATGTGCCGTTCTCGTTGACGATGAATTGAAGGGGCTTGTCGAACCAGCGGTTTGCGCCATCGCCGTGCCAGTACTGGTGGGCGCGCTCTTCGAGAGTGATGGGAGATGCGTCGTCGAGGCAGACGACGAAGGAGGCGGCTTCAATGGCTTCAATGGATGCGGCGTTGTTGGCAGAGGCAGCCTTGAGCTTGGGGTAGACGTCTGACCAGACATCACGGTTCTGGGATGTGAGGATGCCGACTGCGGGCGCCTTCTCGGCCTTTTCGTATACGCGCTGGAACTGGAGCTCGAGCTCGCTGGTGTTGAGCTGCTTTCCGTTGATCTCGTGGGGGATCTTCCAGAACTGGTTCTTCCTTATCGCGATGATGTGCGGGTTCTCCTTGTAGGGGTACTTTGTGCTGGTGTCGGATGGCTTCTTGGGTACACGGCAGCAGTTGAACATGTGCTCGTAGGAGCTCATGGCCATGGGGAGCTTCTTCATGTACTCGGGCTCCAGGCTGCCTTCGTCGACCATCTTCTTGAATTCCAGCACAGCTGTTGACAGAGCCGCAGCGCGCTTTGCGGGGTTTCGCCTCTTCCTGTCATCGCGGTGCGAGTAGAAATAGCTGACGTATGGCACGACCGGGTCGCGGTAGGCCATGTACGCAGCATCGTTCCACCACTCGTAGATCCAGTTCTTGTGCTTGGGGTCCTCTCTCCGCTCTACCAAACGTTTTTGGAGCTTCTCTCCAGGCCCACCAGGGGCCACAAACTCGTTGACAGCCTTTGTAGTCGCGTCGAACTCGTTTTGGGAGAGGAGCGGGTGAACGGACTTGAGGTATCGCTTGGCGGTCTCCTCTAGGGTGGGGACGGGGAGTCGCGGAAGGGAGTCTTCAAAGCGCAGCATGGCACCTTTGCTGTGATCCTCCTTGTAGCCTGCGCAGACCTCGTGGTCAGTTTTGAAGCATCCCAAGCATGTGAAAGAAGCGTTTCACTTACCCGCTGGCAAACTCGACTGTTCCCGTGCTGGAGCCATTGCGACAATCTACACGCGACAGATGTCAGCATCTACTCCCCACCAACACTCTGTCCTCCACGCGACAACATACTCTAGGCTTCGCAAAAGCGGGCTGGTTCAAAAGTGGTCTGCGAAGTATCGAGGCGGGTACTCGCGCGCGTGCAGCTCTGCTGAACATCACAAAGAAAGATAGGTGAAGTAACCAGGGAAGAAATTACAGGAGATGATATCAGAAGTCCTAGCTTTCAGTAGATCCGAGGCCAAATGAGCACGCGCTGGCTGCGATGACCGGGGTGGAGCTGTGAATGGAACAAGCCGAGGTTGTCGGACTAAGGTTTCGCTGATGCCGGTGACGTGATGCTTGCAGTCTGACGGCCGCCGCTTGCCCGGATGGATGCACGAGCGACTATCTTATATGCTCTGCTGAATTCATCCAAGACACCAAGACTGCGGCTTCCTTCTCAGCCTGTCTGCTATATGCCATGTTTCCGAGGTGTACACATCGCGATTCTGGGGTGCCCCGCGGCAATGTCCCCACTAAACACGGACGCGACGAGCCGGCAATTTCGCACACAGGAGCCGAGGAAGGGCTTCCTCGACCGAGCTTGGAAGCGCGCAAGGCTATGAAGAGCCTCATATGGTCATGTGATGGGTGAGGCTCGGTCTAGGCACGCGGCTGCAGAGGCACGCTTCGTACGAAGGCGTCGGTGTCTCCATCTCGCTCCTTGGCATTGACGCTGGATGCGCCTGAGGGTAATTGCCAGAGAGCTGACTACGTCTAGTTTCAATAGAATAATACTCATCCGAACCGCATAGAATCAGGACTTCCAAAGGAAAAGGTACAGCTTATTCGCGAAGCCAGGACTGCCATGTCGTATTCCGCCTAGCAAGGAAAGACTGCAGGCGTATTATCCAAGAATGGCGACGCTGTGTCAGACCTATCCTCAGAGACCACTATCAAGATGGAAACGAGGTCCACGAAGTTACACACACGCATGCGACAGGCGTACTCCGACATCTGCATTTTGGGGATACCAAGATTGCCCTCTCGCAGATGTTTTCATTCTAATTTTTCCTCCTGTAGCATCTTGATCCGTGAATGCAACTAGCGGTTATCGCTTCATCCCTCCATCCATAGCACGTGTAGTGGTGCCTCGTGGGGGGTAGAGGGTGAAGGATATCCTACCACAATCAATGGCTTTCGATATTGCTTGATTGGGTAACGTCCGGCTCGAGATGAGACGAAATACGATGTATTCAGCAGACCCGACGAAGCGCGTTAAGGATAAAATGGCTGGCGCTCATTTCTCCCAACCCAGCTTCCGCGATGTAGGGCTTGGCAAATTATCAGAGTTCAGACTTGGAATCACGTTAGTACCCGTACAAGATAGTCACAAATAACCAAATAGAGAAGCGTAAGAGTTGATTTTGGCATGCTAAGGTACAGAACAAAGTTCACGACATCAGAACTAAACCCAGTCCAGAGCTCACGTCATTATTATTGTACACACCCATGATCCGCTGGGGAGATTTATGGGTTCTGCTTGACCCACTCAACACCCTTCTTGATGTTCTTGGCGAGGTCAGCGACGCAGGCGTCGAGCAGCTTCTGCTCGTGGTCGGTGATCTTGCCAACGGGGTGGATCTTCTCGACACCGTTGGGGCCAAGCTCGACGTTGGTGGAGAAGTACTCGCAGCCCTGGTCCTTGAAGAGGGGAGAGTCGACAAAGGTGGGCTCGATGACGTTCTTCTGGCCCTGGGCAGCCTTGAGGAGCGACTCGGCGAAACGGGCACCGGCCATGGCCATGGAGAGAGTGGCAGAGCCAGCACCGTCCTTGGCCTGGACAACCTCGTCACCACCGAACTGGACGCGGTGGATGTAGTTGGCGAGCTGCTCGCCCTCGAGGTTGTATCCGGACTGGGAGAGGAGGGGAACGATGGTAGCGCCGGAGTGGCCACCGATGACGGTGATATTCTCGGTGGCGGGATCGGTGTTCTTCAGCTGGGAGATGAAGCGCGAGGCACGGACGACGTCGAGGGTGGTGACACCGAAGAGGCGCTTGGGGTTGTAGACGCCCTTGGACTTGAAGACCTCGGCGGTGATGGGGACGGTGGAGTTGACCTGACATGTCAGATTCTGCTTCGTGTGATTCAAATTGGATTAACGTACGGGGTTGGAGATGATCAAGATGTTGGCCTCGGGGGCGTGGTCGGCGCAGGCCTTGGCCAAGTCGCGGACAATGGAGGCGTTGGTGTTGAACAAGTCTGTCGGTGTTAGACGTGTTGACAGCATCGATGACTTCTATGCTCACCATCACGGGTCATGCCGGGCTTGCGGGGAACACCAGCGGGGATGACGACGATCTCAGCACCCTTGAGGGCGTCTGCGAGACCTGAGGGAGTGGCCTCATGGCCAGTGACCTTGTCGAGTATCAGTAGACGATTCGTGCGTGGGTTCGGAGGGATGGCGTACCTCGCTCTTGGTGTTGATGTGGCCAATGTCGGCAGCGACACCTTTATGAAGTCAGAATCGAATATCGTGTATGCAATTGACTGAGCTTACCGGGAGCTAGACGGATGTCGTAGAGGGAGAGCTTGCTAACCCTGGGGTTGAGCTTAAGCAGCAGGGACAATGGCTGACCAATGCCACCAGCGGCGCCGAGAACGGTGACCTTGGAGTTCTACAGTGCATGCAGTTAGCATCTTGTGCTTGAATTGTCCCAATGGCGTCGCATCGACGCATTCCATGGCCCCACCAACAAAACATCGAGGGTTCCGGGAATAGGCCTACCTGGCGGGCCGAGGCCGAGAAGCAGCGGCGCTGGGCCTGGAAGAAAGCTTGCCTGGCAGCGAACATGGTGTCTGTGAGAGGCGTTGAGGAGATGGAGACTGGGTTGGACTGGTGGAGAGGTGGTGGTGCAGGAATGCTGCGGAGGTTTTGCGAATCTTGAACGTCAGTGCTTCTTCGGCTGGGCGTCGGAGCTACGGCTGACAGCCGCCATCGAAGACCTCTCCCCTCCCGCGATGCTTAATTCCAAGTCTACCACAATCGCATTCACATGCGCTAACACGACATGCATTCACTCATTTTGTGCACGTTCACTCGTCAAGATGGATGAGCAACTTCCTCCATGTGCCCGGACGCGATTATTGCCCACAGCCACATGCTGCATCTCATCGCTTCAGCCTCACTCCAATTGCAGTCCATCGCAAGTCTTCCGCGACACTATACACCGTCGCTGTATGCCTTACCACGCTACTGGACCAATGACGTTTTGTAGCGGTGAGTCGAAGAAGCTAAAAGTGATGTGTCGTAGAGTAGTTCCGAATTAAAGCCACGCCTTGACTCACTGTGGCAGTGCATGTAGTAGGTACACTATATACTGCTTGCAACGTACCTCGATCTTGATCACCATCAGCCGGCACCAATATTAGCACTCACTGGTGAAACCATCGTGTCCTTCTCAGTAACTGAAAGCACGGATCTACTAGGCATATTCACGAACGCAATGGCTACTGCCACAGACCAAGCCGAATCTTCGGTTCCTGAACTCCAAGCAGCATTCGGTTCAATACTCCTCGCCCGCCCAACACCAGCAGCTCCTACCCGTCCAGAGGCACAAACCTACGTCGTAGAAGGCAAAGGTCCTACCCGTAGCGCTCCATGGTCTCTGGACAGGGTACGACTACCCAAGTGGACCGGCGCATTCAAGTTATTCGACTTCCCACGCGAGTTACGAGACAGGATCTATCACTACGTCGTCTACCGCGAAGAAGGTATCTACTACAATGCGCACCGCAATCCAGATTTGAAGGACATCAGGCCGTGCTCCGACATCATCAACCTCTTCCTCGTTTCCAAGCAGGTCTACCGCGAGGCCATGCAGGCTTTTGGGCGGGCCAACACTATCGCGCTTTCTTCCAAATGGAGCCCGCGAGAAGGACTTCATAAGCCACTCAGTGGCTTACTTCGCCTATTCCCTGATCCTGCTGCTGCTGCGGCGACCAAGATAAGGCACCTGTACCATGATACGGTTCCCCGACCCTATGGAAGATACGGTCACGCGCCGAGCCATAACAGTTTATTCGATGGAGGCGATGGTACAGGGCATTTCCGCAAGCGTCAGCAACCGGGAGAGACTTTTCTGGACATCTTGCGGGATGCACATACCCTCACGGAGCGCTTTCCTAAGCTCAGTACGTTCGAAGCCGCGTGGGAGGTTGGGCCCGGCTTTTATGAGTACCCGATACCAGAGTGCGCCGTACGTAACATTGCGACATTCTTGTACACCGGTGGGACCCATGAGGACGCTGTAGACATGTGGCTGCATCTTATGAAGGGCTGGATGCAGGGGGCTAACATAGTCCCGTTGGCGTGCATATGGTTTGATTGCCGAGGATTCGGTGCTGATGGGTTTGGCTGGGACATGGATTGCGCTGCGAACGAAGCGTATCAGAAGCTCGTGAAGGAGTTGCAGAATAAGGAGGACATCGAGGCTAGCGGAGCGCTGTGGCTAGAAGAGATGGAGGAAGCGAGCAGGAACCGGAAGAAGAAGAGCAAGGGAAAGACAGCGCGGAAGTAATTACCGTCATCACGGGTATGAGACTGGCTCATTGAGATAGTTCCATGCCACTTGCCTCAGGGCAAAGAGAACCTGATGTTGATCTTCCAATGACACCAGCTGAATTAGCAAAACAAGAGGCGAGACATATCGTTCGGATTTCTTCATCCAAATCACCTACCAACGTCCACTACGTGCAGAGGATATGTTGTTCTCTACTCCACGTACGCTAGGGTAAATCGGCATCGAGCGAGTACCACGATGAGGGGAAGCGATCACTTTTGTACTCTTGCGTGAATTATGCGATTCCTACAATAGTCGAATCTGAACCCACCACCACTAATAGGAGTATGACTTCTGGTGAGTGGGACCTTCGGCTTGAGGAAAGCGGATTCCGGTCAGCTGTAGGCGCTATGATGGTCGCACAGCATGCTTGACCCATCTCTCGCCAATCCTAGCTCTTTAGTGGCTGATACCACACCCCTTCATGTACCAAAAGCGGACTCAGGAATAGCGGTGTTCTTGGGGGTGTGAGCTGTTTAGTGCGGAGACGGCCGGGGAACTCGAATGTGGCTTCTGGGGGCGCGCCTCAATTCAAGTACACAAATCTGGGGATTCAGGAACCACGCAATAAGCCCGAGGAAAGTCCTTTTACTCCGAAGTCATCACGAACGATTGCCGTAGACCCCTATTTGCATGGCGCCAGCGGGTCGTTTTCCGTCGGGGAGAGCGAGAAAGGGCTTCCGGGAAAGATCGCAGGCTAGCACCCAACATCGCCTAGCACAGTCTTGTCCGACATCACAGTGCAGCGTCAGGCCCTTCCATTCACGCTTCTCCGCACTACAGTCTCTGACGGATCCGCTAGAACCGACTCACCTCACACACATCCCACCAGCGGTTTCGCGGGTCCACTTCCCACCCGGCGAACATTCTACCGCCAGCATAAGAACGCTCGTGCTCCCCCGAGATTCCCCAAAGAAAGCCGCGAGTCAATTTTCGACATTCTTAGCCCATGCACGTTTTGAGCTCAGACTACGAAAATTTCCCAGCGAATTGCGATTTCTTGACAACACGAATCAAAGCTTTTACCGCTTCTTTTACTCAACGTCTTTCCCCCCCATCATATGCGTAGAGTATATATGTAAACCCACTACTGGCCTAGCGACATAACTCTTTCCTGAGCGACAAACTTCCACAGCGACATCTCTCTTCTCTTGATCATTGACAAGCTTCATTCCATTGCGACACTTCCTGAGCGACTTCTTTGCCCAGCGACTCTACTTCCTGAGCGACATTCCATCGCGACATATCGACCACTTCCAAAGCAATTCAATCGCCAAACTCAACAACACGTACCACCATGTCTTGCACCCAAGCAACTCAACCATTCCGCTTCCTGGACCTGCCCGGAGAAATCAGAAACAACATCTACGACCTGCTGCTATGCTCCTGGGAAGATGAACTCGAGCAAGACCCCAGCATGAGCAGCAAGCTGAGCCGCCGCAGCCCAAGCAACCCTTCACCATCGCTCCTCCGCGCCAACAAGCAGATCTACGCTGAAGCATCAGACTACATGATCAAGCGCAACCAATTCGTCCGCATCACATGCCGAGGTCTGGACTCTCGCAACCTGTTCCTCGGCGAAGGCATCCCCGTCATAACAACGGATGCACGCAAAGTAAGCGTATTCGACGGCCACGTCATGCACATTACGCTTTCCAAGCCTGCGTTCACGCCATCGCCATTCCAGTTCTCCGAGTTTGAGATTATGATGCTTCGGTCAGATCTGCCGAAGTTGTGCGAGCAGCTCGACATCGAAACCGTAATGGCGGATGCAAACTCAACCACCACAGAACACGCCTCCATCAGCGCAACCATCCGGCTCAACTACGCGCAAACTCGTTTCTTCACCCCGAAAATCCAGGAGCGCTTGCTAGAGCCTATTGCGACATGTCTGCGCGGCATCCCCAACCTGAGAATCTCCGGTTTCGTTGATCCCGCCCTCGCAGACAGCGTGCGCACGCAAGTCGCCCAACCCCGCTGGACAGACCCTGAGTCCACAATCGAAGAAATCGGCACCGGTGTCGACGTCGGCAAGCGGCAATGGCAACAATCCAATTTCTACTCCGCCTCTGAATCCTGGGCCTACGCCATGCGCACACTCGAGCGCATGCGCCACTCTTCCTCCTGGGCGGGCCTGCAAGCCGCCGGCGGAGAAGACTTTGTCAATAAAACCGCCGATCTCTATTTCACGCTCAACCTCTTCCACGCACAATTTCTGCAGGTCGACATGGCGAACGACGCATCTCAGGGGCCCCTTGTGCAGCGAAATGGCCGTGTTGCGATTCAGCATTTGCGCAAGTGCGAAACGGCTGCTGCGCGGTTTGCGCAGCATGCGGGTGCGACGTGGACGCCGAGTAATGCGCAGTCGGCTAAGATGCTGTACAGGCATGCGAGGTGTTTGAGGTTGATGCGCGATGTGGAGAGTAGTGTCAAGGCGGTTACGTTGATTGAAGAGGCGGCTGCGCTGCAGCCGACGGATTTGGCGATTCGGGATGAGAAGGATGCTGTTCTCACATGGGAGGCCGAGCTTGAGGAAGCGCGTCGCGTTCTTGCGGGGCAGAACGTGGCACAACAAAATGAGAGGAGGGGTGTTTGGTCGTCGATCTGGGGCGCGGTTGCGGAGCTGGCCTCGTAAGCTGTGTGGTTGTGCTCTTTCTTAGTTTTGATACCCCATATTCATTCGATCTCTTGCTGAGCGGTTTTGCCGCCAGCTGTACAAAACTTTGCGAATACTTTCCATTATGCGTGTTTTTGATCGTCGCCAGTAATGCAAGAGTTGGGATCTGCGTTGGATGTCGTGTGAGTGCGCATCAGCAGTCGTGGTATCGGACAGCTGCTAAATCGCTCATCGAAACATCGATGTAGTAGAACAGAGCTTACTTAAACATATGGAAAGATACCGACCCAGGAAGAGCGATGACGTCGATAACAGATGCTTACATGAGCTCTACCCGAGTGTGTTTTGAGAACGAGAATACGTTTGCACTAACTGCAGTGGACGACTAGCTTGCGACCGAAAGACGTATAAATACTTCCTCCACGTTGAGGGGCTTCAAAACGACTTCATGTTTAGCTTATGTCCGCCGCTCTTTCACGTTCTTGGACATCTACCAAGAACCTTTGAATAGACCGTTTATGGCTGGACTTCTACGTGGCATTCTAAACCAAAAGCTATCCGTCCCAACCTATGTCCCGAGAGCAGACTACAAAAGCTCATCATTGCTGGATTCTTCCTTTTCTTCTTACACATGCGACTGAACTTCCTTGAAATTTCCAAAATCAGCTCAGTCCTCTTTCATGATTCTACAATATCATGTAACCAAAACGCTAACGTTACTCTGAAACTTTTGCGGCAAAACGCCATGGCGGAGATCTTTCGCGGCTTTCCAGACATCCAAAAAGTAACTATCACGGTCGCTATGTTGTCGGACCGAGCTGGCGTATAAAATAATCCTTTATTGCCCGTGGAGTTGTCTTCCTTCATCCTACAACTTTATACGCCTTTCCAAAAACTGCACAGTTCACGCTCCATGTTGCCTCTCGCTGCTGGCGAGCTTTCCAAAGCTAAGTGACTGTTTTTTTATGTCTCCAGAACCAGAAAAACTTTTCAAGGGGATTATTACTGCAAAGATTGACTTGTCGTCACATGTCTTCCAAAAAGGCGATGTTTACCCGCTATGTGCGAGTTGGATTTCCAGTCGTTCAAAAAAACCCAGCTTCTTCGCTATGAGACAAGTACGGAGATCGATTTCGCGAGCCATGGTGTCGCTACACACCAGCCGGGAGGTATTCAATTACTCGCTAGTGAGAGATATGTGTTCAAGTCAATACCGCCTAGACTGATGGTCTTTTCCCTCGAAAACAAACTGTATCAAGAACGACACATGTGCAAGAAGACGTTACCTCTTCCATCTTCAAAAAGTGTAACTCATCGACACATGACTACGGCGGTAGTTTCGGTACAAATACACCAGCTTCCGTGTTCCTCTTGTTCTCTTCCTTCACAACTTCTCCTCGTTGGCTTCCAAAGCCACAACTGACCTCTATCATGGTGGTTTCTGGGAGAAGTAAACCAAAACACCACCAAGATGACTCATGTCTGTGGAGGTCGGGAAATCCAAAGCACCCATCGAAACCCTCATATCTGCTTTCTGAGAGCAACACACTCTTTTCAATCATCACGTCCAATTCGGCGAAGGAAAATACGATGTTCGGGGTCGCTGAGAATCTGCAACAGTTCAGCATACAAAAAGCTGCTACGTGCTCACATGGTGTTTGTTCTCGAAGGACGACGAGAAAGCGCAGTGGTCACCTTGCATGTGTGGGATTCCTTTTCGGACTAAAGAGCATGTGGGTATATAAACCTCCGAGATTTTCTGGATGTCTTCTTCTTTACACTCGCTCTGCGATACAGTACCAAAACGAAGAACCCTTCTGTGTATGTCTTTGGGAAGAGTTGAAAAGAGCCAAAAGGATATACACAATTTCTGATGTTGGAAATCGGTTCAGTGCTGAACGATGTCTTGTTCTGTTCTACACTATGAGACTGCCGCAGATATCTTCTTCTATGTCAGCCGCCAAAACAGCTGGTAGTAGACTCAAATCGATGTCTGATTGCTTCGAACTCGCATGGTGTCTTGCAAACGACACCAAAACGATAAGCGGTAGGCGCCATGTGAAACTTGAACACCTGACGCCCAAGTATCGCGAGGTCGCCACTTTCCTGGTGATGATGATGCTCAGCAGCAGCTGTAGGCGCCGAAAGCAGCCACCTCGACGGCGCGCCCAAACTGTGGAGCCAATACGGCGATGGCGCAGGATCATTTAGCCTCTCGTGAAGTCGGGTGCTAGCGGGCAGATCCTGATTGCTGGCTCAAGCTTCCGCTACCACGCTATGTTCCACAATTGCAACGATGCCAGTTGCATAATGCTGGACATGTGTGCATGCGAATGTCAGTGACGTTGTAGACATGATAGCTGCCAGCGAACTGCATCATGGATAATAGAAAGCAGTTGATGATTAACCAAGTCCATATCGGCTATCCGGCTGTGGCGCGTAAGCGACCGTAGTCTGTCCCGAAGCAGCCGTCAGCAACGTACGACGATATGGTTTTGGCTGTAGCCATAACAACAACAACAGGAAAATGCAGACAAGATCACTGCATACATGCGGCATTTCCAGGTCTTATCGCACAACCGGATGAGCTAGGATCTCGTGCATCGACGGCGTTTTGCAGCGAACCCCGGTAAAGCGTCGTCATTGTTTCGTTGCACTGGCCTCAACCCTGTCGCCAGCCTCGCGACCCGCCAACGCCTCCAAAGATTCTGCATCAACACCAGCATGCCAATGTTCAGATAAGGACGGCGCGTCGTCCTAGTACCCCTCCTTGGACCCGAATTACCTGTCTCGCCACTCGAGAGGTTGCCGATCTTCCGAGTAAGTCTTCGGCGGCGTTGGGTCGCGGTGAGGGCCCTGCGGTGATCCCGTCGCTCGTTACTTCACGATTTACGACTAGACTCGGTTCTCCTTGGCAGCTTGCGACGCCCTTTCCTCAAACACCCAAGCACGCCCGCCGTGCATTTTCTGCACTCAACAAGTCGAAGTCGTTTCCATGGGCTCCTACTGCGCTAGCATCGCATTCCAGCGCCATACTTGAGCCCATCGAGACCCCACTGTCGCTTCAGAACGCCGCCGGAAATTTGCCGACTCATATACTCGCCGAGGAAGGTGCGCTCGACGCTGCACTCCTCCATAATCTAAACGGCAGGCACGACTCTCGTTGTACTGCGACCTCCACCCATAGATGCGACTGCGCTCCTCCCCAGACCGAAGCCCCGAGCATAACCATCCCGAATCGACTGCCGACAATTCACCCGCACCACTTCCGGAACATGTGGATAGACTCGACTCTCAGACTGAGGAATTGCTAGTGAATGTGCAGGGCGGGGTGAAAGAGAACAGGCCCAGGAACCACGCAGACGTGCCTTCACAACGACTGGCGTCCGACCCTCTCGCTATATCTGATTCTCTCACCACCGCACGATCACCCATGGCGCACCAAAAGGCAGACTCCACCATGGGCGCTTTAGTGAAAGACAGCCCAGCGCACACGATGGTCGCGGACCACAACAAGAAATGGCGCCACCGGCTTCGCTCTCCGTGGGCATGTTCGCCTTGCACGCTCTTGACGACATTGGCGGCCTTTATTGCCATGTTCCTCATGGCCCAGTCCTTTTTGACGAGGCAGTTAGACGTCAAAGGTTGTGGCATGTCCTACATGCGGCCCAGCTATAAGAGATTCAACGATTTCGACACCGAACACACGCGATTCGCCAGCAAATACTCGCTGTACCTATATCGGGAAGGTAGCTTGGATGAGGATACCAGGGCATGTGCTTCGTCTCGTGCGAAGTGAGAAATGCTGACATCATCTAGGTCAAGGGCGTGCCAGTGCTCTTCGTCCCTGGAAACGCTGGGAGCTACAAACAAGTACGCTCCCTCGCCGCCGAAGCCGCATACCACTACCACAACACCGTCCAACACGATGCCGACGCCGGCAAGGCAGGGAAGAGACCACTCGACTTCTTCTCGGTCGACTTCAACGAGGACATCACCGCGTTCCACGGCCAAACCTTGCTAGATCAGGCCGAATACCTCAACGATGCCATTACATACATACTATCACTATATCACACCCCGGGCAAGTTTCTGCGCGACTCTAGCCTGCCAGACCCGACTTCAGTCATCGTTGTTGGGCATTCCATGGGTGGGGTGGTCGCGCGTACCATGCTCACCATGCCCAATTACCAGGCCAACTCGATCAACACCATTATAACGCTCGCCGCGCCGCACGCCCGGCCGCCAGTGTCTTTTGACGGAGACATAGTTCGTACCTACAAGGGCGTGAACGATTACTGGCGAAGCGCGTACTCGCAGAAATGGGCTATTGACAATCCGCTCTGGCACGTTACGCTCATCTCGATCGCTGGAGGAAGTTTGGATACTATGATCTCTTCAGACTATGCCAGCATCGAATCACTGGTACCTGAAACCCACGGGTTCACCGTCTTTTCCACGTCCATGCCAAACGTTTGGACTGGCATTGATCACCTGGCAATCACCTGGTGTGACCAGCATAGAAAGGCTGTAGTACGTGCTTTGTACGAGGTCATTGATGTGTCACGCGCGACGCAAACCGTACCACGGGCTGAACGTATGCGCGGTTTCAAGAGGTGGTTCTTGACAGGGTTGGAGGACATTGCCGAGAAGACTCTCCCTCAAAAAGAAGCTAAAACGCTCCTCACGCTCGAAGAGAACAGCGCCATCATCGCAGAAGGTGAGAAGCTGGTGCTGAGGAGTCTTGGGAAGTCCAAGCAACGGCCGAATGCACACCTCATCCCGGTGCCGCCCCAAGCTGCAGGAAGAAAGTTTACACTTCTTACCAACGAACACCTGGATCATCCTGGAGATCATGGCTTACTTGAGGTGCTGTTTTGCAGCGTGTTCCCATCGCAACCGGGTCAATCGACCACGCTGTTTTCAATGAACATGGATCTCTCGGGCGATAGCGTCGGTGCCACACGACTTGCTTGTAAGAACGCTGCGTCGGATGTGATTGCCCTCCCCGCATCGACACGCCACTCTACCTACCCCTTCAAGATGGACGAAAGACCGTTCTCCTACCTCCAATATGATATTGAAGATCTCGCGGAGCATCAGTTCGTGGCCGTGGTTGACAAGGCTGGAGAGCGCAGTACAGGCTGGGTAGTTGCCGAGTTCAGCGCCGCATCTGAATCTCAGATCGTTGTTGATATGGGCTTGCAGCACCTTTTGACAACTGGACTGTCTATGAGACTTTCAGCACAGCGTCCACTGGTGACAGACATAAAGATCCCAGCTCTACACTCTGCCCTTCTAGCCTACAACATCCACATCGGCAAGCAGTCCTGCGATGCAGGAGAGCTCTTCGCTCCTCTACTGCGACAGTACGTTACCGATATTTACGAGAGCAAGTTCTTCGTCAACGTCAAGGATGCCAGTATCAACCTCCACGGTGTATCGCCATACATGCCACCTGTTCTTCACGCGAAACAGCCCTCCAATGGGCTATCACTACAGATCTGGTCTGACCCGACTTGCGACAGCAGCGTGGAGATCAACCTGAATGTGGACATACTAGGCAGCTTTGGTAAACTCTGGATGCGCTACCGCATTGTCTTCGCCGCGTTCCCACTATTGGTCGTTGCTCTGGTCTTGCGCCAGCAGTTCAGAACATACGACAATACCGGCGTCTTCATGAGCTTCACGCAAGGGCTGAACGAGTGTTTGAAGAGCTCGCTGCCATTGGCCTTGTCCGCGCTGACCTTCCTGTCGATTACTCTAGCAGGCGCCCAACACCAATCGAAACAATGGTCTCTGGGTGGAAAGACCACTAATACGACATCACTGCTGCACACTGCAAGCAACGAATTGCTTCTCGGCTCAGACGACACCTTCTTCTGGTTCCTTGTTCCACTGTTCGGTCTGATGTGCATCGGCGTTTGTGTGGCTATCAACTACATTGTACTTTTGTTGGAACTCCTGTTCGCCTTCTTATACTCTGTTGTCATATCTGCCAGACTTCGGAGAGATGAAGCAAAGAGATCGCCATCAGCCTTTGCCGTGACATCAAATCGACAGCGCGTAGTTACCACGTTAATCCTGCTGTCACTGGTCTCGACAGTGATACCGTATCACTTCGCTTACGTTGTGCTCTGCCTGGTGCAGCTCGCAACCAGCGTTCGTGCCTTCCGATTGGCGACAGAGTCAAGTCTCGATTCGAACTACAACTTCTACAACTACGCCCACTCCATCTTCATACTAATGCTCTGGATATTACCCATCAATCTCCCGGTGTTGGTAGTCTGGATACGCAACCTGGCTGTACACTGGATGACACCTTTCTCGTCGCACCATAACATCCTCTCAATCATGCCCTTCATCCTGCTTGTCGAAACACTCAGCACCGGCCGCATGGTCCCTCGTGCAGAGTTCCGAGTCTCGATCCTCACAAATATCCTGCTCTTCTCCATAGGCGCATATGCCGCTGTTTACGGCGTCACCTACGCATACGTTCTACACCACCTAGCCAACATACTATGTGCCTGGCTAGTCGCCATCCACTTCGACCCATCAACATGGTCATCAAGAAGAACAAGCACCCCGATAGAAAGCAGAAGTCCCGACAGCGAGACGAAGAAACGACCATGACAGCAGCGATAGCTAAAACCTTTCAATTCTCCGTAATTCTTTTTAACCTGGCGTTCAATACCCCAATTTTCTTCTTCGTTCTCTCTCTTACATTGCATGTCCGGGTTGCTACTCCAGCTGGCGTTTTACATCTCACGGCATTAGCATTTTCCGCAAGGAGCATAAATAGCTCTTGTTTTGTTTTTTTCTACTAGATGATTGCGTTGCATACGGGCGGCGCATATGACTTGTTTCTAAATGGCATTGGGTTGTTTGACCCGGAGGGCCGCATTAGGTGAGGATCGTGCTGGAAAGATGGGCAGCGCAATATGGTGGTGTATAGCATTGCGCACACGTAGGCAGAATAGTTAATCTGGTGAAGCGATGGGGCTTCGGGGACTATATTGTGTAATGGCGGACGCTACAATAAGAAGATCAAGTTCCACCAAGACATCTGCTTTTGTGTGTAATGATTTCCGGCGGGAAGTGCTGTGAGCAAGTAATAGCCTGCATGACCCTGCCTTGTTGCGATCACTATATGAGACATCAACGCATACATAGAATAAGGTCTCACCGCAGGATACGAACGAACATTTAACAGACGAGCAAATAACCTTTTCAACTACAACACCATATCTAAACGCCACTCCATGCTACTCAACAAAGATCTTTGAGTCTACCTCCTCCTCTTCCCCCCACCCCCCTCATCCCCACCCTGATGACTCCTCTTCTTCCCCTCCCTCGCCCAATACTCCTGCTTCTCCCTCTTCTCGCGCTCAGCCCTCTTCTCCGCATTCTCCGCCACCTTCTTCTTGTACGGATCCTTGCGCTCCTCCTGCTTCTTGCGCCTCTTCTCCACCTTGTCATTCCGAATCGCAATGACCTGGTCCATGAGTCTCCTTGCTTTCTTCTCCTCGCCGCCCACAACAACAGCGCGTTTCTGCATGTACGTCTGCTTCTTCTGCGGCTTGACTGTGGCGATTTGCGATTTAAAGGGCAGGTCGGCGGCGAGTTTGCGGGGGACGCGCAGGGGGTTGAAGACGCGGGTTTGGCGCTCAATGGGGCGGTAGGCGCTGTTCTTTTCCGAGGGGGTTGCGATGCCGTTTTCGTAGCGGACGAGACCCGTGAGGCGCATGCCGGTCCAGGATGTGGACTCGCCTTCTTGGCCGGGTAGGGCAGGGTTGAGTAGGTTCGTGACTGTGTTGTAGAAGCGGCGGGGCTTAATGGGGTACCACGCCCTGAGGAAGACGATGTCGCTCATGAGGATTTTGTCTTCAAACGTCGCGCGGAAGTTTCCTTCGGGTTTGCTGAGGGCGCGCTTGATTTGGCCACGGACGCCGGATACGGTGCGTATGCTTGCGCCTTCGAATTTTGCAATTTCGAGACTGGATTTGAACATGTCTTTTACGAAGGCGGTGTTTTTGAAGATCTTGTAGGGGTGGCCGGTGAGCTTGAGCTTCTTGACGATCTCGGTAGACTCGTCCACGTTGAGGACGACGCCGGTGGCTGCGATGCGGAAACCGGGGGTTTTGTTGGAGAGGGATTGGATGCAGACGAAGCCGGTGTTTGGGGCGACGAGGGGGCCGTAGAAGGTACCGAAACAATGCATGTGCTCTGGTGTGTATTTCAGCATGCGATTCCTCGTCCGCGAATCGGAGATGCTGTAGATGGGTGTCGTCTGGAATCTCCTCCAGCCCAACGAGAAGATGAGAGGATCGTTCGTCTTGAGAATCTTCTTGTGCCATCTGTGGCGCTTGATGCGAATCTGGACGAAGCCAAAGCGCTCCTCAGTTGGCGTCAGGCCACCAATAAGAACGGGGAATCGGGGGTTGAAGTGTGCGGAGAACTCGTAGGGCACGTTCTCGAGCACTATGCGAGCGTATGTTCCCGCCTTGTGGCCTTCAACCTGGACACGAGATATCTCATCCAGTTGATCGAATTCGGCGCGGTTGATGTCGAGTTGCTTCTGAATCATGGCCTTCTGTGCGTCGTACCAATCATCCTCGCCAAACTCTTCTTCACCACCCCCTTCTTTTCTTGCATCAGCTTTGTCGTTCATGAAACCTTCGCGGTCTTCTTCTTCGAACCGAAGCTTCAACTCCTCCTTCCGCCGAGCGTTCTTTTCGCGCTCTGCTTCGATGTCGTTTGCTTCAGCTTCAGCCCCAGTGTTCTCAGTTTCACCACCGTGCTTCTCGCCCGTCTCCAAGTCCTCAAACTCGCCGTCACCCTCGTCGTCTTCGTCGAAGCCTTCAAAGTCGTCGTTATCTTCATCCTCATCCCCGCCTTTGCCGTTCATGTGACCAGTAGCAAAGCGACCCATGAGAGACTCAACGTTGTCCTCGTCTTCCCACTTCTCGGCCAGTTCTTCGTAGTTGAATTTCGGAATGTAACGATCTTCAGCGTTGGCGGCATCGTCGGCTGTTCTCTTGTTGAAGAAACCATCGTCCTCGTCACCCTCCTCCTCAATATCTTCCTCCTCTTCATCACATCTCCACTTCTTAAGGACCTCTCCCGGCGCTAGTTCCATGTTATACATCATCTTCGCAAGGTCTGTGACGCGGTACGGTCGTTTTCGTCCGTGTAACTTTGCAGCATTCTCTCGGAGATTCGCCTTCCACCGTGCTCCATCCTCAGCTTCATCTGAGTCGGAGTCTTGAGAGTCAAGATCGCCCTCTTCAAGATCCTCCAGGTCAGGTTCGTCGCCAGATATTGAGCCGAGATCAGAGTCACTGTCTGCGAACGCTACGTCCTCAGCAGTGTCTGTCTCCTTCTCTTTGCGCGAAACCTTGAGCTTGCCGTTGGGCGGGCCGTTGGTATCCAAGAATCCAGTATCGTCTTCGTCATCGTCGGCATCGCTGTGGTCCTGCTGTAGTTCCTCATCATCACTGTCGATGCCATCGAGATCCTCATCGTCGACCTCTTCAGCGTCTGCTGCCCTAGCCGTGCGCTGAGACCGTCGACCCGTATCCGCAGTGTCGTCCTCGAGGGTCTTGTTGTCAACGACGTCGCCATCCTTGAATAGCCTAAAGTTGCCATCGTCTTCACCAAGCAGCTTCCGTCCGCCCTGCAGTCCAATCATCATCTGCTCGCCCAGACCCTTCTCAGAGTAATCCGCCTCGGGATCGAACGTGGCCGTTTTGACATCGATGTATACAGCGTCCTTGTCGACAAGCACACCACCAACATCCGACATTGGCGCGTACAGAATCTTCTGCTTCTCGCCCAATCTTGTGCGCTTCTTCTTTCCCGAAGCCTTCTCCACTGCCTTCTCCGCAAACGGTGTCGGACAGGGATCGGGTAGTGCTTCCGTCGCAGTGACTGTAAGGTCTCCAACACCCGGTATATGCACTCTCGATGATCCAGCCGGGAAGTTCGTACCGCGTAGATATCCGTATAGTGCTATCGTGCGATCGCATTTGGGGTTCTGCTCGATATCGGTCGGAGGCGTGATATCCAGGAACCTATCCGCCAAACAGTACGGATGAGAATTCCTCCACACCAACGGTCTGGGATTCTTCATGACACTCAGAAACCTCGAGAGGTTCATAATCTCCCTGTCCGGGTACCGCCCATTCACCACACCACTGAGGTAGAAGAGTTTCGCGCCCTGGTAAAGTTCACTCCAGAACCTGTGCTTGAGCCTCTTCTTCTGCAGCTTGAGCGTTTCTTGTTTCCGGAAAAGATCCAAATGTGTAAGGATACCGAAGACGTTTCCGGGCATACCGCTTGCGCTCAGGACGTTCAAAAACTCCATGGTTTCCATCTCGAAACCGTAGTTACCGTCAATCATCAGCAGCACTATGTCCACCACCTTTGCGATGTCGATCATGCTGGCGAGCGAGTCGGCGGGACATTCTAGGAACGTGAGACGGCGGCGCTTCGAGGTGACGACTGTGAGGGGGCCGGTGGGCGTGGAGAGGGTCTGCTTGGTGTACCGTCTGATCAAGCTCTTGATGAGAGTGGTTTTGCCGACACCGGGAGGGCCGACGACGCCGACGATGATGGGAGGTGCTTCTTCGGGAAGACGGTCGACGAGCGGGACGTGGAGGCGCTTTTCTTTGACCTAGAAATGTTAGCTGAAGTGGCGCACGGATTCCACTCTTACATACTTCAGTCGAGCGCGCAGCATTCCTCTTCAATTTGCCCGGCGCTGAGAATGCGAACGCCTTGGGGTTCTTGTCTCCCGTATGCGGCTTCTTCTCCTTCTTGGGCCGATGCGGCCTATTACTCTGTGCATCCGCCATATTCGCTTGTATTCGTTTCTCACTCTCAGACTCCAGCAGAAGTCGTCAAAGTGGCGTGTTCGGTCTCGACCCGTCGCGCGCAAAGTCAAAGTCGAGCGGCAAGCAACTTCGCGATCCCAACTTTTTCGGCGCTAGTCCAACCGCTAAGGCCGCAGCTACAGGGATGGGCTTATCGATAAGGCCGCGCGCCTCCCACGTACGGTTGGTGGGGCAGCATGTCTCACATGGCTCTGAGGGTGGGCATAGTCTGGACAGCGCACGTCATCGTCAGACGCCGCCTATCCAAGGCTCTAGACTGCTTGTTGACAGGGTCCGAGGGAGAGATAGCTGAGGTATATAAGCCACTGACACGCTTTGACCTTGCTGCATCAACACCACAACACTACAACTTCCAAGTCTCACTAAACTGCCCCTCAACTAAACCAGCAAACTTCATTACCAAGTCTCAAGATGCCCGCCTTCATGGTGAGTCCTCCCAAACAGACTATAGTCTGTACCATACTAACGAACCCAAGGTTACCCTCAAGGACTCCGCTCCCAAGGAGGAGCTCGACAAGGCAAAGCAGCACGTCACCGACCAGGGCGGCAAGATCACCAACGAGTTCACCCTTATCAAGGGCTTTAGGTACGCAGCCTGGCGTTTGCACCTCCCCGCAGTAACACTGACCTACTACAGCGCCGAAATCCCCGACGACGTAGTCTCCACCCTCTCGTCCAACGAGCACGTCAACGTCGAGGCGGACTCCGAGGTCCGTACGCAATAGAGCCACTACACGACCGCCGCTGATGGTTTCACAAAGATCAAGATGTGATGCAATTGGCGGAAGCATAGGACAGGATGCATGAGCATATGATTTCATGGGTATATAACGATAATCAACGGCTTTACCAACAACATGACGTCGTCTCGCTGTGATTCCTTCATCTCTGCCTCCTCGCGTCTTCCCTAGCCTCCTGCACAGTGTCTACTCTCCCCACGCCTCTCAAGCTGAGATACACGTCGGTACCCCACCCCCAGAGACTTTGTACTGCAATGCCTCCTCCAAAGTACTCTGCGTAGGCTCTTCCCAACGGCAGTCCGTATCCCAGCCCCGCTAGACTGTTCACTCCATCGCCTCCTGCTCCCGAAAAGGCGTTCAGCGCGTCCATGCCGGTGGCCGAGTTGCTGCCACCGGAGAGGGTGGAGTTCGCTTGCGCGTCGTTGAAGGTTGTGAAGCTATAGTCCCAGATGTGCGAAAGGTTATCAGGGGAAATGCCGCCGCCGCGGTCACGAATCCGTATCGTTACGCCGGGTGTACTGTGCTTGAGCGGGAGGATGTTTGAATCGGAGGGAGGGGATGTAGGCGAGCTGTTGCCTGTGAAGCGCTGCGAGACCTGATCTACGTTGCCCTGGTCCTCATTGTCAACCTTCTTGTTGCGAATGTCTTCCGAGCTCTCGCTGCTTGCATCTTCAGGCAGGAGTTCTGGAAGCGGGGCAATGGTGACTTCGATGGGTTCACGCTCCATGCCGCTTTCCACCGTTGCGCGGAATGCGTTCTTAAGTAACTCCGTGATGATGTATTCGAGATGGACGGGTATATGCGCGAATTCGTAATCGGGTTCGCCGTTGATGACGATGGTCGGTCGGACGCCATACTTCAGCTCGCAGATCTCGCCCACCACGTTCGCGCAGTGGTCTACTATCCTCGCAGGCCTGAGTCTTGTGTCGATGACACCGATGTAGCCAGGGTTCTCTTCCATATCATGCATTGTCTCGCAATGCGGCTGACTGGAGAAGTGCAGCGACAGATGCTGTTCCGCGATCAATCTCGTGCCTATCCGCGCGCGCAGATGCTCGTCCAGGAACCGCGTCACATCCTTTGGACTGATATACTTTCTAGCCTCCAGGAAGCCTCTCGCAAGTATGCTGATTGTGTTGGCATGTGTTTGAACCAGGTCCGCCATAACCTCTGTGAACTTGACTTCCTCCTCCAGCGTCTTTATCTCCTGCTCAGCCCATGGTAGCAGCGTCGACAGGCTGTGCATGTAATTCGAGTGGATCTTCGAGACATGAGGGTTAGATACGACGATGAAGGGGAGGTTGCGGAGCGATTGTATGCGGTGCGCGAGGCGGGCGGGGAGGATAGAGAGGGTGAAGTTCGCGGACGTGAGGAGTTGTTGGGTTGTGAGCGGTGGCCTTCCGTGTCTGTTGCGCACGCGACAGCGTTAGCCAGGGTCCTCGGCAGACGCATTTGGAGGGACATGTCTGACAACACTCACTTGACGAGATCCGCGAGCGTCAACGGGTGTAACGGCAAGCTCGCTAAATGCGAAATATCGTTGTCCGTGACCGTCTTGGTGTGCAGCTTTCGGTAGTAACTCCCTCTTGCGAACAGCGCGCTGCTTGTCCTTCTGGCCGTGCGCGGGCAGCACAGTCGTATCATTTGCGACTGTATGATGAGCGGTCGCTGAACTTGCGCCATGGTACTGTATAGCAGGAATCTGCTACAGACTCCGCGTGTGCTGGTGCTGAAATGACTCCTCGATCGTGTGAAGTGCTTGACTGTGTGACTGCTAATTGAATAGAGTCATGGACATTCCTGATGGGAAGGTGCGAAGGCTAAAATTCGTTCGGCATTATGGAGTGCGGCTGCCGTCTGAAGTAGGCTCGGACGCGCAATATTCCATTCCAGCGGGAGCAATTGAGTTGTGGGGGAAGCTTCACCAAGCTCACCTGGGCACGCGGGATGCGAGCTAGCGGTGTGAGGCTTGATGTCATTCGTGCATATCCCACGCTCAAGGGTCAACACGATAATTCGGGTTGATCATTAACACCTCACATTGAACATATACACTCATCTATGTCTAGTAGTTTTCAAGGTGCAATATGGCGTCTACCTCCAGGGTCTAGTCCACCTAGCAACGCCGGCGCCTCGGTACGACACATTGAGGATCGGCTTCTCCATATACTCAACACCCAGGCTCCGCGATGAGCTCACTCGTCAATGCATGAGTACTAGGGGGGGCTAGAACTCCAAGATTTATCTTACATTTTGCTGTATACATGCTACCGAATTTGAGTTTCTGGACTGTCTCTAAGACAATGTATACTTCTACCTAGGAATATTCTTTGTAGAATGCAGTCGAAATTGCAGTATGAGGGCCCTATCTATCCAGGTATTTGCGCAGCCGGAATACAACAGAGCTTCATCGGCGACTCCGTATCTGCAGATTCAGAATTATGAAGCTAGAACTGTTGTCAATCCGCCTAGGTTTGTCTTTGTGTCCATGCTCTACATCTCCAGCCGCGACCTCGGTCTGGGCTGCGGCCGATCCCCTGGACTAACCCCGGATTACTACGTCCTACTCTCAACGCTAACCTCATACATACGATCTGGGGAGGTCTCGGTGCTTTTTTGGGAAGAGTATCAAGCGACAGACCGAGAAGGTACTGTGAGGCTGAACATTCGAAGCTGAGGTCCTACAAAAATTTTCGATGGACGCATTGCTTCATCGTTAGGCAGTTTCCGCTTGGGCCCAGGCCGTGGCCAGTGTCAGTGTCACGATGGAAAGAGCATGGGAAACTCAGAATGGGCAGATTGAGTGGCTGATGGAGGAGCGTATAAAAAGCTGTCAAGTACACTGCTTTTCTGATCAACCAGATTCGCTTTCCATCCTCTCGAACACTACACTTCAAGATGGCACCTGCTCTTCGCGCAATCGCGCTTGCATTACGAGCCGCCTCGTCGACGTGCCCATCATCACCTACCTGTCCTCAGGACGACCAATGCTCGCTCACCTCGAATGGTGCCACTCTTCAAGTCAGCTGTGCGACTGACTACTATGGTGGAGATTTGCAATTGGCACAGGTAAGCATAATCCACTCTGCAGTGAACTGTTTCGAACTCAACGCTGATCGTTTCTTAGACATCTAGCTTAGCAAGCTGCATTCGGGTATGCTCCACGACCACGGGATGCAATGCGGCAAGCTACGTGGATGGTAACTGCTACCTCAAAAGCACGCTCAATGCGGCTCAGCCCAAGTATGACACCTCGACTTTGTAGCCGACTTTCAACTGACACAGTCTTTAGTTCCAACGTGGTCGGGATAGCTGTGATCTCGAGAGATGCCCCAACAACGCCTAATCCAGCGCCGGATGCTCCCCAAGTGTGCCCTACTAGTTTTACTTGCCCGGAAAACAATGGCTGCTCGTACACTGATGGCTCACGCACCCTGACACTTGCTTGCGGAGTTGACTTCTACGGAGGTGATTTCACCAACCAGTACGCAGCAAGTCTCGAGGCTTGCACACAAGCTTGCGCAGGTGATGCACAGTGCGTGGCCGCCTCGTTCGTTGGCGGCAAACGTGATGGTACTTGCTATCTGAAAAACACAAAGAACAGCGGTTCTGCAAATGACGGTGTTGATGGTAAGTGAACCGAGATGAGTTGCGTAACTTTTGCTGATAATCAAAAGCTGTCTACGTTGTCTCCAACACCGTGCAACCAAGCAGTTCAACATCGAGTTCGACCCCGTCGCCTTCCTCTACTGTTGAATCGACGACTACCTCCTCTTCCACTAGCACAGATGTTGTTATCAGCTCTACCTCGATTTCGTCCAGTACCTCGACCAGCACCTCGACCCCTACCCCTACACCTACACCCACACCCACACCCACACCTACCCCAACCCCAACGCCTGAGCCACAACCTACCTGTGGCGTCAACGGTGTTATAAGGTCGGGAGTGACCTACACCAACATTGTTCAGCAGACCCCGGCCTCTTGCAGGACCAGGTGTCAGAACTACAATCTCGCAGGCCGTAGCTGTCGTGTCTATGGTTTCAACTCAGCAAGCAATCTTTGCACGCTAGCATTGGGATTTCCTGGACCAACTTTCGAGCAGGCTTTTACTCCTCGGCAGAATGGGCCGTATGTCTGGTACGCTGTGGAATGCCCGGTATGATCAGAGTGTTTTGATGTACTTAGTGTGCGATGGTATAATTTAATACTATAAGCTGGAAGCGTTTCCATATATTGAGTTCAGATCTTATCTGATATGTCGTTCATACTTTCTCTCTCCCAATAAGTCAATCGCTTGGTTTTCGACTACATGCCTCTCTTTCAAGGTGAAGATTTCTAAAGCTAAGTATATTCATTGTATCAGAGGCAGACACTGTGTTATGTAAAGCCTGTATCCTGCGGTCAAAGCCTGATGCTCCATGTAAAAGTCCAAATCCTTGCGCAGCGCACAGGTCTTCTCAAAGCCCGTCTTACAATCCTTCATCTGCTGTTCCAACGTGCCAATCTGCTTGCACCGCGTTATCAACAACGAGAAAGCTTGTTTCGGTACACCCAGAAGGTACTCGCGTCGAGATTATAGCCCATTTGAAACTCAAGCCGCCGATGTAGTCCTCAAACTCATTTACTACTAGCCTGCTAGCAAGTTGGAAGCGTCGACCTTGTTGCTCGTCATGTCAGCAACGCAGTCAATAGACGCGGTATCTGTAGGTATCGAAAATCATAACGCCGTACCTGAACGTGTACGCAGGAGGTATTTGCCTGTAAATTCAACGGGTTTCGACGTTACAACCACCAACGTATTCCTCAATACCAGTGATGATTACGTCGGCTTCCAAGTAGCTTTTTACCGGCTTCATGCATCTCCTCTCCGATCAAAGGAACCTTGGAAGTTGTGAGAAGACTCATCGGATTTGAGCGTGAAACCCAGAAGCCCTTACCACGTCTCAACGTCTGCTGGCTGCTACTTGTTGCGGGCGTCTGGGGAAGGCAACATAACAGACTAATCGTTAGTAGCGCTATTGTTACACACATAGCACTAGCTTTGGATAGCGTTGAAGGTAGCGAGCTTTATAACGATACACCGAGAAGATAGTCGCGCTTACATAACCTCTTTCTTATCCCTTCTACTATTTAATAGGCAGATTTAGTTATTGTATATATTGTGTATATTATAGAAGTTGTAAGTAGCTTATTATTTATAAGTTATTACAGTACTATAGAATAGAATAGGAACTAGAATCTAAGCTTTTCGCACACATGTAAGTTAAAGGAGAGAGTATAGAAGCTTTGTTATCTTCTTCGCACCTAGATAACAATTTGTTTGAAGCTTGAAGCGAGCATGTATGCTGCAACCCTTTCTTCCACAGAATTCTCTACCACCCCGGATATTTAGCTCATTGATAGCAGAGTGAGCACCACGACCAATAGCGATAGCGTTGGATGGACTTGATAGTGGCGAAGGTTTCTGATAACACGCCTGGGCGTATCCATGCCCGAGAACCCTTACTTTGCAACGTCAAAATTGGATTCGTATTCTTCAACCTGGGCAATTACTTCTTCGCCTTCGATTGGCCTTGTATCAACCTTGGAGATTATATCAACATATCTTATCTTTGGGGCAGCGTGACTCAGTTTAATAAATGGCTTGAAGTTGGGCGATTGGCTTATTCAACAATTTGCAACAAGCATGTTTTCATGAGGAAGACAATCATAGGTCATCACTGCTGCCACGGATATGTCAGGGCTACATCTACTAAACGACGAGCAATGTAGTTGCGTGCGACTGTATAGGAAACTTTTGCAGACGACATCGTTACTATGGCCATGTGATTTTAGCATCTCTTGCGCGTTTGAAGCTAGAAATATGATAGCAATGGCCAGGTATCAAGTCACCAAGCAGGAAAGGCGAAGAATGTGAAGTGTTGGGGGAATCTATTCTTTATCTTGTACGAGATGTTGCCTATTACGGTGGAGTGTTGATGCAGAGCAGGGCAACAAAACGCAGTCGGGTAACTCATTATAATGTTCTCAATGCAGGTGTATTTCCTAAACACCTTGTACTCGCTGTATGCAGCTATAGGAATCAATAAAACTCTGTCTGTGACGTTTGCCGTGGATCTGGTGCATCGACGATGTGATTATGGGTGGCAACAGCGATAGGGGCTTCTCGTGGACTCAGGGGTGGACTCAGGGGTATACGCGGTCGAGCTGTAGGGCTGTATTCTCTCTCCAAAGAAATCGACGTAGAAGCAAGCTTTTGAAACGATGATTAGATCACGCTGACGAGGAGGATGAGCGCATCAACGGACCAATGTTGAACAGGAGCTTTTCTATTGACCTTAGGAGTGGGTGGGTTGGAGACAGCTTCGAACTGCGGTACTGCTGCGTGTGTAAACTCCGGGTTCAAGACGACGTCGTACCGTGGTGCTGCGAGTCCAGAGGTATTTCGCGCAGTCGAAACGTGGTTCAGAGAATAGCTGCCTTGCGCAGCATTTGTACACAAGGTCTGCGCACTTAGAGGATACTTCTCTTTATCCCACATCTTTCTTAATACCTCTGCACACTTCAAAACATCCACAAACATCCGCTAACATGTCCATTAACTACCAAGGACATACAGTACAGATCAACTCCTCTTCTGTGCTTGCGATAGAGGCCCCTGTCCTCGAGGACACCCAGGCTGTTAGCGCAACAGAACGTGCGACCGCGGTAGAGCTTACCGCTTACAGGAGCAGCTCATTCAACTTCCTAGTCCTTGCTAGGGACTCCAAGACAGCAGACCTAAAGGCCTCGGCTGCACGGATAGGGCTGGTGAAGGGCTTCCAATACGACAGTGTTAGGATTATGGTGGCGATCAACCTAGACCAAAGACGCCTCGTGGGCTTGTGTGTTGTGGCTGCATGGTGTCTAGCCCATATAGACCTCTTTCCTCCTGCTGCGCAGATAATCGCGGAAGAACAGTTTAGTTAACTTTCGACACTGGACAAGAAACTAGCTGGTTTAGTGGTTACACCGGTGACCCAAGAGGAGCTCGAGTTCATCGAGGTTGCGCGCGACGACATTTCCGTTAGCTAGAAGCAGGCGGCGCTTCGCCAGCTCTGGGAGGCACTAGAATTATAGTGTGGCATCGGGCCATGCTGACGGACGCGCGATAAAGGGCGGGGTGGATGATTGGGATGACGGAGGATGGCGCAATGTGGCTGCTGATGTGGCCGGGCTTGTGGATGATTGCGCATGGGATATGGGTCGCTGGTGATCGTGTAGGTGTCTTGGGTCGTCTTGGGGGCTTCGTGCCGGTGCGGGTGGACTTGCTGGGTTTCCTTTCGGTGTTGCGCGATCGCATGGGGCTGGTATTGGTGCTGCTGCTGCTGCTGCTGATCGATGACCTGGATGACTGTTAGTTATGTGTAATGAATGTGAAGCAGTCAGCGCGTCGCAATTGCGCGCGTAGTAATTATCGTGGTGGTGGTGGTGGTGCAGGTGTGAGTGTCATGATGAGGCGCAAATCCATGCTTGCGTCAGAGATTTTCGAGTTTGCTATCGGGTAACACGGTACCGCGTCATCGCGTGATCATGTGATTTCAAAACAAGTACACTGTAGGCCCCGTCCCTCGGGCCCGGGGGGGGAGATGTTGCCTATTTAAGAAGAGTATTAGTTATAAACGTAGATAAATCGTATATAAGGTCTACCTAACCAATCCAGAAGAAGGTGAGAGCAATATACATCCCGGCACAGACTACCTCCTGTAGTTATGTAGCAGTTTTTTACATAACGTATAATACTAGTACCGAGAGCTATTGCTACTTTTTGCGATGCTTGACCTCTTGGATGTTCTAAGTTACTAGAGGAAAAGAAGTGGAAGAACATATGCTTCTTGTAAGCTTCATACGAAACGTTATCTAGATGCGAATACCTCCTGGGGAAACTATTCGGGACCATGTTACCGCCGTTCAAACCGCCGAATTCCTTTAGTAGAAGGGCTGGTTTACTAGATGTATTTGAAACGCAGTCGGAGAGGTTGCGAGTGACCGCGGTAAGCGATCTCGGTTCGTGCCAAGAATTACCCCGGAATTTGAGCCGCGTGCTTCGGCGCGTGCCCAGCCAAGGCCCTTGCGTCTTGATCACCGCCGAGCAGCAGCGTCTTTCATACCATCCGCCCTTTCGACCAAAGCTCACTACGCTGATGCTCGTATCGCTATCGTCACCCACCACAACCGCCATCTCGCGAACGAAGCTATATACGATTTATGCAATCTGAGGCTGGGTACCCTATGGATCGGGCATTGTCGCAAAGCTTGAAAGAAGCAAGGATGCTTACGATGAGGGCGCAGGGAACACCGTCACGTCGAACACAGAAGCTGGTGTAGTCATCGAGACGACTGGAATGGGACTCATGGGAGTAGGACTCACATTGAAGAAGGAGTCTTCAGGGGCGTTCGGGACGTAGCAAGTCGTGCGCGTCCGTTTGAACACTCAGCTGCGCGATGGCGATACATTGACGGCACGACCTCCCGGTCCCGCCAACGATAGTTCAGTTGAGCTGCCTGCCCACCTTTGCGCGTCCACACGTCCGCACGTCCGCGCGACTTATTTCCACTCTCGAACGTCTTCGCGGCACCCGAACAAGCCGCACAACCCTACGCGCGTCTCTATTGCCTCCACTGCCTCTACGATACGCGATCGCATATACCAGACTACAACGCAAAGCCACTACAACGCAAAGCCGCTGCGCCAAGCTTGCACTGGTCGCACCAGCAGCAAACATCTACAGTGCGCTCTTTTCGCCAGGCGGAGCTGATTTCGTTCGGCATTGCTAGTGCGCAGGTCTTCGTTAGCTTCTCGCTTTCTGGTGCTGCAGGCACAGCATCACACGATGCGTGGCCGATCGAGGATCAAACACTGGGCTTTCTGCCTTCTCTGCTGGACGAACAAATCACCACACGATACCCAGCCGACTGGGGATTGAACATGAAACTCCTCACGTCCAGCTCGCGACTGCGTGGAGTATTACCAAGGATCAGTCACACGGCTTCTCCCGTTATCCTTCATCGAGTCGCTGAAATAGGCCACCTTTCTGCACATACACGCTCACATCTGGCCGAACTACTTCTACTCTTGTCGGCGGACTACAACTAGGCAGTTATCGACAAGTCCGACCTACTGGACATACGAACAGACGTATGTAAGTACCACCACCTTCGTAGATCATCTCTACGACGGCCTCATGGTCAGCGCCCCTCTGGTTGGCTTCCTCCTGCTTTCCTTCAATGGACTCCGCCAGCTACACTTCGAGTGCAGCAACTGCATCAAGATCGATGTCGATGGCATCATCAACCATGGAGAGACACTCACGGATCTGCTCGTCGTCAGCATCGTCAACCACGGAGAGACACTCACGGATCTAATCGTCGTCAACGGAAATATCCACCATCCACCGGCAAGATGCCACCCGGTGAGCCTATCAGCAACCTGCATACAGGCCCCAGACCTCACCAGCCTCGGAAAGACCACTTCGAGTGCAGCAACTGCATCAAGATCGATGTCGATGGCATCATCAACCACAGAGAGACTCCCACGGATCTGCTCATCGCCAACGGAGGTATCCACCGGCAAAACGCCGCGGCATCATCAACCACGGAGAGACGCTCACGGATCTGCTCGTCGCCAACGGAGGTATCCACCGGCAAACGATGATAGAAGCTGAGACAATCGATGAAGACACTGGCACATGGATCATTTGGGTATGGTCATCAAGAGGTTCATGTTGTCAAGATGGATCTGAGTGGAGTACGGATATACATGTATAGACTGATACTTGTTGCAATGCACGAGTCGATGTATGCACGTATCAATCTTTGTCCAAGCTAAATCTCTCCATCACTCCGCGCTCAAACATCCACACACCTGTAATACCCTCGACGCCAAAGCCAACATCCGAACATTGATTGCCTCCGATTTCGCTACCAGCACCAGCGAAAAAAACAACTCCGAAACGTAATGAAGCTACAATACAAGATGCGTTCTGCTTTGGCCAGCCTCTAGAAATAATTTTAGAGCTGTTTCCGGGCAACACCGAGAGCACAAAGACTCTACACGGGGAGGTAGCAGATCCGACTTCGTCAGCCCGTACGGTTTTTACACCGCACCGGCAAGTAGAACATATCTAGCTTGCCGAGATGTCTTGGAAAGGACGATTGTAAACATTTTTTGAGTACCGTACCGGCGAACAGAACACAACTGCTTTCCAGGACTTCCTCATCTGTAGCCATGATCGTAGCACCAGTTGCAAACCAAGTGGGCTAGCTTGGTGCATCTCCAAGGCTTTGCAAGACCGCTCGGCTCAACTTTGCGACAATGCGCGCAGTGAACCGGTTGGCCAGCATTGCGATGGGCTTTGATCTGCTCACGAAAGGCTCTCGCCGTTTCGAAAGCTGGATCGCGCTCACGACCAAACTTGCGCAGATATGCGTCACAAGCACTACAACGAACATGACCATTTGAAGCAATGTGTCTAGTCCCGTAGCCCCTGGCACTATTTGCAGCGCCACTCGCGGCTTCCACGCTTCTACAGTTATAGCAGATGACGGGTTGGCCGGCTTGACGCAGGTTACTCTTGCCAACCTCGAGGTTGTACTGAGTAGTGAGCTTGACCAGTGAAGCGTTGTCGGGCAACACTCCACGGCGTTCTCGGTAGCTGTCGCAGCGCCTGCAAAAGTATCCGCCACCCAAAGGGTTCTTGATATCAGCAAGCACGCGAGGGTGCTTAGGTCCATCCGGCATAGCCGAGCGCGGATAGGTCATCAGTTTGCACTCTGGGTTGCGGCATTCTGATGGTAGCTTGGGACCACGAGCAACGAAACCCTGACGTAGGGGCAACGACGCATTCAATCCCCTCCATGGAATGGCTGGAACATCAAGACGTGCTCGAATGTCCCTTGCCAACTTGTAGGAAGACTGTGTGGCCCATTTGGCATAGTAGCCCGGGTAATTGTAAGTTCCGAAAAGCACCATAAAGGCGCTCTCCAAAACCACAAGGTATCCTTGTGGGATATCCCGCTTGAACCCGGCAAGTTTTCGGAAATTACAGTCGACATCAGCACGACACGTAGTCTTGTAATGTAGACTGCCCCGATAACGCTCCGGCAAAGCGTTGGCAGAATGTCGTCTTGCGATTTCCAGGTGCTCAATGATTCGCTTCAAGAGCTCACCAGTGGACCCAACGTAAGCCTCACACCCAATTTTCGAAGCAAAAGCCAGGTTACCAGTTGGGAAATTCCCATACAGTCCCTGATCATGCTTGTCACCCTCATTCACTTTGGGAAGTGAAAGTAAGTCCTCAAGACACCATTCCTTTTTGAGGAAGAGCTCTTGAACTTCAATCGGAACAGCTTGCAAGTATAGACCAAGCAAGAATTCCACGCTAACATCCTGCAGGAGCTTCCAAACCCCGAGGGTGAATGGACGGTCTTGTTCGGACGTCGCAACGAAGTCGGAATGACTTATGCTCTTACCCCACTCGCAAAAGCCATCCAAGACAATGCGTAGTTTACGCGCAAAGTCCGGGTTGACCTCGACGTCGTCGAGTTCGAGATCTGAAGAGAGGTCATGATTGCACATAGCATCCACGTCCTCCTCCGCGATGTTAGGATCCGGGCCGGGGAAGTATTCATCTTCCTCGTCCATCTCCTCGTCTGCTTCGGGTACTGCATCCATTGCTGCAACAACCTCCGCGATGACTTCATCCTCGTCACCCATCAGCATTTCGCTTTCAGGGGCATCAGATGCAGCGAGAGCCCGGTGAGGGGATCGCATATCCGTAGCAGAAGCCACAGCATTTGGAGTAGAGGCCGTAGCATACTCCCTCCCACGGGCAGTCGATGCTGCACCAGTGGGCGACGGGAAAGCACCTTCATCCAAGTCATCATCCGAGTCAAAGACTACTGGACGACGCCTTCGAGAAGGCCTTGTTGGGACAGAGCTTGAGCGCTCGTCATGGGGGGCATCCCTCTTGCTAGTCACTTTCACAAACGACGTGAGTGTCGATTGTGCGAGTGCGGGAGGCATGTTTGTAGGTCCGTGCTTACGTCTGATAGACTGAGTGCGACTGCGACGATGTTAGCTGGTATCTTTAGGCGGGAGGCATACTTACGAAACTACAGGTGTTGTATGAAGGAAGAAGCACGCGTTCGCTCAGGTCCAGCATCGTTGAGCAAGGTCTGCCGCCGCTCCTACTTCGAGGGAAGTCGCGCTGACCCCGATTGGGACGAGAAGCTACAACGGGCAGGCACGCTCGACCAGAACAAGGAAGCACACCTCGCGACCTCAGAGAACAAGCATTCTGCCCCTCCGAAAGCGCCCGATCTCAGTCAGAGACTGCTCGAGAGGCTCACGCAACGGCTTGCACCTGTACTGACTCTACGGCATCATCTGGTAGCTGCACCTTCAAACTTCACTGCAGGTGCACACAGCCTCAGACGGTCAGGTAATCACTTTAGAGGCGTAACTTGACACAGGCAGCGCGCAAGAGCATTGCATTGTAGGTTGATATCAGTGGTCATCATCTGGCATGGTGCATCTTCGTGTTCAAAGGTAAGTCTTCCATACCTAGGTACATTTGCACCATCATGAAGGTGAATCCACACGTTTTTCTATCAGTCCTGCACGTACGCAATTATGTGCATCTAGTTTGCAAACGTTCCTCGTATTGCTACACCCCTCATGGTCAGACTTGAGTTTTGTGACAGTTGCTGACATCTCGCTCTTTTGGTTTCGAGAGACGCGCGTGACTGCGCTGATCTGCGTCAACCCTCAGAAACCCTGAGAGAGCAGTTCAACGTGACCCATCTCTTGAGAAGATTATGCGTTTAGCATGCATACTTCTTAGTGTTTCGGGCGTTGCTGTGATCAAAGTATGCTCGAACGAGATCACTGAAGCATTCACAAAGCTCACGCACACGGCAGCCCAGTTCGTTCCCTGACACCCATGCGATTGGCTCAGACGATCAATGAGAACTGTAGCTACCTTGAAATCATCGCCATAAACCGGACGCGAATGCAGATACTCACTTTCACCTGTTTCCATCGGCGTCTAGCGTGGCGCACGGACAAAACGCGTCGCGCGCTCAACCTTTAGTACCGTCCTTGCTCCCTACCTTTCCATTCCCCCATCGAAGCAAGTTTTCATCATGGTACGTATCTTTCCCCCCAGATCTGGCGCTATCTCTCAGTGTTGATCGTGGCTAACGTACTCGTATAGGATTTTAACATGCTTCCCCCCTCGCCCTCTGGGCCTTTCAACAACAAGAAGGCGAAGAAGGCCTCCGCGAAGATTCTTCGCAAGGCCGTCAACGCTCCCTTGCCGCAGTCGGACGATGCTGATCTCATCGTTCATGAGCAAAGCTCCAATCCTTCGGGTGAGGAGTCTTTGTCAACTACATCCGGGCCTCTTGCAGTCCATGAGACTCAAGAGGCTTCTGGTGACCTCATGGTTCTCGAGCCTGAGGAAGACCGCGACGCGACTGCGGGCCATGAGCCCAAGGTCGATGAGCGGGAAACGGCGATTCCGGACGCGCCTTGGCCGTTCATGATTCACCCGTTTCAAGACGACTCGCTCATCTTGTATGAGAGGGTCGCTGCCTTCGATCACTTCGAGCGTACGGTGAAAGCCGATCGCAAGCAGTGGGAGGAGGAGAAGGCCCCATGTGGTTCTTGTGGGAAGAGGCACCCGCCTCCGTGCGCTACGCGCAGTCATCTCGCCGCTATTAAGGGCGCCATGGCTGAGGGTAGGCAGCTTCGGAAGGAATGGGATGTCCAAGGTCGTCGCCCGCTCGGTGAACCCCAAGGGGAGATGCTGAAGCGCGAGGTGAAGATGGCGAATAGTCATCAAGGCCTTACCACACCCGCAGTGGCCGCCAAGACTGCTTTTTGCAGTACTTGTGCAAAGTACCACCCTGGTGGTGCGAAGGAGTGCACCGTCCCCTTCTGCACCAAAGGGTGTTCCCTGAACCACCCTCTTGGAGAGGCTTGTGGCGCGGCGGTAAAACGCTTCGCTAATATCAAGCGTCTACACGGAGGTGGTGATGGACCAAGCGAGGAGAAGAAGTCGGTGCCTGCGCCCTCAAAAGCAATGGCTACTGGCGGCTTTGATACTGCAAAGTTCAAAGCCTTCTACGATGCTATTGGCGACGATCCCGACGTTGCCAAATCATCTGGAGAGCTCTTCAAGGCTTTGGCCACGAAGAGACCTGCGGAGGAGCCGGCTGCAAAGCCGAGTTCCAACAAGAAGGGCAAGAAGAAGCAGAAGGCAGGTGGTGAGAGCTCCTGTCAAGTCCCGAAGCCGGCGCCGAAAGAACCTGAGGGTTCTGACGACAAAGGCAAGGCCAAGGCCAAGAAGGGCGGCGTTTCAACGCTCACTGGGACTGTTTTCAGCCATCGCTGAATAACGGGCTCACGGGAGAGGAGACAACCTCTATAAAAAACATGCTCGGGAAGCTCATCCTCCGCGTCGGTCCGGGCGGGAACTTCGTTGACTTTTGTCTTCGATGCTAAACTGAGCAGTACATCGTTAACTATATCCCCTTCAACTCTTTCGTGCAATAAAGCTAACTTGCAGACTCAGGCCCATCTCGTCAGCGACACCGAAACCTCCTCCTCCTACATCAATCTTCGACCGTACACTCTCTCCCTCAAGCGCATTCGCAAACCTGAACGACATGATGTGTCGGTGCGCCACGTTTACGATGAAGACGAGATGATAGGGAAGAGCAGAGGGTTGGCGAATACAGGAAATGAGGCACGTTGGCATACAGCAAGCGGACAACCTACATGATAAGGCCGCAAAGGAGTCACGGCGTGGCTGAGCCCATCATGTGGGAGATCTTTACTACCTGGGACTGGGTTGTTTCGAGTCACATGGGAGACTTTCACCACCGACGTTCTAGTCGAGATTGCTGGGGCGGCTGGGCCCGCAATTTCAGGGCACTACGTTTACTTGTTCCTAGGATACAACGTTATAAACTTTGGATACCAGGTCTTGAATTTGTGATTGACAGATAGGCAAGCAGATACCATTATAGAAGTGTCCAAGTCTAGTAAAGACCTCTGCCGGTATGTGAAGGGGCGATGGACAGGACTGAATCAAACATGTCCTCGGCCGGAGGCAGATCTTTACATATGTTAGACTTTCTTCAGTTGACACTTCTCTAAGATGACCGAATACGTCCGTTCAACTCGACTGGGGCTCGATAAGAATGTGATACTCATGTCGCCATCTTCCCGTCAAACGTCAAGCCGGGCTGCCCTGCTGAATGCGCCCGTCAGAATGAACGGAGATCACTGACCCTCCAAACTGATTGATCGGAATGGTGCTGCTTACTTACCTCAATGATACTTCGTGAACATGGAGCCGGTCTGGCTAAGTAGCTACAGCTGTTGATTGGGGTGAGTTGAGTCACATCGTGATGATACCGCTTCTGAATGTGCTGTCGGTATAGTTTTCTCCTTCAAGGGTTTACAGTAGACTCCTCTGACAAGAAGCATCGTGATCATCAGAGAAGTGTAAGAAAGAGAACCTGGTACCACCGTGTCTTGTATGTTCAATTGATCTAAGAATGTAGCGATCCTTGCTACAACAAGAGGTACAACGAGAAGCTTCCAGCAACTCAGAGACGTGTCCGGTACCATGAAGGACGAGCTGGGTGAGGGCAATGATGTCTATTCGCTGGAACATAGTGCCAAAAGTGGCAAAGAGGGTAAGAGCACTGATGTAAAGGCTGCTTAATTGAAAGCTGACCGTGTCCGACTGGGTCGTGTCTGATCCAGTCGGACACGGTCAGTTGTGGTGTAGGAGAGATGGAGGAGAGACCTGGAGCAGGTTTATATATGCGGAGACGGCGCTAGTGAGCTTGGACCTATAGTTGCTGCCAAGGTGAAGGTCTCCAGTATAACTAGCATGAGTCTGATAGGCAGTCTTAAGTAGAAGAGATGTTCCAAGTCTCATATGTCATTGACACGACCACGACGGTCTAGTCTTGACGAGCGGGTCTATCGTTAAAGTACCCTACATGATGGCTGGAACTACCGTCACATAGTTATGAATGAGCCTGCTGTGGTGTTTAAGTAAGATGCAAAGGCAACTCGAAGGAATGTTGATGTACGTAGAGATAGCGCTCGTGGTCTTAGATTTGTAGCTTCTGGGGCGACGCATTATCGCAATAGCAAGTTCAATGAGCACTTCCGTATTGAAGGTCGCCTTCAAACGGACGTAGCGATTACCTGATTCTACGGACTAGCAGTGGTAATGTGCACGAGAGACGGAGGAGAAGACCAAAGAGAGATGTGTAGACGCGAAGACGGCCCTATTGAACTTCGACTTTTGGCTGCGTCCGAGTTTTGATCTGGACTACCTTCGGGCGTGCGGGTGTATCTGATAGAGACATCGGACTTGAACAACTTTCCGATGCTATATATATGCCGCGCAAATACATCTTGAGATGATTAGGTACTTCGTGCGCCGCACTTTGTGTTGAACATGTCCTTCTTGCACGGTTGCCAGAGTGCTTTTCAGTCTCGTAAACAGGCTGCCTTCATCTCTGTGATCAGCCAACCAACAATTACAAGAAGTTATAGTCGATCGTAGCGGGTTCAAAGGTATTTGTGTTGGTGCTGGTGTTTGTACTACTGCCGCTCTGGTGGCGACATGACGCAGCAACGGTCTACCCCTTCAAGATGACTGCTACATTGCCTTGGAACTGATACTTAGCAATGAATGTTCTTGCTAAAATGCATACATATCCGTGATTTTCTTCTCCGTGCTTTCTTCCTGCATCTCTTTGCCTCATCACCCGTGATGACATCTTCCTTCATCACAACTGTTGCTGCTTCTGCCGAGATCTCTTCCTCAGCTTTGGCCGCTGTCAATGGCTTTGAATAATTCCAACTGTTACGTTCATTTGCCCTCACGCCAATGTTCACACAATTTCATCACGACACGCGAGCGCCATCTCCTCAAAAGCCTTTGCCTTACCCTCACTCCTAATAGGAGACGCAATGAGACTTCTTTGTCTTACTCGCGAACACTTAAATCCTAGCAAGAAACATCGCCAAATTTGGCAGAGCCTGCGTGTGTAAGCTCACGTTGAGACAGCTATTGTAAGGGCCTATCACTCGTCCTGCTATCCACGAGTAAGCTGAATTTGATTGTAAACACTGGCTCGCAGAATGTGCCTAGTCTGGACCACCCCGCATCCAAAATATTCGAGCATATCCGCAAGATCTATTTCCTCAATAGGCCCAACGTTGGCAGGGGAGTGGGCCGGCACTGACTATGCCAGTCTGGCCCAACCCGACTCAAACATCATCAAGCATGTCCGCAAGATGCAGTTCCTCGATAGGACGAACGTTGGTTAGGAGATTAGACCAGCTCTCACAGCTACAACCGTGCACGTCCAGTTTTCAACAAGAAGCGGGAGCAATTAGCGGTCATTGGGTGGGGACGATGGCGTCCAGCTGCAAGTCTGAGCTTTGTGGGTAGCTAGCCGACAGGTGACACTCTTCAAACAGCGAGAGCGTTTGGCGGTTCATGAGGGAGGAAGCACGTCGCACGACTGCGCATTTCAGCTCCGTGGGCAGTCGGCCAATGTGGCCGGTTGTGGGACAGCAAAAGCTATGGGGAGAGATTGAGTGCTCCTGTACACCGCACGCTAGTCGCCTCTGCAAGATTGCTCTAAATCGATACGCGACACTTAGCCGAGATACTCATGGATGCAGGTGTCTTTGGGTGGGCGTCGCATGACTGCGCATTTCAGCTCCGTGGGCAGTCGGCCAATGTGGTCACGCTGGAGAACAGCAGTGAGAGAGGCAGTCGGCAACCTTATATCTACTAGTCTCTGGACGGTACTACTGAACTTCGATACGCGATACTGGGCTGAAATTCTATGGATATCTTCCAAGGCCGCTCAGGTGGGTAGATATCGCACGACTGCGCATTTCAGCTCCGCGGGTAGTCGGCCAATGTGATCGTGCTGAGAGACGACACAAAGGAAGGAAGGGAGAGAGAGAGACCCGAGGAATTTATATTCACTTGTCGGACGGGATGACTGGGGGTCGATACGCGACACTTGGCCGGAACTTCCATGATGCCGAGAAGGCACCGCACGACTGCGCATTTCAGCTCCACGGGCAGTTGGCCAATGTCACCGCCGCGGAGAAACAATAGAAAAAGACCTATTCGGCCTCTCTCTATTCACTGCTCGTTGGACGAGATGACCGAGGATTGATATGCGACGCTTGGCTGAGGTTCGGTGGCTCCCCTGGGTGGGTATCGCACGACTCCACATTTGAGCTCCGCGGGCAGTCGGCCAATGTGGCCGCCATCCCTCGCGATCAACTATGTGGTTGTCCTCCTGTGGACCCTAGGTAGTCACATAGTTGATCGCGAGGGATGGCGGCCAGCAATCGTGGTAGTAGCGCACGACTGCGCATTTCAGCTCCGCGGGCAGCCGGCCAATGTGGCCGGCTGTGGTCTGGCAAAAACAACGATGAGGGAGACATATGGTGTTCCTAAATCCATAGAAAGGTGGAGGAGGTTACGAGAATTCGACACGCGACACTTGCCGAGACTTTTAAAATTACCGTTGCAACAACTTCGAGTAGACTATCGTTGTCGTAGCTGAGGCAGACTGTTGTTGACCTGCTTTGTTGGGAATTGTGATGGCATATAGCTCTCCACTATTGCGAGCCCTAAGACGAACCAGAGAACGCTCACCTGCTCTGAGTAAGAAGCTATGATTTAGGCGAAAGAGTACCAGGATACAGAATGCGCAGCCGACAGTCGCATGTAGCTGTTGTAGTCCGTGGAAGGAGAGTAGTGAAGGACGTCGAACAATCGACGACGACTGCTGGTAGTGATGCGATGCCTACATAGGCGCAGGCTACGACAGCCAGATATACACGATGCGAATGTTAATAGATGCGCGTACTATGTCGTGATGAGAAATAGCGCCAATTCCGGCGATCGTATCATGACACGCTTGCGAAGAGAAGGCGCAAGACAAGGAAGGCATTCGGAGTAAGATGTACATATCCGATGGGCCTTCTCATGGTGTCAGCACAGCTCCAGACATCAAAGCTTTATAAGCTCAGGAAGTGGCAACGATATGCGGATGGCGGAAGTAGTAGTTCATCATGGGATGTATGATGGAAGACGATCAAGCATCTGAAGGAAGCAAAGTGAAGTGTGATGGGAATCTATTTCTATCTTCTACAGATGTGAATCCGCAGATGCTTCCGTGAAGATTTTTGAGACCAGACGCCGAACAATAACCACATTATGTCATGAAAGGCCGACATGCAAGTCGGCATGCACCACAAACCCTCGTAAACCGAACCATCAATGGAAGAAAGGAAACTTTTCGGAAGTGCCGGGAGTGTCGTTTACTC